CACAAGAACAGAATCAACTGTGGCAAGCAGCTCAAAAAGAAGCTGATCACAGACATAAGGTAAACACTGCTGATAATGACCCTGGGCCTATAACTGTGCCAGAGCAGGACAAGCATACTAACTATAACAAACTTTTAAAACAGGTCCCGGAGGCTAATAAAAACCCAGCTGTGTTTCTAAATTGCCTTTCTAATCCTCGCACCCCACAAGCAGTTCCAGCTTCGTGTGCTGCGTTGGGCCGCCTCCCAGCCCCTCCCTCCCCTGTGCGTTGTCGTCGCTGCCACCTTACGCGTTTCCGGGGGCAGTCCCAGCCCACCCCTGCATGCTACGTCCTGGCACTCGCCCCACCCCCACCCTGGGTGTGCTCTGCCGGCACGCCGTGAAACAGCAGCTCAGCGGCTCTGCTCAGGCATGTTTTTTTTACAATTTGGCTCCGCTCAAGAGATGCTATTTTTTTTTATCACAATCCTCAAACCATTTAATCAAAGTTACTGGCCACCTGATAATTTTACCAGCCTTGTTTATCAATCAAAGCCTTCACCAATCTCCTGTTTAACAACTAAGGTTATAACTTCCTTTTTGCTGGGAACCACTAGCTCTATTTCAAGACAAGGGTTTTCTTCAAAGTTTTATTTTATTTGTCTTGGTGCATACTACTGCAAATAACAACTTTATTTTTTTTTTTTGTCTTTTTCGTTTTTATCGGTACCAGGGATCGAACTCACAACTGCCTGCTTGCAAGGCAGGCGCTTATGCCGCTGAGCTAAATCCCCAGCCCCCTAAATAACAACTTTAAAAAGTAAATGTGTTCAAAATTTGACAGTATTAGATCATTGTTGATAGATTTATTCCTAAGATTGCTATACCTTTACTGCAAAATATTTCCATTAAAGCCTTTTTAGACAGACTAAAGCCTTTTTTGTTAATTCCACGTGGCACCCTATTAAAAAAAAGTGGTGTGCCATCCAGATAAAGCTTGCTCTCTGATCTGAAATAAATTCCTACATACTTACTTAATTCTACTGTAGTCCAAATCCCAAACAAAAAGGCAAAACTTGACCTTCAAACCTTATAGAGATCTTAATATGGTTTTTCATATTTTTTAACACTTGTGACACTTGGAGTTCTGAGGCAGGTAAACCTACACAAGGTGGAGCTGCCTGCCCCCCCCCCACCATGAACCATGCTCAAATGCAGCAGAAGACATTGGGCAACAAAATGCCCCATCCTGGTGTTCTTTGAGACCTTACTCCAGGGCTGCTGGACTGTCCTAGCCACCAAAGCGTGGGTAAGCCATCCTAACTTCTAGCCCTCACAGGAAATGTGTACACTGCCAGATTCATTGCTGAAAAAAACTGCTGCTGAAGACTGAGGGGGTTCAGGACAACAACAGTCCCCTTTAAGGTGTCCGTCTCAGATTCCAAGTCACACTAAAGTCTCAAGTAAGACATTCTCTATATTTGTGGACATAGAGGCCATATATAGAGAGTTCTTCCAGAGTATTCAGGGTGCTATATTAAGTCCTCAATCTCTATGACAGGATATTGAGGGTCAACCTATGCCATTTATAAACAGGGCCCATTTCGTGCAGGTCTCAGTCCTAAATCTTAAAATGCCTTTTATACAGGCTGACTTAGACACACTGAGGCCTCAACAGCTTCTACCTGTTATTGCTAGTAAATCTCTCCTCAGTGATATAAGACCACCCCCTTCCTTTCTTATTCACCAATTTGTCAGACAACCCTGGTCAAGACTGACAGATACATTTTGTCTTCTCACTTTGTTCATACTTTTTCAGGATACATAAAAGCCTTTCCCACAACCAGGTAAACTGCTGATACAACCACGTTACAGCGACCCATCCCTAAATCAAAGTTGCTGGACTCCCATCCTGGTTCCACATCACTCAGGCTAAGAGGTGCCCTTCCAGCCCTAAATCTGATCATTCTGAGTGATCATCTTATCTTCTGTCGCTCACCCATCTCCGTTTCACGAAGGCCTCGCAGCCACAGTTAATAGGCTAAGTCATGTTTTGTTATCCACTTAGGTTCCTAATATCTTACATTCTATTAATGATCATTTTTACAGCAGGACTCTTTAACAGCATTGCCTACAGACTCCAATGTCATGAATACCAGAGACAAGTCTTACACACCTACCCTTTTTAACTTTTATGCTTTCAGATGGGGGAGTAATCACCACTCATAACATCATCTCTCCTAACCTCACACTTAGTTTTCAGAATTCTGCCTTACCGTGGAACATGTCTAAATCAAAGGCACCTTTCCCTCTACCTCACCTGGGTCCTTAAATATGACAGTACCATGATTCCTCATAACATCTGTCTCTTTGTTTTTCCAGTCTAACATACGTGCATTCACCAGTGAAGTTGTCCTGGCCAAAACACCTGGCACCAGTGTCTACCTGGGCATCAACCTTCATCCTGTCGACTCCCCTAGGCTCTAGTACAGCGCCCTCTGCCACCAGGAAGTAGTTAAAGAGAGAAATCTTTGCCCCTTTTCATAATAATAATCATAAGACAGGATATGAAAGGGTTTTGGCCCAGACAGGACACTGTAGCCAGGAAAGCCTCAACCGGAAGCAGGAAGCCCCTATCTCCCCCGCCCCTAGGAAGTTACCTGTGACGCCATCTTCCTGCCCCTGGAGATTTACATATGACGCCAAACCTAGGACCAATGGGCTACCTGTACATCCCTAATGCCCGCCTTAGGTTCCACCCCAAACCGAGGCTATTTACATGCCCCCACGCCACGTGTCTGCCAGAGATCGCCAGAGGCCAGCGGTGGGGGTGCCAGTCATCTCTCTCCGTGTTCTCAGAATAAAGGCCGCTTTTTATTTTATACTTCTCATCTTTTGGAAATATTTTTCATCTTTTGGAAATAATCCTAGCAGAAAGGAGGAGGGGATTTGGAGGATTTCGCAGCCAAAGATCTAAGTAAGAGAAGACGGGGATCAGAAGTGTAGGTCTCAGGTGCAGACCCCGGAGGGCTGGTGGACCTAGCTGGCCTAGCAGCCCGTAGCTCTAAAGCTGTTCCCCAGGAAACTGGAGCTGAACCTAGTTTAGTTTAGAGTGACAGGAGCCACAGCAGGGCGTGGCACTTCCTCCAGGAGGCGTGGCTTGCCTGTGGACAATCGGCTCTGGGGCAGTGGCAAAGCTGAGAAGCAAAAGGGGTTTGTTTCGACCCTAGTCAGGGAGAACCCCCATGCTAGTTTCTAAGGCCAACTGCGGGTCGTGGACATAGTACAGCGTGCCTGTTGAAAGTTTGTCCCCGGAGAGCCTGTGAAGTGCCTTGTTGCTACATTTTCGAAGCTGGTGGGGCCTGAGTAGGAAAGAGAGGAAGGGTGGCTAGCCTGATGGGCCTTGCCCGCTTTCTCTCACGTGGCTTAGCACTGTCTTCAGAACATAGGTAATTCTTATAAAACAACCAGGTTTTGCTTTGCAGATTCCTACACCTTACTGCGCAAATGGGTTCATCCTACACAGATTCTCCAGGAAAAGTACAAGGGATCACCAAAGGCTTCTTCGCTGCAAAGGCAGCTTCAGCACTGGTCAAGAAGTTCAGGGGGCTGGCACCAGGCACTGCTCAGACCAGCATCATAAGGAGGAACTGCGATGGAGCCAAGTGGTCAGCTGAGTGCTGTCCATATTTAGTCAAGGCTGCGAATCTTTGCTTATATGCAAGCTATGTGCTCTTGGACTTGGAAATCCTTAGTGGCTTTAGGAAAAGGTTTGTGTATACTTGGGATGGGTTGATTTTGCTGTTGTGTAAACAAACTGGATCCAGAAATGAGAGTACCCAGAATGTCAAAGGGACCAGAAAAGTAACCTCAGGCCTGGCTGGCAGCTGGCCATACAGAGCAGGGTTCAATGGCTTCCAAGTCTCAGGCCTCACTCATACCCCACTTCCTACTGGGGAAGCTGTGGACAGCTTTCTTCCTGTGCCAAGCCAGTGTCTCTGCGAACACTGGTCGTGACCTCCCAGGTGTGGCAGAATGTATAATCCTGGCCACTTCAGAAGCCCAGGCAGGATGGTCACAAGTGCAAGGCAATCTCAGACAATTCAGAGATACTGGCTCAAAATAAAAAGTAAAAGGCTGGAGTTGTAGCTCAGCAATCCCCAGGCTCAGTAAAAATGTATGGGCTTTAGCACATCTGCCTCACAGGTGTGGCTGTAAAGATCAAGAGAGCACAGACTGAAAGCATTTGGCTCCTGTGAGCCTGGTGTCACAAGGCAGGACTTGGAACAGGTCCCATGTATCGCTGGCTCCCCAACAAGTACACTTCTGCTAACCTTGGGTCTGAGTGGTTGACCACAGACTAAGATTTGCTCAGAGAATGGCCTCAATGTTTATCTCCAACACCCAGTAGAACTCTGGGCTGAAAGGGCTGATGAGGGCTGATTCCCTGCAGAGAACTGCCCTGTGTTTACCAAAGCTAAGCCTTCAGGAAAGAGAGGCAACTATAAGTTGGTAAATAGTAGCTCTACCAGCTATCCACAGGCAGGACCTTTCAACCTTATTAAAAAAAAAAAAAAAGATTGCAGAAGTATGAAAGGAGTACAGGGGTCTGGGGTGGTGGGAAGGGCAACTGTCTGGGATTCTTATAGGCCTATTTGCCTGCAAACTGATGACGGGGATGCTGGAGTGTTGGTCCCCTAAAAGCTTCTCTCTGATGGAATTGGGCAGTCCTTGGCTTGTCCCCTCCCTCTCTCCAGAGGCTCTCCTACTAACCACAGGTGACCACCCCATCCCATATGCCTGCAGGAAACCAAAAAGCCCACAGCCTGGTGAAGGTGGAAATGAAGGCAGGGCGCCATCTCTGGAGGGAATAAAAAGGGAGCCAGACAAGGCTGATCTAAGCTCAAAGCACCCTCTGCTGGGGAATGAGGCTCCCTGCAGACAGGGCTTGGTCTCAGAGACCTGCAGGCAGGAGACTGTTCTGGGCACTCAGGGAATAGAATTAAGCACAGGTCAGCAGATAGACAGGGTTGCAGTTTATTGACTGACCAGCGTGTGGAAGCTGTTGGCCTTCAGGGCAGTGGTTACAGAAGCAGGAAGTGATCTCTCAGGTTCCCAGGGGGCCTCTGCTGTGCCCCACTCTGGTCTTCTGCCACAGGGAATAGGAACTGGAGTCTCGATCATCCAGGCTACACTCCGGACTCACCACTACCTGTTCCATTTGGCTTATCCATCGAGGCCCCAGCCCTCCCCTTGGAGATGACAGCAGATGGAAAAGGTCCAAGCCCCAAGAGAGCAGGCCAGACGAGGGGTGGGGCTTAGTGGTAGAAGACTGGCCTAGCTTATGCAAAGCCCTGGGTTCTGTCCCCAGCACCCAGTGAGAGAAAAGGAAAGGAAGGGAAGGGGTTAAGACGAGGGCTGTGGCAATGTCCAACAAAGGCAGATGGGACAATGACCCACCGCTAGATTGCACATGTGGGATATTGGGGGGGAGCACCTTTCCCACTTGAGTCCCTCGGCAGGGAGCACAGCGGCAGCTCCTGGAGAGGATGCTCACTCTGCCTGTGTGCCTGTGTGGCTTTCAGGTTGACAGAGGAGCTGGGCTCCTTGAGTCAGTGCTAGAGCAGGCTGAGAACTTCTACAGTTATGCCGCAGATGCCGTGTGGCAGTGTAGGGGGGCAGGTGGATACAGCTCTTTTGTTTTGAACAGAAGAGATGGAGCTACTCCAGGATATGTGGGGTGGCACTGAGGGGTGCATAAGCCCCCCACTTCCTGGTCCCAATCTGCCTTCCTCTGCTAGCTCAGGTCTTGAGCCAGTTTTGGAAGCCAGGTTATCAGAAACCTGAATGATCCAGCCCATGTTGGTGCCATGCTGTCAGAAGTGACATGGCCAGTGGAATGGTTTAGGGAAAGAAGTCCCACCTGTAACCTGGGAAGCCAGACAATCAGACTACCCAAGGATGGCATGTCTGCTCTTAGCTGCCAGGACCAAAAGTATAAACACATACAAGGATCGTATGTGTATAGGTAGTCCAGAAAGGATCGTGTGACTCTGCTTTTTTGAAACCAGAGAGGAGAGAGAAAAGGGTTCCTTGTTCAGCTTACTGGACGGCTGGTCTCGATGGCTACTGTCCTACCACGTTCGCTGAAGAGTACCAGGCAGATGGGCAAGCGGCAGAGACAGCAAAGTGGGCCTGAAGCAGCAGCCCAGGGAGTAAGGAAGGGACTGAGCTTCATCAAAGCCCCTTGTTGTAGTAAACCACCTCGATGCTGGGATTTTGCTCATGGATCTGGGCCCTCAGCTCCGGCTCCAGTCTGCTCACATGTATGGAGCTGCAACAGAAGAGCACAGCTTAATGGCCTTGGACTACACGCTCCTCTCAGGCCAGAGTCTTCTCGCATCCAGAAGGGGTGACTTGCTGGCTTCTCAGCCCCCAATCAGTGTAGGGCCTGCTAGGCTTCCCCAGAACACTCCAAAGGGCCAGTTGGTCCTGAGATGAGCAGTACCCCCAGCCCAGCTGGGGTAACACTTACCTCCTCTGGGGGAACAGGGCACAGCACAGAGGGGTGGCAAATACCAGGCTGAGGAAGAAGGTGTTAGAAAAGTTTGTGGAACATGGGCTGAAGAGTGTTCCCACCTGCACCCCACCCCACAGAAGCACCAACAGCCCTGGCGGTGGAGGTTGATTTTTTTTTTTTTCTTTTATGGTGCTAGGGGGTGTAAGCCAGGGCCTCACACATGCAAGCAAAGGCTCTGGGCCAAATCCCCAGCCCTAATGGTGAAGACTAATGAAGCCCGAAAACCTTTTTAGAACATTAAACCCCGCCTTGATATGAGTGTCTGGCTGAGGAGAGTCCCCAAGGTCTTGATCCGAGGCCCCCAAGCCAAAAAGTGGCAGAAACAGGAATTAAGTGAGCAGAGGCTCTGGATGGTATCAAAGGGACATTTCTATGGTTCTCTGGTGGATGAAGACTGTAACTCTTCACTAAACTCAACCTTTAAGGTCAGGGGTCACCCCTAATATGCACAGTATACCCCACACCAGCTGAATGTATGAGTGGATTATGTACAGAATCATCTTAAAGGCAGTAAATTTCTGCCCACATTTGCTACAGACAAGGCACTCCCCTGTACCCCCAGCTGGCCCCTGAGCACTTACCAGAAGCCCACCAGCCCCACCTGCAGGGGCGCCCCCAGCCAGGGCCGGCACTGTGGGAAGACAGAAACAATGGGAGGGCTCTGTGCCCACCAACCTCCTCCGAGTGAGCCCTACCTCTGCTGTCCACTGCCTCCAGCTCATGCTCACCAGCCTGCCTTTGAGCCCTAGGACGCATGGTCCTTTGCTTTCTTCCAAGCCTCTTCCTAGCTGGCCCTCTAGCCGGGCCCACACTACTTCGCAGCATCCCCACACATTCCCACTATTACAGCCGGTTCCAGGGTGCTCCCTGGGCCCCTCCTCTTCCTGCTGGAGTTGCTGTCTCCAAGAAACAGTCCTGAACCCCTACTTCCTCTCATCCCAGCTGCATGAATCTGTCCCTTTCCAAACACAAGTGTGCTTGACATGCTCTTCTCCACTCCTAGTCATAAGAGTTACCATTCTGTTCTTCAAGTGTGCAAGCCTACTCCTGTCTCAGGACCTCCGTATTGGATGCTTTCTCTACTGAAACACACCTCTCTGCCCTCTCTGCCTGGCTAGCTTCTTCTCATCCTTTGGGACTGCAGAGACCTCCTTCTCTAATCAGCCTATCCAAGCTGCTCCACACTGGTTCCTACAAAGCCACAACTCAAAGCTATGTTTACTGGTTGCTGTGTTCATTGGTTTCTGCACTGGACTATAATCTCCATGAGGACAGGAACTGTGACTTTTGCGTTCTGTGCTGCCTTCACAGCCAGAGCTTGTATTCCTGAACCTGTCTTCCCTGTGCCACGTGCATGGGTGTGGGTGTGCATCTGTTAGCAGGCGACGCCGTGAGTGACAGCATGAGTAAGATATGAAGCATAACAATGACAGTTCATTGGTACATCAGAAGCCTGCAGTGTCAGGACAGAAGCCATGTCCTTCTACCTGTTGTCAATGCCCTTCCCTGTGGCCCAATTCATTCTTGCTGAAGGAAGGAAGGAGCAGGATGGGAGAGGGGATGGCAAGTCTCAGACTCAGGCTGGGCTGGGAGTTGTCACTCCTCGATGACCCCCAGAGCTTCCACAACGGGAAAAGTGAGTGACCCACCTTCAGGAAGTCCTTCTTCTCCAGCGTGTCCATGATCACTGGGGGAATGGCTAAGGGCAGAGCGGGGCAGAAGAGGCACTTAGTGAAGAAAAGTCAACCCCAAAGGAGGAAGGCCCCTTCATGCATCCTCTCACTCCCCCAAGAATCTTACTGCCTGATTCCAGAGGCCCAAGAACCTCAAAGCTCTTGTCTCAAAGCCTTCCATGCCCTCCCCTGTCCCAGCCAGAACTCCTCACCCATGGCAGGGATGGCCATCCCAATCCTTGATATCACCACCTGGAAGATACCCTGCTTGGCTGCAGTGACCGAGTGGCCCAGTCTCTGTCCGGCCTCATCAGTCACTGGGATGCCCACTTGCAGCTCCCTAGGAAAAGAAGGGGTCTGGGGTCAGATGATAGGCCCCAAGTGGCCCCTTCAAAGCCCAAATGAGCAGCTTGTTCCTTAGAGCCCTTCACACACTCTTACACCCAAAGGCTGGTTCTCCCACCCCAGGATCAAAGGCATGGGGCCAGCCTGCCATGACTGTAGCCATCCTAAGCAGTGACCACCATGACTGCCCCTTAGTACTGCCCAGTTTTCCCTGCAGTTCCCTCAGAAGATCCTAAGCAAAGACACTAGATGGGGTGTGGAGTGTTACCACCCATATCCAGACACCAGGACTATGCCCGATTTTAATAACAGCTTAAATATATTTTGGCTTCCATCAGTCACTTTTGTCCTTACCATTCTGTATCATGTATCTGCTGACCAGGCTACTGTAAGACCACACTTAGGCCCTGAGTCCCCAGTAAACTGCACCTTGTTCATCCCTGGACCTGGCTCTATTTCCATCTCACAGCGCCTTAGGGCCGGTTCTCATCCGTGGGGACAGGGTTGTTCCAGAACACAGGCTCAGACTGAGGCAGGCCCAGCAGCTCACAGGCTCCTGCCTGGGAGAGGGCTCTCCCCATGCTGAGCTGTTTGGCATGACTGGGCCAGGGCCACTCACCGCTGCCTCATCAGGGGGATGTTGATGCAGTTGGCAGCAGCCACCGCCGCAAAGGGCACAAATCTGCCAACCAAGGTAGGAAGGTGCTGGGGAAGAAAAGTGTTGTTCAGTGCCCTGAGGGCCATGGGATGTGGAGGGACTCCTGGGAGTAATATGGGGAGCTGCAGGCCAGGACTGGAGGATAATGGGGTAAAAGCCCTGGATAAAGGACCTATGGGGGCTTACCTTGGTAAGAGATTTGAGTCCCAGAGCTGTGGCCACAGCTCCTGTGGTGGCACTCATATAAGCAGTGCCTAGCTGCCTATGGGCAGAAGAACCAGGTCACAAGGGAGAAATGAAGTCCAGTGTGTGGCTCAGATGCCTCAGAGACATGCAGTGCAGGAGGTGCTCTGGCCGAGGGGCCCTCCCTGCAGCACCCACATAAACTCAGATACCTACTCACTCCCTCTGAAGGAGAGTGGGTTCCCAAAGGGCCTCAGGCAGAGAAAGGGTCTGCACGCTGCAGCAAAGCTTAGCCCCAGGCATGGGGGGCAGCCAGAAGAGCACATGGGCTGGGCGGGGTGTCACAGCTTCCCGGGGACGGAGTCTCACCGCACTGAGATGGGCGCATCACCGCTGCGGTTGGAGTAGTTAACGATGGCATTGAAGGACTGATTCACCCACTGCCAGAACACCACAGTGGGGGTCTTCCTGGGGGAACCAGAGTTCAGTATTTGCTCCTGCCCCCTGTACAGTGCCCCCCCATCCTTGAGCCTCTGTAATGAAACCCCAGGGACCATTCCTAGATGCTTCAGAGGGACCTAGTCAATGATCCCAGAACCCCCTCTGTTCACCTCTGCTTTTCCCTCACTCCCCTCTCTCAGGCTGAGTTCTGAGGGTGGAAGGGGCTGCAGTAGCTCTCCTCCCCTGGCCACTGTTAATACAAACTGGCCCAGGGAGAAGCCCACAGTCACCCAGGCATGTTCCAGCGCACAACACTCAGCAGCGGACAGGGAGGAAGACCTGCCTGTAGAAGGTGAGCATGCAGCCCGTGATGGTCATGTTCATGGGCACCTGGGCAGACATCCGGCCAATGAGGATCACCTTCTCTCCTGTGTCTGGATGGAAGGCAGAGTCATACACATACTTGGCCTGCCATAGCTGGTCCTCGGTGAGTCCTGGGGTTACCACACCAGCCCTGCAGAAGTTGACATGGCACTGACGGGCAGATTCCCAGGCTTCATCTGCCTCCCAGGGAACTCTGAGCAGAAGACCAGGAACTCTGGTTCCCAACCTCAGGGTAAAGGAGGCTTTTGTCTCCAGCAGACTGATCACTAGAAGGGAGAGCCAAAGCTCCCCAGAAATAGGGGTTCCACTTCCACTTTCCTTCTAGCCACACAGTTTCTATTGGGTCACAGGTGATGGTAGTTTCTAATAGATCAGGAAAGAGTAGAGGCATCAAAGAGTTTTCCTCATGATGACAAGAGGAGTGCCCTCCTGCTTCCTTGGGAATCGATCTTGAATCCCTACAGTCTTGCAAAAGGGACCAAGATCCCTGGAGAGGGCTCGTGCAGTGCATGGGCAACCCCACCCCCACCCATAAAGATCAATGCCGCCTCTTCAACCCAAACACGATGAAATTCTCTGAGTTAAACTCTGTGCTATAGGTGTCTGAGATGCCGGCTGGCAGGGCCAAAGAAGCAGGGGGATGTGGGGCAGGGTCACCCTCATCTTGTGGAGGCAGGTACAAAATGCTCTAGATTATGTAAAGGAATGAGAACCCCGGGGTGACAGGGTCAGGTGGAGGAAGGATCACCTGTAGTTCTGCACAATATTCTGGGAAGCTTCCAGCTGTGCCCCAGACAGCAACAGGTTTCGGGGGTCAGTAACAGCGAAAAAGTGCCGGGCTCTGCCCAGGAAAGTGCTTTGGTCCCAGCGAGGTTCCTGAATGTTGATATCTAAGGGCAGTTCACCCATTTTCTGCAAGATAAGGACAAGGACCAGAGGGCTTCAAAGACAGACCAAAGGCTTCACCTGGAGGAAGTTTGTTGGCTTCCCCTGGTCCCTAAGCCTATCATCAGTCCCTTCCAGAGCTCAAGGAGACTGCAGGTAGGTAAGCCAAGGTGGAGGAGTAATTTCCTAGGCAATGCCCTGGTGAGGGACCTATAGCCACTGGAAGAGGAGGAGGGGAAGACCAGACCAGGAAAACAGATCTCCCTGTGCTCCGGCCTGGTGCAGATTTTCAGGACGGGATTTAACTGTGCATGATTGATGCATGCATGAACAACTAATCCTAAGCAGCTACCCATAAGCACTGGAAGGTCAAAAATACGTATGATTGGGGGCTGGGGATTTAGCTCAGCGGCATAAGCACCTGCCTTGTAAGCAGGCGGTCGTGAGTTCGATCCCCGGTACCGATAAAAAAAAAAAAAATACGTATGATTACACACCCATGCCCATGTTACCTGCAGCCCAAAGCTGTTCTGAGACCCGGACACAGACCCTGGAGGCTGTTGGGGTAAGCTTCCCACACTTTAGCCCTTGACTGAGTAGAGCAAGGGCTCTGGGACTCCCTGCGGTGTATATACTTGGAGCTCAGGAAGAAGTTATTCAGGTCCCTGCACTCAGGCATGCACTGGGCCCCTTTCCAGGACCCTCTCCTGCAATCCACACTAAGGACCGGAGGCTCTCCCTGCTCCCTGGCTAGGCAGGGCTGGCACAGACACCCATCCACCTCTCTCGGTACTACCTACCTCCGGAATGAGCAGGGTTCAGTGGAAGCTCCCTCCACCCAGCACGGAGAGGAAAGCCCAGAGCAGCCATCTGGCCATGCTAGGCAAAATCCTGCAGAATGACTAATCCCCTCCAACCTCACTTCCTCCCTCACAAGAAGACACACCCGCCTCACACATTCACAGCCCACACAGAGACAGGCACAGCTCTACCAAACATGCAAACAGACGGCCACACCCTTTACACACCATGCCCATACACCAAAGACCGTTACACACACACACACACACACACACACACACACACACGACCCCTGTCTGTGGGTTGCAAACACTTGAATGCCACCACAGGGAGCCTCACCCCACACTCATCTCCCAACCAACCCAACCCCTGTGGGCTCCCACGGGTCCCGTGTACTGAGTCTGGCCACATCCTCGCCACGGCCGAGAGTGAGCACCTCCCAAACACGGTCCCGCACCCTCCCTTCCCCGACGCCCACAGCCCACAGCCCGCACTCACGCAGTCCCGGCTTCTGCCTCCTAGCTCTCCGGGGCCGTGCTCCGCCCCCTTCCCCCCCCCGTCTGTCACGTGATGCGGGCGGAGCGCCGGGGCGGCCGAAGCTCTGCAGAGGCTGGGTCGGTGGGCGTCACGGCGCTAGACCCCCAGTTCGGGATTCGGTCCTGCGAGCTCCAGATCGTCTCTGAGGCGGGGATTATCTCTCGCCTCCTGTCTCTCACAGTGAGGCAGAAGAGGAGTGGACGTAGACGGCAGCGTCGCCTGCAGTGCCTGCGCCGGCCGCTAGAAGCGCCCTTCAGCAGCGAGAGTCCGGGGAGCGGCGCGCAGGTGGGTGGCTGTGGGCTCCGGTTGCTGCCGTCTGCCGCGTGACGCCTCGGCGACGCCGTCTGCCTGCCAGTCTCCCGGGCTCCTCCCCCGAACTCCCAGCTCGCGACGCAGCCCCTCGGCATCGCCTTCTTTCGCGGCCGAGCTCCTGTCTCGTCTGGCTCTTCCTGCTCCCCCCCCCCTGCAGTCCCGGCTGCACTGGGTCCTCAGGCTCGGGTGTCCCCAGCCCTTACCCGGGACCACACACTGAGTGACTGCAGGGCAGGAACCTCGAACAACCTCTGTGTCTGGAGCCATCGTGAGGGGACATGCATTGTGTCCCGGGACCGCGGTACCAAGCATCACCTCTCCAGAACGGGGGTCCAAAGAGACACCGACCTCCCGCCGCCCTCAGCACACAGCACACGCGACTCACCCAGTCACCGCCCCGCGCCGTTTGCACACGCTCCTAGCCCTGCGAGCTCAAGCCCCACGGAGCGCTGAACTCCGCTGAGCCTGCGGGTCGGCTGGGAACCAATCCTTCCCTACGCCCACCGGGAGGTCGGGAGCGGGAGTGACTGACGGCCCCGCAAGCCAATGGGGGCTCGGGACACCCAGGCCCGCCCTCCTGCACCGGCGGGGCGGGGCGGGGTCCCCCGCGGTGACTGCCAGAGCCAGGGATGCAAGGGCGAGGTAGGCGCAAGCGAGCAGGTGAGAGCGCGAGGGCGGTGGCCTGGCGGTCTAGCAGGGCCGGGGTGGGCGCTGCACTCAGGGTCCCGCAACGGCTCCGCTGGCTTCGGCTGCGGGTCTGCGCAGGGCGTTGTGGGGTCCTCGCCAGCAAATCCTCCGCCCGTGCGTGAGGAGAGGCTCACGCTGCGTCTGCACACCTGCGCCGCAGCCTGCGCCCGTGGATCTTGGGTCCTGAACTCTGTCCCGTGGCTGAACCCTCCTCGTACAAGCGGGAGAGGTGTCTCTGGGGATTGAGCCCACATCCTCTCACACGCTTGAAGGCCCAGGGTCTTGCGGTCTCCGTACTCAGCTCTGCCTCTGCAGAGCACGGGGGATGGGGAGATGACTGCTGAGAGTGGAAATGAGAGGTGCAGAAGGGCTCCCCATCCACTTTGTTATGTACTGGCTCCAGAGGTCCGAGCCAGTGAGTGGACCCAAAGTTGGTCCAGGGTAGGAAAGGCGTGCCTAGGGCCTGAGAAGGCAGGAGCCGCCGGGGCTGGGGCGACACGATGCACACAGCGTTCACATCCGCTGTCAATTCCTGCGCGCCCTGCCCAGGTCTGAGTGCACGCCGTCTGGAAAGGGCCCGGTGACACAGAAGGCCCATGGGGCGCGGGAAGCGGAGGGCCAGTCGCTGGAGGGCCACCGCCTCCGTTCTGGGCCAGTAGGGCGCCGCACCGGCCCCGCCACGCCATGGCGCGCGGGTTCGTGGCGGGCTTCGACCCCCTGAGCCTGGGAGAACTCAACTCCGGCTCTCTGAGCTCCCTGTCCTCCCGGGGCCACCTGGGCAGCGACTCAGGCTCCACCGCAACGCGATACCTGCTGAGGAAGCAGCAGCGGCTGCTGAATGGGCCCCCCCGCGGAATCCGAGCCTCATCGCCCATGGGCCGAGTGATCCTCATCAACTCCCCCATCGAAGGTGGGTCGGGCCCAGGCGCTGGTGGGGCAGAAAGAGACCTGCACTGTAGCAGGGGCAGAAGCGGGAGGCCAGACTGGAAGCTGGGAAGGGGTCCATTGGGGTGTGCCTCTGGGCAGGACAGAGAGCAGTGTGACCAGTATTGTCCCCAGGCTGGGGGGGGGGGGGGACAGGAGCCTGCAGGCCTAGCAGCAGATATTTAGAAGAGGAGAACAGGAGGACAGAGGGCCAGGGAGGGCACCTAGGTCCAGTCCCTGAAGGCAGGACAGTGTATGAGACTGACACTTCCGTGTTGCAGACCAGTTCTAAGCTTCGCTAGTTGACTCAGACGGGACATGCATAGACAATACCCAGTCTCCACCTTCTAGAACCGTACAGTGCGCCAGGACTCAGAGACCCCCCTGCAAGAGCAGCTGGTGTCAGGGTGCAACTAGCACCCACAAACGTTGGAAGCAGAAAGTGCAGCACACAGGGGAGGGCACTTGGGAGATATCCTGGTGCTGCAACAGATGGTGAATCGCAGAGAACTGGAACTAGACAAGACCTTGAATGCCACATGGAGCGGGAGGGGAGGGGCCCTGTGTACCCCCCGGGCTTCTGTGGGCAGGACCAGATAAGAATCTACAGCTCCTCTCCTCTTTCTTCTTCAGTGAAACTCCCCATGCTGGGTCTCCAGTAGGCCCCAGGGCCCTCTGGCCTGCCCACCGCCAGGCAGCTAGGGTAGGGGTTCTGGGAGCAGGCTTTCTTCTGCCCGAGGTGGGCATGTGTGCCCTGTCATCCACTGCAGGTGTGCACTACTGAGGGTCACCACTGTCATTCTGTCAGGAGACAGAAGTCCCAGAGGAGCTGGGTGGCCGGAGGTGCTACAGCACCCTGACTGTCAGAAGAGCTCTGCCGTACCTCCCCTTCCACACACCCCATGCCCATGCTTCAGAACCCTGAGGAGAGGTGCTACTAAAAGCTCTGGGCTACTTGCTTCACTACCTACCCCTGCAGTGGGCTCCCAGGGAGCAGCTTGTAGCAGTAAAGGCTGGGGCCATCGACCTGACCACCAGGCCCCACCCCGAGTGCAGAATCCTCCCTGCATCATAGGGACAGGCATCTCCCACTCACACAGCTCCTACCCCATGGTCCTACCTCCACCCCTCCAGGACAATAAGGTAACTGATGAAGGAGACCTGGGGCCTCCTTGACTTGTCTCTCGATGGGAGAAACCCAGAGGTCCCATAAGCACCAAAACTCAATTGGTCCCAGAGTAACGAATGCATGCTCTAACCTGGTACTGTGGTATGTGGCTATAATGCCAACTATTTTGGAGGCTGAGGAAGGAGGATCATCGGTTTAAGGTCATCCTAGGCCCCTTAGGAAGACTCCATCTTGAAAGAAACAAAAGAAAAGAAAATGCATGATCTTTCATCTAAACCAGCACTTTCTCCTCTCCTAGTTCATTCAGTCATCTATGTGTTCTCTTTACTCAAAAAATACTCGGGGCTTCGGATTTAGCTCAGCGGCATAAGTGCCTGCCTTGCAAGCAGGCAGTCATGAGTTCGATCCCTGGTACCGGTAAAAACGAAAAAGACAAAAAAAAAAAAAAAAAAAATTTAGCTACCAAGCACTATGCAGCATACTGGGGCAGTGCTAGTGGAAAAAAAAAATCCATGTGCAATTTCCACAGTTGAGCTTACAGCTCAGTGAAAGGAGACAAGTAATGAACAAGACATGAATAGCCATTGATAGCAAAGGATGGGAGAGTCCAGAAGGACAATTGGAGTGACACAACTGCGAAACACAGACTGGTTTTCAAACTCCAGAGTGGGCCAGGCTCCCTGGACCTTGCCTCCCAGGCTTCTGGTCCTGGGTGTTGGCGGTGAAGCCCAGGAATGCACTCTGTGACAAGTTGAAGGCTAATGCTGCGGACCCTGCTGCATGCCTGAGAAAGGCTGCCCTACGATGGGCAGCTCAGGCTTCCAGAGATAGTGATATTCAGGAGCAAAGGCTGTGAGGAAAGGAGTGGCCTTAGAAATGCCAGCATGAGTGCACTGCAGATAGAGGGGACTCCCAAGTGCTGGCCTGTGTGATGGAAAGCACGGGGGCGGGGGGTCAGGGAAGCCAATGCCCAGGGAGGAAGAGGAGTGAGCAGAAGAGGCTATGGAGGAGGAGCAGGCAGGGGGCTGGTGGGGACACTGCTGGGGTGGAACTGAGAAGAGCTGTGGAGAGCCTGGAGGGTGGAGCAGGAGAGGAGGGCCTGCCCTCATGGACACAGCCTGATCAGGACCCCAGGGAAGGACTCAGAGGAAAGAGGTGTGTGTGGGGGGGGGGGGGAGTGGCCCCTGGATGAGCTGCATGTCCCCAGTCTGTGTGATGCACAATTGGCTGGCTGCCCCAGGCTTGCCCAGGTGTCTGCCCTGCACCAGTGCTCCTTGGCTGCCTTGGGCATTCCTGTCTGAGCTGCCCTGGCCATGCACTGTAATCTGATTTCTGCCAGATCAAATTGAAGTGTATATAGCTGTGTGTGTGTGTGTGTGTGTGTGTGTGTGTGTGTGTGTGATTTCTCCCTCTAAGACCTCTAGAGTAAGCCTGGCCTGAGAAGAAATCTCACCTTCTCACCTGGGAACCAACTTACCATCTCTCCTGGAATTTTGAATTTCACTACCCAGGAGGCCTCTGGGCTGGTCCCCCTTCCCTCTTCCCCCTGACCCCATCTCTTCATCTGGCTAAGAGGCACCTATTCCTCCACCCTGCCCAGCACGGGCAGGGAGGTAGGTGCTGGCTGGGCTCTCTCCAGGCAGCCATGCAATTCCTGAAGCCCTTAGCCCCGAGCCCCAGAACCACAGCTGAGAGACAGATGAGGACTCAGAGATCCCTTCAGACCTAACAGCAGGATTCCCCCATCTCAGCCCACACACTTCCAGAGATGGGAAGCTCACTCTCTCCCAGAAAACCCATCCCATTGGGGCTGGGGGTTTAGCTCAGCGGCATAAGCACCTGCCTTGCAAGCAGGCGGTCGTGAGTTCGATCCCCGGTATCGATAAAAATGAAAAAGACAAAAAAAAAAAAAAAAAAAAAAAGAAAACCCATCCCACTGACAGCAGAGTGCTTGGGAAAACTTTCATTTCAAGCTCTGTAGCTCCTTGTCTGGCTATGTGGGCTCAGTTCTGTCCTCTAGGTTACGCGGTCAGGACCATGTGTCATGCCTTCCCCAGGACAGCTCCCCAGGTGTTTGGAGTCAGTCCCGGTGCACTCATTTCTGCTGTGAGTGAAAGGGTGGGGCTCCCTCAGCTGCCCCCAAGTGGAACCTTGCAACTTCCTTTCTATGCATCTGACTGTCAGAGTAGCAGGAGTTTTTCAGAATGTGGGCACTGTAAAATTATACGTATGCGCATACACGCACCCACTCTCCAGCCGTGCTCACCTGCCCACATCTCTGTGGCCCGTGGGGCAATGGGAATTGACATGCACACCCCATCAGGGCTGTGTGACTGCCCATAGCCCAGCCTTTACAGGCCTCAAGTTGGGGAACCCGGGGCCTCTGTGCCCAGACTGAACCGGGTTCCCACCTGTATCCTGTCCCCCACAGCCAACAGCGATGAGAGTGACATCATCCATGCCGTGCATGTGGAGAAGAACCCGGCCGGGAGGCTGGGGTTCAGTGTGCGCGGTGGCTCTGAGCATGGGCTGGGGATCTTTGTCAGCAAAGTGGAAGAGGGGAGCAGTGCAGGTGAGTGGGGTCAGGGGCCCAGTGCAGGTGCCACCCCCCACAGCAGAGGCTGGAGCAGCCCAGAGCTGACGGCTGGCCGCCCCGGGCAGGGTGGGTGGAAGAGCACAACGGTTCCCCCGGAACCCCTTGGGAAGGGAGATTGGTGCCACCTCGTCCCTGCAGAGCGGGCTGGCCTGTGCGTGGGGGACAAGATCACCGAGGTGAATGGGCTGAGTCTGGAAAGCACCACGATGGGCAGCGCTGTAAAAGTACTGACCAGCAGCAGCTGCCTGCACATGACTGTTCGGCGGATGGGTCGCGTGCCAGGCATCAAGTTCTCCAAGGAGAAGACCACGTGGTGAGCAGCGCCTGCCGGCCCCAGCCATGCCCCTCTACCATTAGCTCTGCTGTCTGGCCAGAGCCCTGTACCCTCTGCGCTGCTGCTGGGACCCAGGCCCAGGGCGAAACTTCTGCGTGGGCACTGGGCTAGAAACGGAGCCTGGGCTGCCTTGGTGGAATAGCAAGGGCTTAGCGTGCTCTGGGCCGTGGGTCAATCCCCAGGGAGGAGAGGGAAGAAAGAGGACAAGAGAGGAGAGAGACGAAGGAAGAAGCAAGGAGGAAGGGAGGAAAATGAGTGATCAGAGGGAGTGGGACGTTTCCCCAACCTAGGCTCAGCCGGCGAGCCCTAGGTCCTGCTGAGCTTGCCAGGCCTGGCTCACGCAGCTGCCTTCCTCGGGCGTTGTGGGGCTGCTGGGAAGCGAATGGCCCAGCAGACCCCTCGCTCTGTGCCCTGTGCAGGGTGGACGTGGTGAACCGGAGGCTGGTGGTGGAGCGCTGCAGCTCGTCGCCATCCGACAGCGGCTCGGAGGACGGCATGCGGCGCATCGTCCACCTGTACACGACCTCTGACGACTTCTGCCTGGGCTTCAACATCCGTGGGGGCAAGGAGTTTGGCCTGGGCATCTACGTGTCCAAGTGAGGGCCAGGGCAGAGGAGGGGCTTGGGAAGGGGCCAAGGCGCTGCGTGGTGCGGAGGTGCTCAAAGAAAGGGCCTACGCTAGTTTGAGGACACAGCCGACACTTGTCCGATCCCAGAGTGGACCATGGTGGGCTGGCCGAGGAGAACGGCATCAAAGTGGGGGACCAGGTCCTGGCAGCCAATGGTGTCCGGTTTGACGACATCAGCCACAGCCAGGCAGTGGAGGTGCTGAAGAGCCAGACACACATCATGCTAACCATCAAGGTGGGCGGGGCCACAGGAGCCAGGGAGGGGAGGGTGGGGGTGGGGGCCCGCCAGCCCTTGTCCTCAGCTGTGCTTGGTGCCATCCTCACAGCTGTGGGAAGGAGGCTGAGCACGGTTCTCCACCTGTTCAGTAAAAGAAGCTGAGGCTTAAAGAGGCTCAATAAGCGAATCAGTGAGTGCTTCTGCTGCCCCTGGCCCCAGCCTGGCCCCTAGATTGCGTGCGCCTCTTCTGCGTGGGGCCTAGGACTGGAGAAGCTCGGCCCCACCCCGCAGGAGGCGGGGCCCCTGCAGTTTAGGGCAGGACCTGGCGGTGGGCATTCTGGGGCGTGGGGCAGAGGGCCGGCTGCAGCCAGGGCTTGGATCTCAGGGGAGATGGCTGGATTCCTCACTCATGCGCGTCTCGGAGGGCCCAGGGTTAGGTGTTTCCCCTGGCTCCTGCAGGGACTGATGCCTCCCTCCCAGTCCCCACCAGGGCCCCACTCTGCCCTCTCCTTCCCACACCTTTGCCACCTCGTGTCCTCCACCTTAGCTGCCTCTGTTCCCCGCCTCTCCCTCCCCTCATGTCACCCAGACATCCTTGCAAACTCTTTCCTGACCCTCACTTATTGTTTGGCAGTATTTCTTTTTTTTTTTTTTTTTTTTTTGGTCTTTTTCGTTATTATCGGTACCAGGGATCGAACTCACGACTGCCTGCTTGCAAGGCAGGTGCTTATGCTGCTGAGCTAAATCCCCAGCCCCTGTCTGGCGGTATTTTTAAGCATGTACTGTGTGCTGGCCACTGTGCCAGCTGCAGCAGTGAATAGGGTGGACAGGATCTCTGATCCTGGGCGGCAGTGGTGAGGTTCTTGCAGGCTGTGACATGGCTGTGAAGGCACTATGGAGTAAGGAAGGCCAGGCATCAGGGCAGCCCCTCCGAGAGAGGGACACCTAACGCACAAGCATGCGCTAGCTGCATCGTGAGCTGAAGGAGGAGAGAATCAGGGGCAGGAAGAGCAAGTGCAAAGGCCCTGAGGTGCAAGGAACTTGCCATGTTCTGAAATAAAGTGGCCCATGTGGCCAGAGCACAGAGGACTCAGAGGAGAGAGAGATGGAGTTGAGAAGTTTACTCCCATTCTGTTCCTTCCCCATTCCTACCCTCCTGCTCTACTATGCCCACCCCAGGAGACCGGCCGGTACCCTGCCTACAAGGAAATGGTTTCTGAATACTGCTGGCTGGACCGATGTAAGTGGCTCAGGTACCTGAGGGTGGAGGCAAGGGGGTTGTCAGATCTCTGGCAAAGGAAAAGGCATAGCCCAGAGTCTCCAAGACTACTTGTGAGCCCCTCTGAGGACGTGTAAACTCAATCCCAGCTCTGTGCCTGGAGCCCCTGTGAACCAAGAAGTGGCTTTCTGGACAGGCCTGTAGTAGCTGTGACTGAACTGCAATCTGATGGTCCTTCCCCAGCCCGAGCCCCATTGGCCTGGAAGTCTCAGGCCCTGGAGCAAACCAGCCAGGGCCTGAGGTGGCACTGCCTCCGCTCTCCCTGCAGCCAGCGGCCGGGTGCCGCAGCACCCATCCTCCGCCTCCGCCTCTGAGAGCAGCTCCAGCGTCTCCTCCTATGCCTCCAGCGCCCCCTACAGCTCGGGCTCCCTGCCCTCTGACCGCACAGATGCCTGCCTGGGATCCGAGGAGCCCAGCGGCCAGGGCCCAGGCTGGGGCCGGGCAGACACTGCCATGCAGACAGACCCTGACGTGGGTGGCCATGTGAAGACCTGGTGCAGCGTGCGGCCCACGGTCGTCCTCAGGGACACAGCCATCCGTGCTGACGGCTCCCTGTCCTCCCGCCACCTTAACACCGTCCTTTCTGAGTCCCCCAAGACTGCTCTGCTGCTGGCCCTCAGCCGGCCCCGGCCCCCCATCACACGCTCCCGGAGCCAGCTGACACTGTGGGGTACGTGGGAGAGGGGAAGCCACTCTCCCCAACCCCCTGCTCAAAACCTGCCTCCTACTTGGTCCTGGGCCCAAACCTCCACTTGCCTCAGCCTTGATCCAGAATCAGTGGAGAATATTCTCAGATCCTGCTCTGGGCTCCATTTTAAACCAGGCCAGGGCCCCAAGCCACCCTAGTACTAGCTCCAGCTCTGATCTGCTCTGAGCCCCAAACCTGACCCATCCTCCAGCCTGAAGTGCCCAGCTTGCATGCATTCTGTCTCTCCCTCTCCTTTCCCACGGACCCCTTACACAGCTGCAGCTGTGCACTGGGGCAGTGAACTGCTGGAGAGGACATGGAGCCCCACGCCTGCCAGCTACAGATCTGCCTGGCTCCCCTTTGTCCCCCAGCCCACGCCTTTGCCCCTCAGCCTTTCCTCCTGCCAATCCTTCAGCTCCTGGCTCTCCCTGTCTCTGCAGAGGAGAAGAGGCAGCGGAAGAAGGAAAAATCGGGGTCCACTGGGGAGAAGGGGGCTCTGCAGCGCTCCAAGACGCTGATGAACCTTTTTTTCAAGGGAAGGTGGCAGGGGCAGCCTGCAGGGGACAGGCACAAAGAGGCCTGGACACTGGACGGCGAGAGCCCAACCAAAGCCCGCCCTCGCCTGGACCTGGAGAAAGGTAGGGAGGAGGGTTCGAGGCCAGGTCCATCAGCGGCACACGCTGTAGTCCTGGGGTGATACCCAGTCCCCCTCACCGCCCCACACTGGTGAAGGAGGAGTGTGATAGGGTAGTCGGTAGAGGCCTCACACTACCTGTCAGTCACATGGAAGGTGTTCAGAGCACATGGTCCTTGTCACCCCTCTTCTGTCCCACTTTCCAGAAAAGGAAAATGGTAGAGGCACAGCAGGGAGGTAGAACTGGTCATGGTGCTGCTCATCTGTAATCCAAGCTAGATGTGAGGCTGAGGCAGGAGACTTTTGAGTTTGAGGCCAGCCTGGGCAACTTTAGTAAACCTTGCCTCAAAACACAGTTGATAAGGGCTAGGGATTTAGCACAATGGCATAAGTGCCTGCCTGGCAAGCACAAGGTCATGAGTTCGATCCCCAGTACCGCAAAAAAAAAAAAAAAAAAGAAAAAAAGAAAAAAAAAAACATAGTTGATAAGAGGGTGAGGCACAGTTCAGAGGTGGCGCATTGGCCTCATGTGCCCAGGACCCTGGACCTGTGCTCAGAGCTTTGGACCTTGATGGTAGTGACAGTGAGCCCTGCTTTTGTCCAGGCATCTGGCTTCACACCCCCTGGCCAGAGCTTCATGTGCCCAATCTACTTCTGGGGCCATGCTTGAGCAAGGCCATGTCCAGATCAGCCCAGCAGGTGGACCCGCCTAGGCTTCATGCGGAGGCCACATTTGTTCTGGAGGCTTGGAATCTAGACCGAGAGCTGATGAGTTAGGATGGAACTGCGTGTGATTCAATTCCAGCCAGTTCTGAAAAGCACCTCTGGGCTCAGCTGCCGGCTTGCGCTGGCCTGAGGTCCGGGAGCTATCTCCGGACCTCTGGTCCTCCGCATCCCTCGGTCCCATTCTGCTGGGTGGTTTTGCCGTCGTGTACAGAGGTGCAGCGGTGGCTTTCGCTCAGCAGCCCGGGGGTGGTGGTCTTACATCCTTCCCACTCAATCTCACAACTCCACGGTGGCTGTGGGTGCTTCATAAGCCAGGCTGGGGCATGGGTACCCAGGACCTAGGCTGAGAAGGGAGCGGGTGTTGGGTAGGTGGAAATAACTGGAGGAAGAGGAGCTGAATGCTTCCCACCCTAGGGTTCTCGCTTCGGGATGCCATGTGCCAGTCCACAGGAAAGGCGTCTCTCCAAAGTGAGGTGGTCACCCCTCGTGCCTCCATCTCCCTCAGCACCTGCGGCTCTGTGCTTTCCTGCTCCTTGGCCTCTCTGGCCACTTCCATCTCTCCTCCCAAGGCTCCCTTTCCCTCTGATCCTTGAAGGTAGGTCCTCCATGCACTTCCCTTGGGGCCCTTCCCACTGTACAGTGGTGTGGAGGGCATCTCCATGGGCAGCTCGTCTACTCAAAGCTTCTCTGACTCCTGCGTTCCCTCTGAGTGAAGGCCCTTGCTGGTCTCTTGCCTCCTGTCCCACCTCTTTGCACTCCAAGCTCCCTGTCTAGTCCGATCCCAGCACTCTACTTCCAGGCCTCAGCCCCAAACCCGAAGCTGAGCCCTCTCTCCTCAGCAGGGAGCATGGGGCCGGTGCAGAAGTTTGTCACCTGGAGACTGAGGCGAGGTAAGTCCTGTGTCCCTCCCCAAAACCTGGCCTACAGTGGAGCAGCAGGCAGACATGTGCTGGGGTCAGCTTAGTGGCTGTGGGCTAAATGCAGGGACACACAGGAGGGGACTGGTGGAGGGGCCTACTGGACAGCATGAAGACTGGACTGAGCTTTCTAGGAAGCACAGGGCTGCAGGCAGGTATGGGGTACATTTCTGAGAGTATGTTGAGACTCTCTAAAGTCAAATCTGGGGGCAGCAGTGGGAACAGACTGATGTATTTTTAGGAGACACAGGGATCACTAGGCTGACTCCATGAAGGAACTGATTGGATCTAGGCAAAGTTGTGCACACCTGTAATCCCAGCACTTCAGGAGGCTGAGGCAGGAAGACGGCAAGTTCAGAGCCTCCTGAGCAACTTAGAACCTGCATCAAAAATAAAAAGCGCTGGAGATGTAGCTCAGTGTGAAGCCCCTGCTGTCTCCAGTACCAGAAAGAAAAGAAAAAAAAAGCCAGATACGCAAAGGAGCATGGGGTCATGGCATGGGGTCAGCGCTGAAGACGTGACAGGCTGGGGCTGGGCTCCGTTGTGAGCAAGTCACCACAGGACACCACTCTGGGGAGCCCATATTCAGTCCTGGAACTTCGGCTCACCCTGACCTGCTTGGGGCCTGGTGCCAATGTGAGAAGCCCATCACCCGGCAGCTTCTGGTTCCTCCATCTTACCCGTGTGCTCCTGTCTTGCAGACCGGGAGAGGGGCCGGGCCCCTCTGTTGGCCAGGTCTGGGAGTCCCTCAAGCCAGTTGCCCAGTGTGGAGGACCGAGTGCAGGCCTGGGACAGCCGACGGCCCCTCATCCAGGACCTGGCCCGCCGGCTGCTGACTGAGGACGAGGTGCTGGCTGTCGCTCGCCACTGCTCCAGGGTAAGCAAACCTCTGTGCTTCTTGGTCTGGCCTCTCACTCAGGCCACTGTGCACTGCCACCCCCAGTGTCCATCTGTCTATCTGTCCACATGCACAGCACAGGCACACACACAGGCTGAACTTGCAGTCAGGAGGGGACAGGTGGGTCGCATGTCTCTGCATATCTGGTTAGTGTCAACCAGACAGTGTGGCCCGGCATGCGTGAGCTCTGGGTATCTGGCTGGTGAACGTGCAGCGTGGCCATGCAATGCCAAGGGAGCAGAACTGTGGCCCTGTGTGTGCCCTGCCCAAGGTGGAGATAGAGCTGGGGGGCCCCAGCTCTGAGCACTCAGTGGGTTGGCTGCAACTCTGGGATCTGGGCACTAGGTGGGGCTCAGTGTCTGTTTCTGTGGCTGCTCTCCTTTCTGCCCCACCTCAAGCGGGAAGTCTCCTTCATGTGTCCCTGAGTCTGCTGTGGCCCCCACATACAGTTCAGATCAGACCCCAGCGCTCCCAGAACCCTCTGGAACAGAGCCTTGGTCTGAGGGATTGGTGCAGCTGCCCAGATGACTGGGAGGAGCAGCCCTGCGCCAGGCTCTCTCCAGGCCGCATGACCTGGAATCATAAACTTTACACTCCCAGAGGGAGTGTGAACCACTACCCCCACCCTCAGCCCCCTCCACATGACTCCCTGACCCATTCACCTTTCCCGTCTCCCCATTGCCAGCCAGCACCCCGGCTCATCCAGGCTGTGAACTACACATCTAGGGGCCCCAGCCCAGGCGCTCAGAATGTGCAGTCCTCAGGGGCACCAACTCAAGGCCCATGCAGGCTCAGCATCCACACCACTTGGGGGGCCCCTCCTCCTCACAGTCACACGGCCCAGCACCTGTCCTGTGAGAGTCAGCCCACAAATCACCACCTCCATGATGCATACTCTGACCTCCTGCTTTTCTGAAATTCCCCTCTGTGCTTCTGCCAGTGACCCATGGCCCCTGCTTGATGTGACTCCTCTGCCCTCATTTCACTAGGCTGAGCTCCTGAGGGTCTGGGACAGGGTCTGTATTATGGTGCCCTAGTTGCTGGTAGAAAGCTTGGCACTCAGAGGGTGCTGAATGCAGATCTGTGAGTTTGTAGTGTGCACACAGCTGGTTCCAGACGCAGTGGGACACCAGAACCAGCACTGTTTTGTGTCTGTGCCCACAGGGGACGTTCAGTGCGTGCCGCACACGCTCGGCTCCTCCTCGCCACCAGGGGGCAGTGTGCTGTCCAAATGGGGCTCCGGATCTCCAGCGTCTGTAGGGTGGGGCATCCGGGCAGTGCCAGGCAGAGGACCGCGGATGGGAAGGGCTTCTTGTGGAGCCGTCCCTGCCCCCTCCCCATCCCAGCCCCAGACAAAGCACTGGTGTCCATCTGCGGGAGAGGAGCTGGGGGCCGAGTCTCCCCGAGCTCCCTCTCCGTAGGACAGAGCCTGCCTTTGGGGAGCCAGATGCCAAAGCCCCGGCCCTGCTCGCATACCCTCGCCAGCCCAAGCGGCCCTGTGCATAGCTCTCACATCTCAGGGTGGCTGCGAGGATGTGCTGTGGGCTGGGGACGAGGCTCAGTGTCAGAATATGTGCTTCATGTACACAGGGCCTTGGATTCAAAGCCTAAGCACAAAAATAAAAAATAAAGGGAGAAAATGTTGGAGAGGCTCATCCTGTACATGTTTTCCTGGTGCAAGGCACACACTTGGAATCGCAGCTGCTGGGAGGCTGAAGCAGGAAGATAATTTCAAAGCCACCCTGGGCAATTTAGCAAGCCTCCATCTCAGAAATCAAATGAACTAGGGATGTAGGTCGGTGGCAGAGGGTTTACTCACTTTAAGTGATGTCCCCTTAAGTCCTCACTATAGAGCAAAACAAAACACCTAGTCCCAAAGCCATCATTGCCGTTGTTCCCTGTCTACCCTAGATGGGCTCCCCTGGGCAGCTCAGTTCTACACCTCATAAGACCACCTTGGGCCCTGAGATGGAGGGAACATGTCCTGAACGTGTCCTAGAGGAGTGGGTGGACCTGGCCCCTCAGGCCGCCTGAGCCATATGCCTGTCTCCCCAGTACGTGCATGAGGGTGGTGTAGAGGACCTGGTGCGGCCCCTGCTGGCCATCCTGGACAGGCCCGAGAAGCTGCTGCTGCTGAGGGACATCAGGTGAGCGAGGATGTGGGGTGGAGCGGAGATGAGGTCCCAGAGGCAGAGCCCATCCGCCCTGAGCCCTGGCCCCTCGCCTCTTTCCTGCCCTAGAAGTGTGGTGGCCCCCACAGACCTGGGCCGTTTCGACAGCATGGTGATGCCTGCAGAGCTGGAGGCCTTTGAGGCCCTGAAGAGCAGGGCAGGTCAGCAGTGGGGACGGGAGGACTTCTGGACCCTGGCACTAGAGAGGGCAGCAGAGGTCTCAGAGCCCAAAGGGTGCTAGTGGGGGGCTGGTGGGAAGAGGCCTGACTTCCGACCTGTGATCTTCCACCAGTGCGGCTGCCTGCTTTGAGACCAGCCCGGCAGGACACCCCGCCCAGGCGCCATCTCATCACCCCTGTGCCTGGTCAGTCAGACTCCCAGGGCCCAGAAGGGGGCCACACCTGGGGGATAGTACTGGGGGGGATGGGCATTCTGCAGGTCCTGAAGGGACCCTGGCTCACCCAAGCCACTTTATCACAGTGACTCACTGCCTGTCCTGTTGCCCATAGCTGGGTTTAAACCCACTTGGCTTTCATGTATGTATTTTTGCCATGTTGGGGCTTGAACCCAGGGCTTTTGCACCGAGCAACATTCCCAGCCCTTTTTATTTTGAGACAGGGTCTTGCTAAATTGTTCAGGCTGGGCTCAAACTTGTTATCTTCCTGCCTTAGCCCTCCGGAGTGCTGGGAGTACAGGGGTGTGCCACCATGCCCAGCTTGCTCTGTAAAATCTAGTTTCATTCTGTGTAATGATCTGGGACAAATCACCATTTTGATGTGGCAGGCATATTTTTTCTTAGAGACATTAAAATAGGACTGTCTTAAATAGAATGAACTGAAATACCATCACAACAGACCAGGGGTGTCGCCTGTCCCAGAGGACAGTGTCCTTATGGCAGGGTAGAATGCAGGGGGCTGAGGAGTGCAGGCCTGATTCTCCAAGGCCCTCAACCCCGAGGTGGGGACAGGGTCAGGAGCAAGGTAGGTGCAACACCAAGGGCGCCCTGACTTGGCCTCTTCCCCAGACAGCCGAGGAGGCTTCTACTTGCTGCCCGCAAATGGCTTCCCTGAGGAGGAGGATGGAGAGCTGCAGGAACGCCTGGGGGGGCTCACTGTCTCTGCAAGTGCCTCTGCCTCCTCCTACCCTCAAAAAGGGGTCCCACCTCTCCAAGATGTGCCAGTCGATGTCTATACCCCACACCAAGTCTTGGGAACATCACCTGCCCTGCTGTCCCCAGTGGCACCTGGGCTACCTCAGCCCAACTGGCTGCTCGCTGCAGCCCTGAGTCCAGAGAAGGCTCAACAGAGCCTGAGCCAGGGCCCAGCCCGCAGCCCCAGCCGCAGCCAGGGTCGAAGCAAGTCCCCTGGGCGCAGGCGCTCCCCATCCCCGGTGCTTCTCTCCACTGCTAGCGCAGCCAGTGGGCGCCACCACAAGCCTCGGAAGGCCAGACCTCTTCTGCCACCACCTCTGGGTGGGCAGGCGGCCAAGGCTGGGCCCCGGTCAGGGCCTTGGGAGAATGGTGATGGCAGGGCAGCTGAGGCGGCAGCCATGCAAGCCCCTGGTGGGGAGCTGAGGACGGTTACACTCTCCAAGATGAAGCCATCCCTGGGTGAGTCTGGGTAGACAGGGCCGGCTGCTTGGCTGGGAGCAGGGTGGAGTACAGAGGAGGCAGCTATATTTGGGGAAACTGGGATCTGGAGGATTTGAGAGTTGAGGCTTGGAAGAAAAGGGGCCCAGATTCTTGAGATGGGGTTCTAAGCTCCTGTTGGGAGCTCAGGGTTACAGGTGTGGTTGCATGCTCACCCAGGACTCCTGCCTTCCCAGGAATCAGCATTTCAGGGGGCATCGAATCCAAAGTGCAGCCGGTAGTGAAGATAGAGAAGATTTTTCCGGGGGGCGCTGCCTTCCTCAGTGGGGCACTGCAGGTGGGTGAAGCACCAGGCTACTCAGGGCTTTAGCCAAGGACTGGCAGGGCATGGGGCAGCTCCATGTCCACCTTCCAGCTAAATGGGCTCTGGCCAGGTTGCAGGAGGTGGCTTAGGAGCCTGAGGTCAGAGAGCCAATGAGCAGGCTTGGGGAGAAGCTGTCTGCTCCGTGAGCCAGGCCTGATGGTGGCCCATCTTGTTCTGCCCTGAGCCTGAAGGGACAAAGGGCCATTGTCTGGCCCCACCCTACCCCCAACGGCTCCAGGCACAAAAGTCTTATTGTCCACCCCCTGCACCCAACTGGGGGAGGAGTGGCCTAGCCTGGAGGTGAGAGGCATTATTACCCTCAGGTTGGTGACTGGATGGGGGTGACATGGGAAGAGGGGCTACAATTGTCCACCTCCATTCCAGGCTGGCTTCGAGCTTGTGGCAGTAGATGGGGAGAGCCTGGAGCAGGTGACCCACCAGCGTGCGGTAGACACCATCCGCAGAGCTTACCGCAACAAGGCCCAGGAGCCCATGCAGCTGGTGGTCAGGGTCCCTGTGCTTGGCCTGCCCACCTCATCCCCCAACCCACAAGCCCTCACTGATGGACATCTTCCTGCTGGCTGTCCTCTTGTCCCCCAGCCCCCTGACCCTGCTCTAGACCCCTCTCGCTGGCTTCCAGAACCTCCTTTGGAGGCCAGGCTCCTCCAGCGGACTGCCCCTTCCCCGACCCCCAAGACTCCCCAGGTCATTGGGCCCTCTCCCCACCAACCCTCGGCCCTTCCCACTGACAACCCTCACTGACCCGCTGGTGCCTTGGCTTCCGTGACTTCTCCTGTGAGCCTCTTGGGGCTTGGGAACTTCAGTCCTATTCGTCCTGCCTGTGGTAAACTCTTCCATGTTGGTGCCCCTCTAGTGACCAGGACTCTGCCCTACCAGATCGGCTTGGTGTCCAGATAGGAGCTAGGGAAAGCTTGGTCAGCTGCATACACCACTCCTTGACTGAAGGGGGTTCAGGGAAGAGGGTCAGGAACTCTGGTTAAGAGCACAGGACCAGCAGGCACTTCTTCAGCGTGCTCCTCCTGCAGCACTGAGGGATGCAGATGTCCCGTGCCAGGTAACTGTCCATGAGAGGGACAGGACAGCGCTGTTCTCCTTCCTTAGACCACAAGGTCACTTCAAGGCCTGTCTGCCAGGACCTGACTGCTGGGTTTCCGTCACAGGGGAGTGGCCAGGAAAGGATAAAAGGACGGAGCTCACGGAAATTTTCTCCAGCACGGTCACTTTAAAAAAATTTTTTTAAAAATTTTTTCTTTGGGTTTTTACAAGAAATTTACAGTGTGAAAAATATACAAGTGAAAATGAGGCCATAAATCTGGGTACTGGGAAGGTCACAAACACAAATAAACAAGACATCTCTGAGTTCTTCCTTTGGTCTGACTTCAGCCCCCTCCCGCCCAGGAGAAAGGCTGCAGAGCCGGGACTTGGGGATCAGGCCCAGTCCCAGCCCTGTCCCCCGCCATGGGCAGGGGCAGGCACATTTGGTGCCATCTGGCTCTCTTAGCTTTGGGGTAGGGTGCATGTGAAGATGAGACACCCCCCACTTCCCCCCAGCTTCTGGGCTAGAGTGGGTGGGCAAGTGTTGGGGGCTGACAGGACAGGCAGCAGCTGGGGTGTGTGTGTGTGTGTGTAGAGGGAGGGAGGGAGGGAGGGAGAGAGAGAGAGAGACAGAGAGAGAGAGGAGTGTTAGGAGCCTCTGGGGGACAGTGGAAATGGTAGCTGTGGAGTGGTCTGCTTTTGTTTCTCCTGGGCACAGAGCCACACAGGCCTGTTTCCCAGGAGATGAGTGGCTCTGGAGTCCCTTGGACTTCGGGATGCTCGGTGGACCCCAGGGCCTGAAGCAGAGTTCTCTGCAGAGGTGGCACCCTAGATTTCAGTGGCAGTGATCTCCTCTAGGCAGATACAGGGGGCTGGCTCAGCCAGGCCCAGTTCGGCCAGCTCCCGGGCCTCCAGCTCCAGGCTGAGCTGCTGCAGCTCCTGCTCCAGCTGCCGGTTGCGTCGGTACATCTGGATGTAGTTGTGCTGGAGCTGCTTCTGGTATCGGATCACCTGCTCCTTCTCCGCCTGCCAGGCCAGCCGCTCTCCCTCGAAGCTATCTCGCTGCTCCTCACCCCTCCGCCGCTCCCGCTGCAGCTCAGCCCGCAGCCGCTCCACCTGGGCCCGCAGGCTCCCTCCTGCCCCGGCTGCTGCCCGCTGTACCTTGGCCTCATCACTCTCGGCCAGGAGAAATGGGTCAGCAGTGGCAGGCGGCACAGAGGGCTCCCGGAGTCCGGCCACCTCCAGGTCCAGCTGCCCAGCTTTCTCCCGGAGCCTCTCAGCCTCCTGGCGGTGCCGCTGCAGCTCCTTTGAACAGGTCTCCAGCTCCAGCTCCCGGGCTCGGGCCGCTTCCTGCAAGCCCCGTGCACGGCCCTCACTGACCCGCAGGGCAGCCCGGGCCTCCCGCAGGGCCACCCGTAGCGACACCAGCTCGCTGCCCTTCTGGACAAGCTCTGCCTGAGACTCCTTCAGCTGCTGCTTCAACAGGGAGATCTCGCCTGACTTCTGGCACACCTAAGGTGGAAAAGATCAGGAGGGTGTGAGAAGTTTCCTCACCTATGAACTTGGTATTATTAACAGTACCCACTGCACAGGGAAGGCAGTAGGATGGCAGTGACACTGGTTACATGGGCATCAGACCAGCCCAACGCGGAATCTCCAGAGAGGAAAAGTGGAGGGTCTCCATTACACAGGCCAGGAACCCAGGGATGGCTGGGCCTGTCCTAGGTATACCCCACTGTGGCTCTCCTGCCCGCCCACCTGGCCTGGCGCACCTCCCACTTGGTCTCCTCCAGCCGGGGCCCAAGCTCCCGCTGTTCCTGCTCAAAGGTGGCACACCGACGTTCCAGCTGCTCCCGCTCCTGCAACAGCTGGGCAAAGTCGTCCTGCAGCTGCCGCTTCTCTTGCTGCAGCTGGAGCACCTGCAGCTGCAGCAGCTGCTGGGTCCTCCTGGCCCGCTGTGCCTGGGTTGCACAGTCTTCCCGTGGGGCCTCGCGCTCTCTCCACCAGTGCCGTGACTGCTCACTGAATGCCTGTGGGTGAGAAGGCCCCCAGGTCCTTTGTAGCCCTCCATCACTGTGCCCCCGCTGCCTACCCCCATGTGCTCACAGCTCCGGGGACCTGCTGCCCAGCAGAGGGGTAGGAGAGGCCATCAAACCTGCGATGATTAGGGAGACATTGGCATTGAGGTTTTTCTAGCAGGAATAGCAAGCATTTACTGGCACTGCCAAGGTGCCACCTGGCACAAGGTGCCAAGGAGCACTTTCTACTCACTGCTTTATTAATCCTGGAAGAGCCCTACGGAGTCAGGAACTTTCCCACTTGTAGACAGAAACTGCAGCTCAGTAAGACAAAGTCACCTTCCAAAACCTGGTGCCCAGCAGTGCACCACTACTCTGCCCCTTAACAGGTTAAGCCAGGCAACTTGGGTCACACTGCGACTGCCCACCACCCACCCTCCCTCCAGACCAGGCACACCACCCCGGCAGCTCCATGACCACACCTGGCACACGGTGGCCTCGCTCTCATCCAGACTGTCCCGCAGCTCGGCCTCCCGGTCTCGGAGCTTCCCTTCCAGGACGCAGTGCAGCAGGGCCTCATCCGATGGCGGGGGTGGGGGAGGGGGTGGTGGGGAGCGGTCCCCACAGGAGCTGCTGTCAGGGGAGGCCTGGGGCCCGCTGCCCAGGAGACTTCCAGCTACACGGCCGCCACCAGAGCCTGTGCTCTTGCTGGAGGAAGACCGGCCACTGTCCGAGTGGGAAGGCCCAGTAGGGGCTCCTCGGGCTGCCCCAGGCAGTGGCCCTCGCCCGGGGCCGTGGGAGGGCAGGTGTCTGCCTGGAGAGCTGGTGGCTGGCTCAGCACCACTGGTGCTGTAGGTGGGCAGGCTGGACAAAGAATTTCGACCCGAGTCAGACAGTGTCCCCGATGGGCAGCCACTGGCCCAGCCGCTCAGTGCCAAGGGTTTGTCAGCAGCCGAGGAGGATGAGGAGGAGGAAGAGGATGAGGAGGCAGGGCCCCCAAACAGCTGTGTCAGGCTGCCCTGGCTCCCAGACAGCCCAGTGGCCCGAGGACCCAGGAAGCCAGGCAGGGAGGGGGCCCCTCGAGACTTGGGCAGCACTGGTTTGAAGGCCGTGGGGCGGATCAGGACTTTCTCCATGTTCTGAAATGAGGCGCCATGTGACACTGAGGAGCTGCCCATCTTCAAAACCCCTGTCTTACTCCCTGCCCTCCCTCTATGACCCCAGGTCCCAAGCCAGCATCACTTGCTGTCTCTGGCAGGGGACCTCCTGAGTGTCAACTCATGTCCAGCAATCCAAGTTCATTTTTAGTCACTACACCAGTCATACAAGTGACACACATGGCCACTGTGTCCACATCACAGATGAGATGGAGGTTTTGCATAAAGCCTTGCCCAAAGTCAGAGTCAGACTTATAGGGGTCATTTAATAGTAACTCAAGCAACCAACATTTATGGGTACTTGCTAATACCTAGCATTAATTTCATTTAATTCTCCTAAAAGCCTCTAGCAAGAGCTGGCCTATTATCCAGAATATACAGATAACACAAAATGGGACTCGGACAAGTGAAGTGACTTCCCTGAGGTGGCACAGCCAGGATGAGGTAGAGAGGGGATTGGAAACTGTGGGTGAACTCCCTTCTAAACAGACTCCTGAATTCCAGCTTCCCCAGGGACTTCTGAGTCTACACAGATCCCAAAGAGGCGGTCCTTACCTTCTCCAACTTTCCAGAAACAGGGATGAGCTTGGGTGGGGGGCCGCAGAGGTGAGCGCTCCGTGCCCGTTGTTCTCGGGTGTCCTCAGCATCACTGCTTGGGGTGGGGGGTGACTCTGTCCGGAAGTCCTCGTTGATGTAGGTAAAACTGGGGCCAGGGATGGCCTTCCTGGGTGGCACCGTTGGGCACAGAGGCTCCTGTGCTTCATAGGTGCCCCGTAGCAGCCCATCTTGCTGGCGGAAGAAGGTGGGCCCTGAGGAGCCATGGTGGCGGGGAGGAGCTGGCCCTCCGGGGCAGGGCCTGCCGGAGATCAGACTACTCACACTGCCCATGGCTGGAGTTTGTGGGGTGGTGGCAGCCTCAGGAGTGGGCTCCAGTGGCATAGGTACAGTGTGCACAATGGCCATGGTGGCTGAGGCTCAGGCCAGGCCAGGGGCCTCCAGGGCAACCTGTAAACAGGACAGTGGTGTTAGAGTCCCTCTACCTGAGGCTCTCCGTGCATAAGGCCTTCCATTTTCCAATCCCCAGATCCAGGCCACAAACTCCCTGTACATCGGAAACAAGCTCTGGTGTTTCCCAAGTACTTCCAAGGACCTCAATTCTCCGGTCTTCCACCACTCCCTAACTCTGTCTGAACATAGCAGAGGGCTGAGTAGGGGACAGGAGGCCGGCACAGCTACGTGGGGCTGCTTGGCTGTGGAGACACAAGCCTGAGCCCACACCTGCATCCCCACAGAGCCCAGGATGCAAGGCAAGGCAAGGAGTCTCCTCTCCCAGGTCCAACCACCTGTCCAGGCCCTCCTGGGCAGAGGAAATGTTGGGGGATGCAATCAGTAACTCAGATGGTAATTAGGAAATAAGAAGCCAAGGCCGGGGTGGTGCCCAGTCTCTCCCCCGCTGGGCCTCAGTTTCTCCCAGACAGAGAGGCGGCAAGGGTGGAGCCTGCCTGACAGGAACCCCACAGCTCTTAGGAAAGTCACAGGTGTCCTCCAGAGTCTCCTACCTCTCGGAGATGCATAAAAGCTCATACTTGTTTCCAAGACAACTCCTAGCCCAGTGACGGTGAACCTTTTAGGGACCAAGTGCCCAAACTACAACCCAAAGCCCATGTATTTATTACAAAGTGCCAATACTGCGGTTAAACCTGAATACTGAGGTTTTGGTTTAGAAAAAAATAACTCTTACAAATTGTGACATCAAGGCAGAGAGGGCTCTGCAGCCACTGCTGCACACATGACACAGGTTTGCCACTGTGGTCCCAGCCCCTCTATACCCCAGCACTCAGGCCTAAAGGAGCCCAGGAGCCCTGCCCCAGCACTGTGACACCTAGCCTCTGCTGTGCTCCCTGGGGTTGCTGGGGAAGACAGCAGAGACCAGGCTGGGAGCTACAGAGGCTCACTTGCCTGGCACCCCAGGCTGAGGGCTCCACCCACCCAGCCCTGCTCCTTCCTGAAGGGGACCCTGAGCCTCTGCCAGAAACTCCCTCCCAGTCCAAGGCCACCGTGACCAGAGATTAGGCATCTGCTGAAGTCATCATGCAGAGCAGGAGACTAGAAGTGGAGAGAAATATTCAGGGGAGGAGGGGTGCATGTTTACTTATTTGTGCATGTGAAAATGTCTGTAGGTAAGAACCGGGCACTTGTCTAACACACAAAGTAGGGCTTGGGTTTAATCCCCAGCACTACAAATAAACAAAACAAACAAACAAGGACAAAAACAACCTAAAATGAGTATGTGTAAAAAGGAGTATGAAAAAGGAGTGTGTAGGGGCTAGGGATTTAGCTCAGCAGCATAAGCACCTGCCTTGCAAGCAGGCAGATCCCCCGTACCAATAAAAAGGGAAAAGACCAAAAAAAAAAAAAAAAGAAAAAGAAAAGAAAAGAAAAGAAAAAAGAAAAAGGAGTGTGTGATGTGTACCTGGGACAAATGCACCAGCACATTAGTGTATTTTACAAGATTGTGAATAAGAAGTCTCAGTGGATGACAGCTGCAAGTGATAGCTACCAGCCTGTAAAGGAGATGATTAGGAAAATGCTAGCCACCTCCATCCAGATGCGGGGAGTCTGTGGGCACTGCTCTTGTGCCTGCATGAGCAGGGTGGTGAAGCCTACCTACTTCTTTGAGAGGGATGGTACCCAGGTCAGCAGGGTGAAGGGAGCACAGGTTTTTCACACTGGGTAGTGGGGTAACGGGGAATGCATGACTCCCTATTTTCTTAGAGGAAGTCTACCCACCCTCCAGTGGATGGACACGGAGGCCCTGGAGGTGCAGGCTGAGTACATTGTGGAGATGCAGGAGGTCAGTCAGCTACAGAGTGAATCCTCAGGCGTCCCAACAGAGCTGGGACCTGGGACCACCACACAACACCAGGCTTGAGCAAAGGGCCTCTGGGTCACCCTCCTTCCAGGCCCTGGGAGATCTGTGTGCCCTTCCGGGCTGCGAGGGCCCAGAGCGCGGCCTGGGGAGGGTGATTGTCGACAGAAGAAGTCAGAGACAAAGAGTCGGAGAGTCTGGAGGTCCACTCGGGAGAGAGGGGATGAACAGACCAGCGGCCGGGCCAGACCCACGCGGCCAAAGCCCACGGATCCACAGGGCTGCCAGGTGGGTGAAGTCAGGCCTGGAAGTCAGGCCTTGCCGGGCAGCCGGCTCCCTGGCCAGCCGGCTCCCTCTCCGGGGCTACAGAAGGAGGGGCAAGTGAGGCTCCATTTTGAGAAATGCGTCGTGGCTGTGGGAACAAGGAACCCCTGGCTCTCCCCAGCTGGCAGAGACCCTACTCTCCTTAGAGAGCCGGGAACTTGGGAGTCTGAGGCTCAGCCAAGGCCACACAGGCATTTGACCCAGGGCCTGACTGCACAGACCTCGGCTTCGGGGTAGAGTTTGGCAAAGTCTCCCCCTCCCAAACTCCAAAGACCGTCCGTCGGGACTAAATTCTACGATCACGGATCCCCACTCCGCGACCGGAAGCCGGGAGCCTCCATCCCTCCCCGAGCAGCACCCTCCCAGGAAGCAAGGGGCTGTGGAATGCGCCCCCTCAAGCTGCGCCACCAGTCGGGACGCCCGGGCCCGGCCCCTCACCTCCACGACGCTGCTCCATGCTCAGCCCGGCCGCCCCAGGCGCTCTGCCCGCACGGCCCCTCGCAGCGACCCGGCCGGCCCGAGCGAGTGGGCGGGGAGGGGATGCGGAGGGAGGGGCGGGGAGGGGTCCGAGGGGCGACCCGCCCCAGGCGCGGACACGCGCAGGCGCCCACGTCACGCGTGTCCGCCTGGGCGCGCGCAGGGGCCGACACAGCGCGTGGGGTTCTCCGCTGTAAGGCCGCGTGGTGATGCGTCCGGCGGGGGTCGGCGGGCAGACCCCCCCATTCCGGCCCGGCCCGGGGGCCGGCAGCAGCTGGTCATTGTTCCCGCACAAAGAGCCGGGCGCGCGCTCCGCCTCTGCGCGCCTGGGCGGAGTTCCCCCTCCCGTGTCCGAAGCCGGCCACCCTTTCGGCCGCCTGCGCCCCGCGCCGGCACCAGCGGGCCAGGACCTGGGCTGCCCCCGCCCACCCCCGGCTGCGCCTCTTAGCGGCCATCCTGGTCATTGCAGCCACCCTCTAGGCCGCCACCCGCCTCCCGCCACTGGGGAGGGTGAGCCGGGCGGTCACCGCTCGGAGGCTGCGTCGGGCCCCGTCACTGGACGGAGCGGCCACACGACAGTTCAGGCCGATGGAGCCGGAAGGCAGATAGCGCCTCACTGTCTTTCGGGGTCAAACGCAACCTCCCAAAAACAGAGCAAGCTGAACGCCCACGTGCCCCTTTCCACACTGTGCCGGGAGGCCACAGCCCCACGCTCAGGCGTCACGTGGTCCCGCGCCATCTCCACGGTTGCGCTCCTGCCGGCAGCCGCACACACCTCGCATCCAGTCCTGGACTGCGATATACTTCGCCTCCAGCCCATCTTCCAGTACTGACAACTTCCTACACCCCACTTTACGTGACCACACAGACTTGCCCTGCCGACGGGTCTCCGCGACTGTCCCCTAGGCCGTCAGCTCCCTTTCTGCCAGACCAGGCCTGCCAGCGCCGGGCTCAGCCCCAAGAAGGCGCGTCCCCTCCTAGCCACCGCTTGGCCGGCTCTCTGCTCTATTTTTAGCGCTATGGAAAGGGTTGTTTTTCTTTCTTTTTCCCTGGAAAGGGAAAATACAGCCCAGCCACCCTTGGGCTCCCAGCAGATCCCGGCCTCCCCAAAGTCCACTGCACCCCTCTCTCCAGGAAAGACCCCTCCTTGTGCCTGACCCTGATCCCTGCTCCCGGGCACCAAGAGCCACCTCCCCTCTCTGGCAGCCTGCCTAGTAGTGCAGGCAGCAGCTGGGCTCCAGTATGCAGGAGTGCGGGCGGGGCGGGAGGCCTCGGTTGCAGCCCCTTCCTTCTTCCCTGGCAGAGGGGGCTTGTCCTCCCATCTATGGACCGAGGTCGACCCCCTCAGATGTTGAGGGGTTTGTACTTTCATGACTTCCGGAGGAGGGCTGCCGTTCTCGTTTGGGTAGGCTCTCTTCGCTTATCTTGGGATAGCGAAGTAGTAGGAAAGGGGCAGCTGTAGTCTGCCACCAAGGGTCCCCTCCCTTGCCATTCCTTCGGGGATGCAGACTCCAAGAATGTGCTCGGAAGCAAGGAGCCCAAGGGCACGCCACCCCAGCCCCTCCAGGTCTCCCGTGCCACCTGGCTCCAGGGAACGTCATTCTCCCGTTTCTAAGGAGAAGGCTATCACCACCCCAGGCCGAGAGGACCCCGCAAGCTCGCCCCTGGAGGGGTCTGCAGAGCGTTCACGTCTGTGGTGCTTCTAGACGCCGCAGGCTTCACCTGCAAGTGTGCGGCGGTGAAGTAGAGACCCCGACACGTCTCGCTGACCTCTCCCCGCTCGCGGTCCCTTTCTCTACCCTAGTCCAGACAGCCTGAGCCCTGCCCCAAGACCCCGGGGTACACCCCCGGCGCATCCTTTCCGAGTGCACGTGTGTCAGTATGCCCCAAGTGCGTGTGTGTGTACGTGCGCGCGTGCCTACCGGCCCGTTGACACGAATTTCTAGATGGCTTCACTGCTGAGACTTTGCCTGTGCCTGGCGGGACTCCTCTTCACTCCCACCCTAGCTTCCCTAGGCGCACAGTTCTCTTAGGAGCCAGGATGTGAGAGGAGGGAGTTCCTGCACCCCTGTCGCCTCGCCACTCACCCAATGCCGCCGTTCCGCAGCTCTGACTCGGGCCAGGCTCTGGCTCCAGCGCGCCCGCTCTCGCGCCTACACCGGCGCCAAGAGAACTGCGGCCCCCAGCCCACCTCGGGCTTTGGGCTCAGCGCTCTCGGCTCCTGGGTCCTGGCGCCCACGGAGGGGCGGGGCAGCTGAGGCCGCGCCCCCCACCCTGGGAGGGGAGTGGTCTGCCCAGCACCCAGCAGCATCGGACCCAAGACCCAGCCCAAAAGCAACTCGACTGCAGCCCAAGACTGCCCCGCGGGCCGGCGACTACATAGTTTACCGACTAGGCAATAGGACCTGGGGAAAGAGGCGGGTGTCACGTGACCTCGATCTACGCTACCTGGCTGCCATGAGGGGCTGCAAGGCATGACCCAGACACCCTGCCGGGCCCTGTAGGGAGCCCAGCTGGGGCCGCGCCCTAAAGTCAAGGAAAACCTCTGAGAAGTAGACAAAGGGAGCTTGAAGTTCACCAGAACGCCCCCACTCAAATCCACAGGTGGGAATGGGGCTGCCCAAGCAGCCAGCACCATCTTCTTCCCTGAGTAGATGTCTGCCTGGGGAACCAGCTGCCGGTGCTGGTCCCCACCGCGCAAGGTTGGACTCCTGAAGTCCCACCCACAGACGCAAACAGGAAGTCGGCTGCACAGGGAGGCACGGAGTTCTCTCAGCCTCCCTGCCTCAACGCCTTAGGTGGGAAGGCACAGGGCTGCAGACTCCTGAGAGTTTAACTCCTCTCCAGGCGTCCACAGTGGGGAAGCCACTCTGGCAGCCACGCGTGTCCACACTTAATGAGAATCCGGCAGCAGACCCAACTCTGCCCTACCTAGCCAGGCCCTCACTGAGCACCCCCCCCCCCCGGGCTTCCTAACCAGGTACACACACGGTGGATCAGTTCTAGCCCAGGTAATTTGCCTTGGCCACGTAGGCAGAGCCATGGACAAGTCCCGGATATTTAAGGATCTAGACCACCCTCTGACCCCAGCACTCCCCAAAACACTTTGAGCAAGTATGCATTATTCGAGCAGCTAGGGTGCAGTGTTTGCACAGGGGGTGAGGTGGGGGGCGTGTACAATCCCATCTCATCCTTCAGGTTTGTGCTATGTGGGAGTGTGCTTGGAGGGCGGGGCGAAACAAACAGGCAGCTGTAGAATCTGTCCAGCCCCCGCTTATGGAGCCCTCACAAAGGTCCCTGTTGGAAACCCCTGCAACATTTGAGGCCAGTATGTGGAGCCCAGGCCCTCCCAGGCAGGATTGAGAGGGCATTGTACATCTGGAAGGCCCAGCTGACAGTCTGCGGCACAGGCCTGGGATGGGGCCTAAACTAGCCTCGGCTGGGAGTGATTATGCAGTTATGGAAGTCTGGCTCCAGCCAGTCTAGGAGACCCCCAAGAACGCAGGCCCCGAGGGGGGCTACCCCCACCGCGGGCTCTCCCCCCTGCCCCCGCACAGCTCTGCTCCAAGGTCTGTTCCGGAGCTATTCGTGGCCACACCTCTCACAGACCCCTTCAGTAGGCTCCTTATAGCCCCTCTTGGGTAGATGGCAAGACCTTGAAAGGCAGGATCTTTTCCAGGAAGCAGGAAACTTTCTTTGCTGGTACAAAGGCCTTCCCCTCAGAACCTTGAGCATGGCTGCTCACCATTTTTTCAGGCAAGGGAAGCCAGGATTTTAAGATACCAGAGGAAGTGAGATGAGTATCATCATGCAAGAATATTTGGGAAAGGATCTGGGGGACCTATGTCATAATCTCCTGCAGGGCTTAAAATACAAATCCCTGTAGCCTCAGACTCCAGAGTTAGAAGTGTCTGTGCAGGACCAGGGAAGGGGGTTAGGGCAGGGCCTTGGGTCCTGCATTTTTAACAAATCTGCAGGGTTTCTGCCACATCACATATTATGTGGGGAAGAGGAACATGGGCGAGGGCACAGCAGGAGGGAAACTTTTGGGGAACAGAGATAAGAATAGGAGGACACTTGAGACTGCACTGAGAAGTGGCTCATAGCAGAGGGGAGAGGAACTGTTGGTGAGGCAGGGCACGGGCCCAGGGCCCCAGACCTCTTCCAGAAACTCATGGGAGAGCCACATGGATCCAACACACCCGGTCTCTCTAGACCAAGAAGTGGAAAGAGAGGTGGGAAGTCAAGGCCTTTCAAGGTCCTGTTTCCTCAGGAGCCCACAGCTCACAGTCCCAACCCCTACTCACAAGTCCAGGTAGACTAGGGAGACACCTGGTGGACAAAGAAACAAAGATACAGAAACAAAGGCAATGGAAAAACTTTTTCATGAAAACTGCAAGTCTACAAATCCTACCTCTAGCTCCTTGAGGCAATGGACCAGTGTCCACAGGCAGGGCTCCAGCATCCTCCATGGCTCTATAGCTAAGCACCCAATGGGAGGACACTTCCAACAGAGGCCTGACGTTACTGGCTAAGTACTCAGAATCCAATTCTAGCAGCTACCACCTTGTGCCTGGCTCTCCAGTGGACAGCAGAGATGCCCCATACTCATGTCACCAAAAGCCTAATGGCTGGACTCATACCAAAGTGACTGGTTACACTCTGGGCTCAGGGTGCCAGAGCACCCTTGACCCACCCAGAGCCTTGAATCTGCTGTGCTCATCCCCGCTCTGGGCCACATCCCCTTCTCCAGACACCGACAGAACCTTCTACTCCAGTGCCTGAGGCCCCAACTCACACTCCTGCTGTTCTTTAGACCTAAAACAGCCCATGCACACTGTACCACGTGTGTTTTCCTTACAGACTTTTCAGTTTTGTGTGTCTTTCCAGTGCTGCACATACAGGACCTTGGACAAATCTGATCACATCATAAAGTCCTTAAACAGCTGCTAGGCTGATTTTCCTATGGAGCCTTGCCCCAGTTTGAGAAGGAGCCACTGCTTAGAATTTTGGCAGAGATGACAAGAAAGAGTCCACGTTCCAGCCTGTTCCATGAAGCACATTCCAGGGGTCAGCTCTGGACTGCTTGTACCTTGTAGGCTTAGAGTTGCCTGGCTAGTAAGGGATGGGCTCAAAGGTCTGAGCAGGTCTCAGAGTTCTGGGGCACAGCCCCCTTTTTGCGAGAAGAGGACTTTTTGACCACTAGTCCATTGTCATCCTTGATCTTCTTGAGCCGAGCCTTGTTCTTTGGTGGGATGGAGAAAGTGAGGGAGCTCTTATTGAACTCAAGTGGAAAGACACCTATGTCTCCATCAAAGCGGTTCTTGGACACCTGCAGATACCGTTTCCCTGGCCCAGTTACCAGCTTCCTGTCCTGCAGGATCAGGACATTGTCTGCTTCTTGGCTTGCCTAGGGGATAAGGGACACAGGAGGAAGGCAGGAATAAAAAACGTATGAGTAAAGCAGGAAGGAAGGCTGATGGTCAGGAAGGAATGGTTGGGGAAAGGGAGGAACAAAGCTCTCTGGACACTATGCTGGGGTTCCCTGACATGAATGAGTGACTTTGGCCATGCTGTTCCCTCTACTTGCGATGCCTGTCCTCCACAGCGGGTCATCTTCACCCAGCCTCAGCTAACTTCCAGGCTTCGGTCTGACTGTCACACTTCATCAGAAACCGTTCTTGACAGCATAAAGGATGTGCTACCACTTTTTTACTTCTGCATTACTGTCTTTTTTTTTTCCAGTGTGGCACATAATTTGTGCTCCTTGCCTTGAGTTCCTTGTACTCAGCCCCTCCCTGGCATACCACAGGCACCCAGTGTACCACTGCACGCTTTAGGACTGGGTGGCCCTGCTGCCCAGTAGGCTGCCTTGTTTACTAACAACTCAGCCCAGTGTGTTGGCACTTTCTCTGGAAAGCCTCTCCAGATATTCTAGGCTGACTCAGCCTTTTTTCTCTTTGCTGCCCAAATTCACTGTGCTCGTCACAGTGAGCTGCAGTCAGTGTTTACCTCGATATAGGACATGAGCTCTTGCAAGGCAAAGAACCAACTATTACCAGAGCCTACACCCCAGTGCATGTATTCCCCAGGTCATGGTCCAGACACACTGCTGCCAGAAGCGTCGGGGAGCTCTAAGGCTGACTGATGGCTGTCCCCTCGACCCTCCAAAGCTGGAGCTCTTTTAAAGCCTACTCACCTTAGCTGAGCCAAAAATGGATGCTGTCTGCAGTTCCTTGTCATCATCCTCCTTCCGGGGGTGAATGACCAGGGTCACATGGCAGTTACTGTCTGTTGCAAACTTCCGAAAGGCCCCAACAATGTAGTCTTGAGCTGCAATCCTGTCCCCAGCCCAACAACATGAACAGGTCATTGGACAGTCAGGATGATACGAACATATACATGCTCTTGGTCCACTCATATCTCCCCACAGACCCCCCCCCAATCCCACTCTACACCTCCCCTGTCCACTCTCAGGTGGCCCCTGTCCACACTTCTTTCGGCCATACTCCCACCTCTCAGAAAATAATTACAATATTATGCCTAGATGCTGTATGAAAAGATTATCTATATTCCAATTAGACAAGAGGATGTCACCTGTCTGTGGACAGTTGCTCGTGACCCATCATGAACTGCAAGTTGTCAATGACCACATGGCAAACATCATAGACGTAGACAGCATGGTGCATTGTGTCTATTACAGACCTAGAAAAAAGGGCAATGAATTCAAGAGTCAATTACAAAGGGGCTGGGGATTTAGCGCAGCGGCATAAGCGCCTGCCTTGGAAGCAACGTGGTCGTGAGTTCAATCCCTGGTACCGATAAAAAAAAAAAAAAAAAAAAAAGAGTCAATTATAAGCAGTCTTCTTGACACCATAAGCCTAAAAGCTAAGATCCTGAAAACTGCTGCCCACCTGATTCTCTGCCCTCCCATTCTCTAAAAACCCCAAACCCATCAAAGAAGAGTTGGAAGGAGTCCCGACTGGAGCTGAAAGGGGAACCACATATGCACAGTGCTGGTATCTGGCTGGGAAAGTAAAGTGGCTGGCCTCTGAAGACCTCACCTGATGCTCTGCTGCCCGTGGAAAGTCATGAAATAGAGGGGAAGGTCCTCAAACCGGTCAGCCCACTCATCATATTTGTCCAGTTGCTCTTCTAGCCTCCCCACAGCAAACTGGGTCAGCATGACCCGGGCTAGTCTCACATTGCTGATCTCAAAGCTACCCCACAGTGTGTTCACGCCCTGGGTACATAAATCCAGGGCATACTCGCTGATAAATGTCGTCTTCCCACTGCCTGTCGGCCCTGCAAGGAGATGAACACAGCCCAAGGTAAGGAGGAAAGTCCAACCCTTGAACCTAGACACTGATCAGGGGCCCCAAACCCTCATGCTTTTGTCCCGACTTTCTGCCCCTTTATCACCTGTAAAGACTGTCAGCTCGCCTTTCCGATGCCCCTTCAAGAGACGATTGAGGTCTGGGAAGCGGCTCCAGCGGATGCCAGCTGCTTGCTCCACATTTGAGAGTTCTCCTAGCACCTCTTCCCGGAGCTGCCGGAAAGACACAATTGACTTGTGCCAGGCAGGCAGGGCAGTACGAAGAATACGTGACAGATTCAAGCCTTGGTTCAGGGCCTCCAGGGGACGAGGTTGTTGGTCTCCAGGGCGCACCAAGAAGCATCGTTTGGGGTTCAGTTTTCGGGCAAACAACTTGGCAGCTTCCCAAGACCGGAGGTCATCGCCTAGCCATAATATAATACGGCGGAACTGTTCAAGGTATGGGAGCAAGGCAGGGGGTAAGGAGAGCGTTCCTCGGGGCAGGGCAAGAGTGGGAAGCCCTGTGGCCTGGCTTAAGGCCAGGCTGTCCAGCTCACGACTGGTCAAGACCACCTCGACATCTCGCCGGCTAATCAGTGGTAACCCAAACAGGTTGTGGTAGGCACCAGGGCGGGGAATGGTGGTCTCCACATAGTGCACAACATCCCCCTGGCCTTCAGCTCCTAGCAGCTTCAGGCCTCGTAATCCTGAGCCCTGAGAGGAGAACCAGGGGAAGACAAGGCTGCGGGCAGGCCGCAGGTACTGCACGCTGAACCGCTTCAGGGTGTCATCTGTCACTCTGGTTAGGCTAAACATTACTCGAGCCAGCTGGGCCTCCTCTGCATCAGGCAGCTCCCAGAGAGGTACCGCTCTGTCCCAAATCCTCCGGATCTCCTCGCTGCCCTCAGTTTCTGGAGCCTCACTAAGCAGGACTCCCTCTTTTACTCCATCCCCTCGCCCCTCCACACTGGCCTGAAAGTCTTCCCAGCTCCCCTCTGCTAGGCTGGTCATGCAGAGAAAGCGGCCTGTGGTCTTGTCAATGAAGAGGCTGAAAGATGTGCTAGTTCTGGTGAGATCCTTGCCCTGTGAGGACTCCACAAAGGGGCTCGGGGCCCTTAGGCAGCTGTGGCCATCCTGGAAGGGGATCCCGCGTGTCCGCAGATACTGGCGAATTTCGGCTGTCGTTACAGGCAACACCGTGGCCTCCAAGGCCGAGAGAACCTCCTTCCGGTACCGTCTCCGCGGAGGGCCTGGGGCTAAGCTTCGGGGCAGGCCCCTGCGGCCCATCCACTCCCCTCGCAGCTGCAGCAAGACCCGGGAAGGGTACCCGCCTCGGAGAAGGCTCCACATTCCTGAAGCAGCAGGAAGTCACCTCTGGGCTAATTTAGGGGCCCTTACTAAGCCAGAAATCCCTAGAAATCCTCCACACAAAGCTCCAGAGTTTCAACCTGTTTCCGCCGGGCGCGCCAGTGCTCGCCCACGATTCCCCCGACTCAAGGACCTGCGCGGGAAAACTGTACACATCGATGCATTCAAACACCCCGTCTCAAGGAAAAGCCAACCAACCCTCCTCAGCCCTTCGACACTGCTGCTTTACGTCTCTGTTCATCCAAGCGACCCTTTCACATTTCTGTCGCTCTGCGAGGACTCCCTTACAGTCAGCCGCTCTCCCCCGCTCAACCCCAGTGCTCCAGCAGTAACACGACACGGGTCCCGCGGGTCATCTCCCCGCTCCCGCCTCCCTAGGATCCCCACCAGCCCCGCCAGGGTGTCCGCTCGCTGCGCCCTCGCCTGCCTGGAACCCTGCCGCCTCGAGCCTGAGGCGCCCCTGTCCTCTCGGGCCGCTCCTGCCGAGACCTGGAGCCGCCACCGCCTCCTCGGTCCTTGGCTAGCAAAGTGCTTTGCAGCAAGGGCCTGGCGCTGTAACCTCGGAAACAAAACTCTCCGGCGCTGAGACCTCCGGAACCGGAAACTCGGGCTTCATCCCGCCCCGCCGTGCCCCGTCGCGCCGCTCTGCTCCGTCGCGCCGCTCTGCCCCGCGCTCTGGGTCCGCTGCCATGACTGCGCGCGGAACTGCGAGCCGATTCCTGACCAGCGTCCTACACAACGGGTTGGGGCGCTATGTGCAGCAGCTGCAGCGTCTCAGCTTCAGTCTCAGCCGCGATGCTCCGTCGTCCCGCGGCGCTAGGTGAGCCCGGGGGCTCCGGAGCGGGGTATTGCCCCATCAATGGTCTCTGAGTTCGTCCTTCCTGGGTCCCTCAGGGAGTTCGTGGAAAGGGAGGTGATCCACTTCGCCCATCGCAACCCAGGGATCGTAGTGTACGTGAACCCCCGACCGTGCTGCGTGCCCAGAGTGGTGGCCGAATACTGTGAGTGGGGCCGGGAATGGGGCCGGGCGTGGCGCGCTGGTCCCCACCCCGCGTCGGCCACCGGTTCGACTGTTTCCTCTCACTCCCGCGCCTCTCTTTTTCCAGTGAACGGGGCGGTGCGCGAGGAAAGCATACACTGCAAGTCGGTTAAGGAGATCGCCACGCTGGTGCAAAAGCTGGCAGACCAGTCAGGCCTGGATGTGATCCGCATCCGCAAGCCCTTCCACACGGAGAACCCCAGCATCCAGGGCCAGTGGCACCCCTTCACCAACAAGTCCACGACGTTCCGGGGGCTGCGCCCCCGGGAGCTCCAGAATTGTGCTTCAGCCCAGGGGCAAGCACAGTGAAGAGTCGTCCCACCTACTCCCACCCAGGTTGGACTATTGCCCAATAGAGATGTTTCTTCCCCTGAGGATTCCAAGCTCAAGCACATAGTCTTGCTTGGGATAAAGAACTGCCTGTTTGGTGCCAATGTCCTGTGCTAAGAGCCAGGACCTTTTGTTTCCTAATTCAAATTAGTGAACATCCCTGAAACCTGAGATGAGAGGTGCTTGTCGTCCAAAAACTGAACTGAAGCCACAAGCCGTAAATGCAGCACTTGGAAAGCCAAGGCAGGAGGAAATAGTGAGTTTGAGGCCATCCTGTGTCAAAAAAAAAAAAAAAAAAAAAAATCCAAATTGATAATGCTGACTTCAAAACACTAGTGGGGAGGGGTTTGTCTCTGGGCTGGCTTCGCAGAATCCGTGATGTTCTGCCACAGCCCTTGAGCTAGAGTGGACTGCTGTGACCTGACATTGAGCAAGACTATGTGAATGTGAACAGATTAAAAAACTGATGTCATTAAACTTATGTAAATTTTTCTTCCAAATGTGTGCATGTTTAAGTATAAGCCCATTTTTCATTATTATAAAACCAGATGTAGCATATAAACCTTTAGAGTAGTATTAAAGGCAGTGTGCTGAGTTTAGGCCCGATTCCAAGGAAGGAATTCTCAGACCAGGTCCTGGTAACAGACAAGCTCTCCTGGCCCCAGCTACACTCCTAAGACTGAGCTTTGTCTAGAAATAAATCCATGTCTTTCATTGTACCTGAGGACAGGAGGTGGTAAACTGTATAGGAAAGGGGGCTGATAAATGTGAGCATTTTTTTTTTCTGGGCCTAGTTTTTAAAAGGCAGGCATGATAGCACACATAGACACATCTGTAATCCCAGTTTCTCAGGAAGATGGGCACACAGTAAGACCATCTTAAGCAGGGACATTGAGGAAGTGAACTGGAAAGCAAAATATTTAGGAACCTCTGTGTGAATTCTTTGGTTTTGGGTGTGTGTTTCTCACTATGAAGTTCAGGCTCGCCTTGAACTCACTATGTAGCCCAGGTTGTCTTCAGACTGTGGCAATCCTGCCTAAGCCTCCAAATTGCTAGGATTATAGGCCTGCACCATCGCCCTCAGCCCTCTTGTGAATTTTTTTTTTTTTTAATCGTATCGGTACCAGGGATCAAACTCACGACCGTCTGCTTGCAAGGCAGGCGCTTATGCCGCTGAGCTAAATCCCCAGCCCCTCTCCTGTAACTTATTGAATTGAAACTTAGTTCTGACTTGTTATACTGCTACCACCATGATCAATGAATAACTTGAGCCTTAATAGGGCAGGCTATGTGTCTGCCAGCACAGCCTGGACAGAAGTAAGGACCCAGTTTGCTCTCTAAGTGGTTTCATGGAGGTCAGAGCCAGCTCTGGGTGTAGAAGTCCCTGCTTCCAGTGACCCAGGGAGGCTGTTTATTTACTTTGGTACCAGGGACTGATGTCATGGCCTCTCGCTTGCCAGGCGGGTGCTGTGCTGCTGAGTTACATCCCTGGCCCAGGTAGGCCATTTAGACCAAACAGACTCAGAGCATTGGGGAAAGAAGGTATTTATTACCAACATCGGGGGAGGAGCTGATCCCAGGCTCCCCACTGTCGCATGCCTGTTCCACCCACCTGGGGCTGAGTGAGGGCATTCCTAAAGAAGAGCAGCCATTCTCACAATAAATACATTCATTGTGGGGGAGAGGTGGGAGAAGTTGGGTGAAGGGCAGTAAAAACTCGTGGGATTCCACGTTCTCAGCTACAAAAATAACAGTCGTCCTCACCCAAAGGCAACGGGAGCTCAGTCTGGGTCGATTGTCCCACATGGGCCTAGAGACTTCAGAGACTCCTGGACATTGAAAGTGCTCCGGTGAGGTAGGACAGGAATGGGAGCCACACATACAAACTCCCAGCCTCTGCCCTTTGCATAGTTCCAAGGACGGGCTTTGTATGCCAGGTGAGAGTTCTTTCCCCTGCTCTGGTCTAGGGGGAACAAATGCTTGGTCCCCCAAAAGGCTGGCTCATTGAGTGCAGTGTTGGTCACCTATCCAGGGAGGGGTCTCCAAGGACAGCTAAACGGGAGTAGGTGTTTCCCTCTGAAATGTCCACGGACCTAACCCAACAGACACAAGTCCGGCAGCAAGGAGGGGGCTCAGAAGATGCACATGGGTGTAAGTGTTAGCACATGTACCACAGATGCATGGGGAAGGGACATGCCCGGAGGTCTGTTTGCCACTCTTCCTTGTGACCGAGGGGAATAGGTAAGCCGGACTCGCAAAGGCTGCACAAGAAGGAAGAAGAGGAAATGATTCCACCTTACCTCCTGGGCTGGCCTGTTCCCAAGCTCTTGCAAGTGGGGTCATACACAGGACAGGGACAGGGAAAGAGCACTAGACAGATATGGCAATTGGGAGGATAACCCTAAATCCAGAAGTATGAAACAGGAGTGCCCAGGGAGAGCATGGAAATGGGCCCTACGGTCCAGCTATGTGTTCTGCTGTGAATGTATGTGGGGCTCCAGTGGCTGGCTGGGGTTCTGGGTGGCTTCAGGAGTACCTAGCACATGGGGACATGCAGAGGGTGGTGACACAGAGGCTACCTGGGCCTGCAGAGCCCTACCTGGGAGCAAGAGGAAAGCCTGGGCAGATAGGACAGGAGGATGGAGGCCTCTGAAGCAACAGGTTAAGGGCATAGGAACTGGGTCTGGGTGTGCAGAGTACCTGGCCCCAAGGGAGCACCTACCTCTGAGGAGCACCGGTGAGCCTGGGCTGCTCCCGTGTGGGTCTTGGAGGCTGAGGGGGCTTTGGCTGGGCCTAACTGGCTAGCCCTACTAAGATGGCACAGAGTTGGGAAGAGGCATGGAGTGAGGGTGGGGAAGCAGCTGCACAGCCTGGGGCAGACGGGGAGCCAGGCTCAGACAGAGCTCTCATCCAGCTGCTCCACGAGCTGCGTGTGCTTCCTCTTCTCCAGGATGCGGCTGAGCTCCTCAGCAAAGGAGCAGGGCCCTGCCGGCACTCCATTGCTGCCCTGCCTCAGGAGCACGTAGTTGTTGCCGTTCACCCTCCTGAGCCGGCTGGGCAGTGCTGCCAGCCCATTGGTCAGCTCGGCCGGCGGGGGCGGGGGCGGTGGGGGCGGCGGGGCCGGGGCGCCTTCCCCAGGAATGATCTGGAGGCAGCTACCCTCCAGACCTCCAGCCCCCTCCCCATCGTCACCCTCATCTTCCTCTCCAGGACACTGGCCTGAGACTGTCTGCAGCTGCACGGCAGAGCCCCCAGCCCGGCCCAGTGAGTACTTTCCTTGGTGTCCTCGTCCACCTCCGCGCAGACAAGCCACGTAGAGGAGGGCGAAGGCCAAGATGAAGCAGAGGGCTCCAAGGGCAGCAATGGCAAGCACGTAGAGCAGCTGCACGTCTGGGCCCAGCTGGGACCCTTTTGTTGCAGGGGCTTGTGGAGCTGGGGCAGGCGTGGCTGGCCGGACAACGAGGCTGTAGGAGGCCAGCAGGGCTCGAAGGCCGTTCTCCTCAGCAAAGCAGCTGTAGCTGCCACTGTGCTCGGGCTGGGTGTCTGTCACCAGCAGCCCATCGACACCCACACGGTAGCCATCTTGCCCATCGCTCAGGCTCTTGCTCCCGTTGAGTAACCACAAAGCCCGAGCCAGATTGGACGGCTGGTCACAGGGCAGGAGGACATCGTCGCCCCGGAGCACAGAGCGGGTCTTCAGGGGTGGTGGTGGCCCTGGGGAGAAGTCGAAGAGCTCAGAACTTGCCACCTCAGGGAGGGCACCGGAAGTGCAAGCGCACCACTCACTGGTAAGCCCAGCACCCAGCCCGAGGTGAGCCAGCAGGGACCACTGGCCAAGTCCAGACACATGAGCGAGGGTCACGCTGGCTCCCAGAGAGCCCGCTTCCCTTATCCCCACACTACCATCTTCTCTGTGGTGTCCTGCCATCTGCCAAGGACGGCCAGGCTGCTCCCACACAGACCTCGGCTGAGTACCAGGCTCCAGTGTACTGAGTGCTCCATAAGAGGTTCCGGGCCCCTTGCCTGGGCCAAAGCCTTGCGCCCTGCTCCTGAACTACACCAGGGCCCGAGAACTGCCCAGGTCAGGGTTGGCAGTCGACCTTGCCTCTCCGTCCTCCTCATCTGTGTATCAAGGCCTGCAGTGAGCTATGAGAACCAATGGGGCTGGGGGGTGTAGCTCAGCAGCAGAGGCGCCTGCCGGCAAATGCAAAGACCTAGGTTCTATTGCTGGTACCAATAAATAAATAAATAAATAAATAAATAAATAAATAAATAAATAAAAATAAAAAGAATAAACGCACGGCAGGGCATGTGAGTGTTTGCTCAGTGCCTGGCTTATTAGGAGGACTCAGTACATGTAATTATTAACTTTTATTTTCCCTTTAAATATCAGTGCAGTTACTTGATCTTCTTCAGGAAAATAACTTATACCTCTGAACCCTGACATGGTTGTAATTATTAATAATTAAATTAATTAAATTAATTACATGTGTGATCATTTCCCTGTCCATTCCCCCCACCCCCCCATCCCACATACTTGGCTATAAGTTCCAAAAGTGACAAAATACTTGACTTTTGGTGGGGTGCTAGAAATCAAACCCAGGCCCTTGCACGTGCTAGGCAAGTGATTCCCTGCTAAGCTCCCCCTCAGTTAACACCTTGAAGCTGGCTACTCATTACTTCATGCTTGCAAGGCAGGCACTTATGCCGCTGAGCTAAATCCCCAGCCCCCTGGCTACTCATTTATAATTTGTCTGGGCAGGAAATATCTACAGAGCTGCCCTGTACACAGCCCCCCATCCTGGGTCAGCCTTGCCAAGAGCACAGAAGTCGGCTGGGGATTTAGTTCAGTGGCTTAATCGCCTGCCTGGCAAGCGCAAAGTCATAGGTTCGATCCCCGGCACCAAAAAAAAGAGCACAGAAGCCTGGCCCTGCGGCTGACATGAGTGGCAAGAGAACAGGTCCACAGACATCCATAACAGTCGCTTACCTACATCAGTGCTGCCTTCACAGCCTCGATTTCCTCTCTCTATGTCCTGTATCAGTGATGTTCTGGGGACAGGAGATCAGGATTGATGAACAAGAGGAAAGGGTCAATAGGGTCATTTCGTATGTAACAAGCCCCACGTTCCCCACAGCAAGCCCTACTCTGCTCCGGCCACAGGTGACCTCCCCTTGCTCCCTCCTGCTACCCTGGGACCTGTTTGCTGTGGTGGTGGCTGCCACACAGGAATGGCTGCTGGGGCTCCAGCCACAGTAGGGGTCTCGGGCCAGGATGCAGTCATAGCAGGATCGGTAGCGGAAGCAGGTGGACAGCGGCAGCTGGATGACTCCACTGGGGGCACCCACATACAGGCTGTGCTGGGAGCCAAGAAGGACAACTGGTTGGCTACAGGCCATGCTCCCATGTGCAGATGCAGGGCCTCTGGCCAGTCCCTTGTGCATATAGCGAGCACACACTGAGGGTCAGCAAGCAGACCTACCTGCCGCAGGGAGACGACCAGATTCTCCACTGCCTGGGGCTCCCTGAATACCTGTGTCTCTTCAATAATGTGCATCCCAGAGCCGAGGACGACAGCCTTGTGGATCCAGCCATCAGCTGGCATGGAAAGGACAGAGGGTCAGATCCCAACAAAGGGACCTGCTTTTGGCACCCCACAAGAGGTTTAACGGGAATGGTTCAGGCATCATGAGGCCAGGGACAAGGGTCATCCCGTGGACACCGGGAACTCCAGAGGGTCATGCCCGGGGTTATGGGGTACAGGAGCACCCGTGATCCACTGAGGGGGGGGCAGGGATTCGGGTCAGAAACACCTGTGCCCAAAAAGAGGAGGTCATAGGTGGGCCCAGCAGGAGTGGTAACTGGTGTCCCTGTGAGATGTGTGTAGCGCACGTTGCGCTTAAGGAGCAGGGGCCGTCCACGGGTGGGCACCACAGGCCGCGCCATCAGCGGGTGCAACTTCACAAAATCCAGGACCAGGGATGGCAAGTCTTGGGATGAGTTGTAGCCACGACTGCGCAACGAATCTGTGATGCACTGGGGTGGGGTGGGGCGAGCCTCCGTCAGCTGCTTCCCCTCCGGCCCCGCCCCAAGCCCCCGCCAAGGCCCTGTCTGCCCCACAGCAGCCTGGCCAGGGATCTCACCGAGCCAGGCCGGGGCTCAGGGATCCCACCCTCGTAGCGGCCCCAGCGCCGGGCACCATCCTGGTACTCCATGTAGGGTCCTGAGAAGACAGCCTGCACTTCAGCCAGGTCATAGCGGCAGATGGCTGAGGCCTCCAGGGTCTTCCTAGGAAGAGGACGCAGGGGAAGGGGCTGAGTCGCAGAATGAGCTGCCGTGACCTGTGCTCAGCCTGGAGCCATGGTTACCTTGGCCAGTGCCACTTCCAGTCCCCAGGGCCATATCTGAGGGTCAGTGGCCTCCAGCCCTAGGCTAGCTTGATACAATGATGCCTTCACTTTGTACCCAGTCTCCCCACGACAGATCCTGTTGCATCTTCACTGGCCTTAGCTTCACTCCCATGCTGCTGCCCCCAGCTCCTGGCCTCCCTGCTGCTCCTGCACTCACCACTGCGTGGTCAGGGTGAAGGCTGCGTAGAAGTGCGTGCGGGCTGAGTGCTCGGTGTCCAGGCTGCAGACACCGCGCAGCTTCTCATACTGGGGGATGTGGCAGATGAGCCGGGCCTTCAGGAAAGAGGTCCACTTCTTCTGCAGGATCTTTTTTCCTCCCAGGTCTCCCTGCAGAGGGAAGGGCGCGGGCAGGGGTCAGAAGCCAGGGCCAGAAGCCCAGGCTCTGTCCCATGTCCCAGCCTCAGCCCTGTCCACCTTGCACACACGGGCCACCCGGGCCACTCGGTGACTGCTGCGGCTTGGCCCGAAGCTGCTGGAACCCTCCTCGGCAGCTGCCCGCTCCGTGAAGAAGTAATAAACCTTGTCGTCATCACCCACAGTGCTGGCCTCGCTCTCCCGCACCAGCACTGAGAACACAAACTCAGCATCTGCAGGGTTAAGGCATTTGGGGGCTCCTCAGACACTTGAGGACCCGGCCTGGCCCCGTCCCTCCCCTGACAGCACACGGGAGTGGGGTGGCCAGGCTCACTTAGCGACCTGGGGATGGCGTGGCTGCCTGAGGAAGGGTGAGTGAGGGACAGAGCTTGCAGCCACCCGGCCTCATCCTCCTCACCATTGAGCCAATGCACCGGGGCCTCCTCGGTCCTCAGAGAGTGCGGGTGGCGGCTCCGACGGATGTCAGGGATGCTCCGGAATTCGTACCTCGTGGCTGTGTAGAGGCCTCCATCTGGGGAGGGACAGGCCGGGCGTGATGGACACATCATATGTCTAACAGGGCACACCACACACACGTGGCAAGTCGTACAGGGGACACACATCCCGCCCCCGGTCCTGCGGAGGAGCAGCCAGATGGGGGCGCCCACTCACCGATGATGAGGCCTGTGAAGCCCCGGGCTGGGTCATAGGGGCACTTCTCCTTCCCCTCCTCAAAGCTGCCTGGCAGGGCGAAGGCCTCGGCATCCTGGGGGACATGGGCAGCAGTCAGTGGTGCTGAGGACAGGCAGGGCATCACAACTCAAGCTCGGGCCGCCGGGGTGGGCAGTCAGGGCTGGGCGGGCATACTCACGATGGCAGCACAGAGCGGCTGGAAGGCATGGGTCCCGCAGGCATAGAGGTGGGTGGCGTTGAGCCGCTGCAGGAAGCGCACATGGTTGAAGCACTCGGTCTGTGTGACAGGGAGCAGGAGAGGGGTGAGTGTCACAGGCCCCAGGCGCCCCTCCGGCCTGCTTCCTTCCTTCCTTCCTTTCCTGCCTTCCTGTCTCTTTCTCACCCCTCCTTTTTCTTTCCTTTCTGTTTCTGCCTGTCTTTCTTCCCCTGCTTTTTTTTCTTATCTTTTCCTTCTTCCTGTCTGCCTTTAAAAGTAGCAACTGAACCCAGGAGCTTCACACTGAATTACATTCCCAGCCCTTTTTACTCTATTTTTGCAACTTTGAGACAGGGTCTTGCTGATTCCCAGACGATGCTTGAACTGAGTACCCTCCTGCCTCTGCCCCTCACAGTGCTAGGATTACAGGAGGGAGCCAACATGCCTGCCTTAGTCTAACTTTGTAGTATGACTTTTGCGTCCACGTTCAGGATAGAACAGTTCTTTCCAAGATGCTCATGGACTTCTTGTTGCCTGAACAGTGCCGTCCTGTGGAGCTCATTCTTCTGGGCCATACAGTGGCACAGCCTTGGCACTACCCTGCCAGCTTCTTCTGCAGCCCCTGCTGTGCCCAGCTCAGCCACTTCCAGAGCTCCCACCAGCCTGAGGTGCTCCTCTCCCATTGAGCTCCTTCTTGGCAGTGCCCCCAATTCCGGAGCTCCTACATCCTCTCTGGAGGACACCAGGAGGCCCAGCCTGCCACCCCCACCCAGGGATAGACACATCCATTTCACCTCCTCGGGAAGCCAGTTTACTGCCTCCTCCCTGACCTACATCTTGCCACCCAGACCTGCTCCTCCAGCCATTCCCACTTACTCCCGGCAGCCTTCGAAGTTCCAGAAGCCAGGACTCAGCTCCTTTGGGCTTCCCACTCCTGTCCCCACACCCAGTCCCACTGCATGACTTGTTCTTTGTCCTGAATGGCTGCAGAATGTGGTCTCCTCCACCCACCCCACCCCCAGTCCAAATCAGCCATCATATTTCCTTTGAACAAGTGCCAGGACCATCTGCCCACCCTCCCAAAACCACTCATTGAAGGAGGAATACTTCTAATTGCATAAAATTCAGACAATATAAAGGGATACATGGCAAACAGCCTCCCAGGTTTGTGTCCTGGGGGCCTGGAAAGGGGCCTGCCACTGCTGCCATCCACGGCCCATTCCAGAGGTGCCCTCCTTCCAACATGTGCTCATGCGCAGGGCCCTCAGGTCCACTTTCCAAAGCAAGTCACTTAGAACACAGCCCTGCATGCCTGGGCCTGTGTGACGCCTTCTCTGCTCCTGCTACCTGCTTCACTGGCGACCCTCCTCCTGCTCCAAGGTGTGAGCCCTCACAGCTTCCTTATCTCCTGCTTTGTGCACTCACTGTACAGCCCCTGGCTCTCAGCATGCTCAGGTCTGGTGCCTGGTCAGATAAATATTCCTGCAGTGAGTATTCCCAAAAACGTTTATATTTAATTATTTATTTCAACTTTTTGAGACACGGTCTCACTAGATAGTGCAGGCTGACCTTGGACTCACAGTGATTCTCTTGCCTCAATCTCCCAAATTTTAAGATTACAGGTGTGTACTACCACACTTAGCTTAAAATGTTCAGATTTAAAAACAGGAACTGGAGCAAAGGATGTGGTGCTGTACTCCTATAATACCAGCACAAAGGGCTGAGAAAGGAGGATCGCCACAAATTCAAGGCTAGCCTGGACTATACAGCAAAATCTCGGTCTCAAAAAATAAAAACAAAACAAGAAAAGGGTGGTGGTTAGGAGGAATTCTGTGCTCAAATAAGTTTGGAAACAGTAGATAAACTGTCTTTATCTGGGGTATCAAGGAAGTTACTGTGCTTGGGGTGCTTCCCAAATGAATCTGACCATTAAACCTCTTCTGAAAATGACTGTTCCTCAGAACACACTTTGGGAGGTGTTCTTAAGAGCTTGTGTGGAGGTTCCAGAAGGGAGCACAGCTACCCATGCATCCTAGACCAAGGAATTGTCCTCAACCCTCTTCTGTCCAGTCCTGGTCCTCTGCCACCCAGCATGTACGCAGCTTGGGACACACACAGAACAGTGAGGATGGAAGGCGACCCTGCCCAGCCAGCACACCCAGCCGAACCAACCCTGGTGCTCACTGGGCTACAGATGTGGCAGTCAGATGGCCCTCACTGCCCGAGAGGTATTTTTTAAAGCCTGGAGAACAAAGTGCACCTGGGAACCACTGTCCCGGCTTCGCCTGCAAGTATATTAGAACTGTGGAGCCCATGCCCTTCCCAAACAGTTCCTAGGTAGCACCTGCATTTGTACCATGAATCCCATGCATGCTCAGGTATCAAACTGTCACAGGGAAGAACCAAACCCTCTAGGGGCCCAGTGCCACCTCCACCCTCACTGACCCCACTCAGCAGCAGACTTTGACAGACTCTCTAGAGGGGTGCAGTGCCCCAACACCCCCGGGCAGAATCCTAGGCCCAGCTCCAGATGGGTCTAGCACACAGCCTGCCACAGGACCCGGCAGACATCATCTCCTTTAGCCAGAAAGGACTGAAACTTTGCTGATTCCTCCCCATGGAATGCTGGGTACTTGGGCTAGTCTTCCACCAAATTTTTCTCATCTATAAAATGGGAAAAGCTATGACTTTATAGTTTTCTTAGAAGTGAATGAAGAGAATAGGAAAGTCAGCACTTAATAGATTATTAATTGTTACCATGACTGTAGTTTGGGAGACCCAAGGGGGTGAGGAGGCCATGACAGGCAGGTTAATAAATTGCCAGAGGCTGATCAGAAGGGGCCCCAGAGCCAGCACTCTGGCAGCACTCACCATGCTTGCAGTGGCTGTCTGACTGGCTAGCAGCCTCTGTCACCCTAATGTGGCCCTGCCAACCCTGGTATCCCAAATTGAAAAGGCAAAAAAGTAAGGATCTTAGGACAGGGCAGGCTACATACCAGGTTGTTCTTGCCTTTTTGGTGACATTTGCTTCGCATCTCTGGGGATGCCTCCCAGTGTATCTAGGAATAAAGGGAACACACTGACCCCAAAATCCACTATGCATAGGATCAGGCAACAGGACTTCAGGGAGCTGGGGCAATGGCAGGAAGGGTGAATTCCACAGTGGGCACCGGAGGCTGGGAAGGACAGTGCTATCCAGGGCAGTGCAAGACCGGCTGGGTTTCTGGGAAGCCAAGGTCCCAGTAAGCTGGACCAGGCTGCAGCCCTGGCTTGGGGCTGACCTCTTTGTGAGCTCCATCTGCTATGTCTCGGGCGCTGAGAGAGAACAGGGCGCCTCGTGCTCCCACCAGCAGTCTTGCTGAGGCTTCCTCCAGGAGAAGCGTGGAGTAGTTCTGGGCTTGGGCCTGAAAGTACCGGGTCCCAGAGAGCTCTGGGGAGAGTGGAGGTAGTGAGTCTAGTTCCAGGACTGCCATCTGCCCCCACCCTGGCTGATGCACGGGCCTTTGGGGCCTTTGAGGATTAAGAGTCTAACCTTCATGGGGGATGGTCATCCGAGGGGTGGCATCTAGCTCTTGGGAGGGTCTCCGCAGGGAGGGCCCAGGGACTGTGGCTGCTGCAAGGAAGCCTAGGAGGAGGGACCAGAGCCTCCCCCACATCTTCCTGGGGAGGTCAAGACCAGCAAGACCTCCAGCAGAAGCCAGGGCCAGAGGCACAGGGGTATGGGAAAAACAGTCACAGGGGTCAAAGTTTAGGTATGTCAGGTGGAAGGTCAGGGGTCATGAGGCCATGGGGGTCAAGCACTTATGGGGCCAGGGAGGATCCTGGAATGGGGGGGACATGGAGCCACAGAGTCGTATGGCCATGGAATCACAGCTCAGGGGTCAGGGAGAGGGATCTGTCACGTGCCTCTCTGCATCAAATGCAAACTCCACAGTGAATTGGGAGATGAACAGTCACAGAGGGCTTCTAAGTCCCCGTTAGGGTCACCCCAGTCTGGATGGCAGGGCTAGTCCTGGCTCTCTGAGATCTGTTTTTTGAAAGAGGGAAAGAGGGAAAAAAAGAGAAAGCACTTTGATCTGTGTGTGGGTGGAAGATGGATGGCCTTACCCAGATTTTAGGGGCACCCACAGAACTCTCACGCTAGGATGCCCTCAGTGTGTGCATCTCTGCTCTGATGCAGGAGGCTGGGCGAAACTTGCCCTTCTTACGCCCAAGGTAACAGCCTTCTTCTGGTCAGAGCAGGAGTGTGGGTTCTCAGAGGCAAGGCCTGGGCCTTCAACACCAGCTGCCCTGCTGCCTGCCCTCTGCAGGAAGGCTTGGGCAGAGGTATTTAATGGGCCTTTGTTAATTCTCTCCCATTTTTCCTTTGTTTTTTTCTTTTCCTTGGCCTGAGAGCTCCCTCTGGAATGTCTCTTTAATTAGACACTTCTCAGAGGCATTCTTCGCTGAGGGGGTGAACATTTCTGTCCTGCCTGTGCTGAGCCAGTGCTTCGAAGGGGTTCACACATGCCCCTACCTGCCAGCAGGGTCCCCAGCAGGGGTGGGACCCTGGGCGGGGCCTCTGGGTGCCCCTCCCTGCACAGTAAAGTCAGAGCAAGAGATGTGATGCATGTGCAAGGCCAGAGGCTTGCTTGAGACCTAAGCAACGTGGTATGGCGGGAGGTGAACGCAGGGACCCCAGGCTCCTGATCACCTCCCCTAGGACATCTTGAGAATAATTCACAATCTGAGTCTTTTGTAAGCCACCCGTTGGGGATGAGTTGGGCTGGCTGACAGCCTCCCCCACGCTCTGTGGCAGGTACCCTAAACTCTGAAGGGGCTTCTGAAGGCTTCCAGAACTGGACCAGAAGTGGAGGAGGCCAGACCCACTCCAGCTCATCAGACATCCACAGGCAGGGGTCAGGGTGCCACTGGTCTCACCTGTCTCTTCCGAGTCAAACATTAACTGCCTGGCCTTGAAACGAGGAGGAAGCAGGAGCCAGCCAGAGTGAAAACAGTAATCTGGAGGGTAAAGGTCAGCACCATCATAGGAGGGCAGAGTGTAACCCAAGAGGGAGTAAAGGAGTCTCGGCACAGCACAGCAAGGGTATCAGTATCCTACTTTGGGGGCTGGGATAGTAGGAGGCTCCAGGCAGGCTGCCCATCCAGACCGTGGGCACACCTGTTTGCCTCTGGAGCCTCCTATTTGCTTAGCAGAAGGGGGAGCCTTATGGCTAGGAGGGGCTGGTCCCTGGGATTGGGCAGGAAGAACACACCCCAGATAAGAGCCACTCAGTGTGCACAGCACACTTAAAGCAGTTTCACCTAAGTCTCATGAGCTGAGAAGGGAAGTACACATACACAGATATGCACACATGTTTGTGAGGAGGGTTGTGAACACAGGTATCCACAGGGACATCAGTCACACAGCCACAAGGAGGTCCTAAGCAGGCAGAGGACTTGGAGACAGGGTGCATATCTGTTCACATTCAGTGGGTCACAGCCCAGAGTGACAAGCAGGGTTATAACTTACATATGTAAGTTTCTATTGAAGTCTGCACACCCTCATAACAGCAGGACCAGTCTGTGTAGAGACACACACCACACCACAGATCCAGCGGCTCAGGCAAGTAGGGCTCACAGAGGTATCAGGAACATGTTATGTTCCGTGCTCTCAAACATGCAAGTACATTCATGCAGAGACAAGTGCACCTCCACATGGGGGGCCACTCCTTGCTCTGGGGTCGCTGACTGTCAGTGTCCACTGGGGTGAGGCACAGAGCAGAACCTGCCTCCCAGGTCAAGGGCCAGGAACCAGGTGTGCCCCTGCATGCTCATGTGGGCTGGGGGAGGCTTCTGACCTGGGATGAGGGCCGGTCAAGGCTATGCCGCAAGGGTGCATGCGTGCGTGTGTGCGTGTGTGTGTGTGTGTGTGTGTGTGTGTGTGTGTGTGTGTGTGAACCCGAGGGAGGGACCGCGGTTCCAGCAGGGCAAAGCAGGAATGGAATCTAACTAAGCAGCCCTCAGCCCCTACCTGCTGCTGCAGGAGCAGACAAGGGGAGTTGGGCTGGAGCTCACAAGGTGCCCACTTAACCTGTTAGAAGGGCGGGCGGGGCAAAGCATGCCACCTCCCTCGGCGGCCAAAGGAGTTCAAGGTCTGCAGTCCACACCCCACACTGCCCGAGCTGTACAATTCTGCGTCCTCCCAGAGTCTGTCCCCTGGAACTCTGCGATCGCCTGCTCTTTATTAGACCCGGGAGTGGAGAAAACTAGATCTCTCCAGTTAGATCTCACAGGGAGGGGACCTCGACAGGATCCGCGCGGGGTCCGCGGGTAGGCCCGCGACCTTCACCTCCGACGCCCCTTCCCGGCTCGGCTGGGGCCTGCCCGGCGGCACGGCGGTCTCTGGGCTCGAGACCCCTCCCTGCCATCCCGCCTCCTCCCGCGGCGGTTTGCTCACCAAACCGGGCTAACCTCAGTCTCTCTTGCTGCAGCCGAGGACAGGCTCTCCTGAGATCCCGCCGCACGGCGGAGACGTGACCCAGATCCAGGGGCGCTCTGGCTACGCCCCGCTCGGTCCCCGTCCGCGGTGGCCGCTCCGCACCGCGCGCACTGAGGCCTGGCCCGCGCTCCCCGGGAGCCTACAAGCTGGGCCGGGGGTCTTGGCGGTGAGGAAGGCCTGGCTTAGCGCGGCGGTGGGGAGGGCCGGAGAAGGCCCGCCAGCCCCGGCCCTGGACCCTGCCCCTGCCCGGCCCCTGTCCGGACCCTGCCCGGCCCCATCGGCTCCGCCGGCTGCTCGCACTCCCGGCCTCGCTCACCTCCGCACCGCGATCCGGGGCCACAGGGACAGCGACTGGCGGATTCAGCGCCGCACACGCCGCTGCGGGAGGAAGGGGCCGCACCGGGGGCGGGGCCGGGGGCGGGACGCAGGCCCCCACCCTTGCACGGGTAGGCCCTGGCGAGCGTGTGGGGTGGCGCCCCCTTCCAGTCCCGGGAGCCTAGCCGCCCTGGCACCGCGCCCTTTGCGGTCGCCCACTCGTCCTGGGGGTTTCTCTCAGGGAGCCCTCGCTGTTCTCTATCTGGACTGCGCTTGTTTCTCAACCTCGGTGTGGGTGAAGTGGAGGTGGGTGGCGACGGCAGGTGGAGACCAAGCCCCGAGATCGATCGCAGGTGCAGCTCAAGTCAGCTAGCGAGTCAGTGTCCTGCAGGGAATGAAGTGACAGCTTGACCCGAACGAAGTGCTTACAGAAGATGTTCTGTTCTGGATAAATGAGCTTTTTGTACCATTCATTCACCAAATCTGAGCCCTAACCGAGGTTCACCTCTCAGATCGGGTCATTCAGATACCTTTCTTCTCAAGCTTCTCTCGAACATCATTCTTAATCCGAAATTTCCAGCGCGCATCTCAGGCAAATAATGTTTTCCTCCCCACCTCCAGTCACTTCCCCAGCAGCCATCTGGAAACTTTCTCAGATCGGTTCCCCAACTCCTCTCACCAGGCCGGTCTTCCCTGAACATTCACACTCTGCCTCCTTCCTACCGGTCCAGCAGAATGAGCACTGCCACAAGCAAGTTCTGGCCTTACCCAGACTGCGCTCTTCCTGCTAAAATCTGGCTATGTTGGTGTTGGCCCAGAAAATCAAAACATGGACCACTGCAACTGATGCTTGCATATGCCCGGGCATCTGAACATTTTGCTTAAGGAACCTTCCTTGTTCTATTGTCTTCAAAGCTCACACTTTGGCACATCAACCTCTATACAGTATTGCCCTTTGGACCACTTTGTGTGACTCAAAACACACCTCCCAGCAATCTGCGAACAGGACTGAGGTGGGCTGGGAGAAGCACTAGAAAGTGCACTGAAGTATTAAGAGTGCCCAGCTCCATCCCTTTTATTGCACCCTGAGCCTATCCGGAAGAATTTCCAGCCACATTTTATACATGAGAAACAGGTTAAGTAACTTGCCTTAACATTCATTCTTCTATTTACAGAGGACAATCAAATCTGGAAAAGTCAGGGGCTGGGGATTTAGCCCAGTGGCATAAGCGCCTGCCTTGCAAGCAGGCAGTCGTGAGTTCGATACCTGGTACCGATAAAAAGGAAAAAGAAAAAAAAAAAATCTGGAAAAGTCAGTGAAGGGAGAAACAGGTTAAACTCAAGAGGAAATATCACTAGTAAGGGTAGAAATGTACAAATTTGTGCACAAACATGTTTGGGGAGAGTAGGGTGAGGCCAGTTAGTGGGACTCAATACAACAGGAAGGTCCCGGGAAGCACACGGGAAAACTCAGGCGGAAGCTTGAAGTCCTGAAAGAGCTGATGGTTTGGTGAGAAGTCAGTAAAGACATGATGAAGGGATGTAATTCAGCAGTCGGAGTGGGCAGGTGGGTGGGAAGTGACACCAGGATGGGGCAGCAGGAAAGCTGCCCAACTGTATCTTGCAGGAGAGTGCACAAGCTGCAGGGCAAGTGGGGCAAGGGGGCGACTCCTCAAGGTCTGACTGAGTGCCAGTACCCACTTGGATACGCAGGAGGCAGCAAGCAGGCTAGTGTGATGGGTTTGCATCTCTCAGCTTTGCTCTGAGGGAAGACTTCCTGTCTCAGAGGTGCTCTGGTGGCAGACAGAACCTCACACATTTTTTTTTTTTTTTTACCTCACACATTTTTAAATGAGGAAAATAGTAATTTCAATGCCAGGTGCAGTGTAGCTCTTGTTACACTGTCATGGGTAGTTACTTTGGACCACAATTTCTGCTGTCTTCCATCTCTGAACCTAATCAATCATCAGAAAGCAATTTGTGGAACTTTCTATAGGAAGCAGATGTAATTCAAGTTTCATTAGCATGTCCGCAGGACATGGTTATATTCATTGTGTGGAGTTGATACCTGTACATCCTTTCCTTTCCTTGCTCCAGATTCTCCATTTCTTGGTTTGTTTTTTACTTGCAAAAGATGTATCTCTGTTTCCAGCCTCGGCTACAAAGTGAGCCCAAGGCCAGCCCAAATCGCATATTGAGACCTTATCTCAAAAAGACAAAAAAAAAAAAAAAAAAAAAAAATTCTCATTTGGAAATGCCTGGATACTTCACACATAAACACGAGTGGGGGTTTGTGTGCTTTGAGATAGGGTCTTGCTTCTCAGTGCAGGCTGGCCTTGAACTCTATGCAGCTCAGGTCAGTCTCGAACTCAGTGATCCTCCTGCTTCAGCCTCCTGAGTGCTAAGATTACAGGTGCCCAACTACAAGTTTTGTTTTCTGCTGGGTTATTTTCCCTAGCTGTGTAGTGAGACAGGGCCTGAGGGAAATGTTGGCTGTCCTCAGGAAGTTCCACCTCAGGGTTGGTTTGGTTCCAAGTTCTGCAGTGAGCAGTTACTTACTGTGGTGAGGATCCTAGATAGGTGTGAGTTCTTGCCCCCGTAAGGGGCTCAGGGCTCTGCAAGTACATTGCCTGTTGGTCTGCCTGCTGCCCCCTCTAGGTGGAATCACACACAGAGCAGGGACTCTGACCTATGTGACAGTGCGGTAGTCTCACTGTTGCTCTGTGCCTGAGAAACCTGTCTCCTCTGGTTCTCTCAGTCAGCCCAGGCTTTGGCCTGCCATCTCCCCATTCCAGGCCAGTAAGGAAATGTCAGTACACAATTACATGATATAAAGCCACCACCCAGTTTCCTTCAGTTTAGCACACTTTTTTTTTTTTAAAAGTCAAAAACTGCTTTTCCTCTGGTGAGGACTGAACCCAGGGCCTTCACACCAAGTTCCATGCTCAGTCTTTTTAAATTTTTGAGGTAGGGTTTTAAGACGTGGCCTGAGCAGGGCTGACTGGAGACCTTGTGTGCCAGGGGTGTAGGAGTATGCCAACACGCTTGACTCGGGGCTGCACTGCTTGAGGAAGCTGGATCAGCTATCAACACCCCCAAGGTGCCCACTGGAACAATTTCAACTGCCCTCTCCCAAGAGGAGTCTCAAGAGCTCCCTACAGCAGTACCCCAACTGCTTTTGCTGACACTAGGCATGGAGAACCCTTTTGTTTTTTTTTTTTTTTTGTCTTTTTTTTTTTTCATTTTTATCGGTACCCCTGGAGAACCCTTTTGATGTGTGCACTGTTCTCACTTTCTATCAGAAAGGAAGCAGCAACCTGCTCAAGGTCAAAGGGTTAGTGTGTGAATTTGGGATCTAGGGCTGGGCCTAAGGGCCAAAGTCAAGGCCTTTCTTTCTCTGGAACTGCACAATGCTGTTATCCCCCAGTAACACCTGGCAAGATGGCCCAGCTCCCAGCCTTTCACCCCACTACCTCAAGAAGAGCGCTCACAGGAAGTTTCCTCTAACCCAGACTGCCTGGAGGGAGGGAGAGTGTACGGCTCTGAATCTGGGGCTCCACACCTTCTAGGAGTAACCAAGAACAGCGTCCAGAGGAGCCAGGTCCCAGTCTCCCCTCCGCAGCCTGCTAGCCACCCCAGTGGGTGGCACCGAGAGCTGCACCACATGGCCTCCCTTCTTGGCTGTAGGCTCCAGAGCTCAGCACCCAGGTCACCCCTTGCTTCCTTGCCCAACCCACTGCAGTACTTTAACCTGGACACCAGCAGGAAAGAGCCCCAAATCCTTACTGGATCCTGAAGTGGCTTAACATGTAGCTACTCAGCAGCTATTGAATGAACATGGCCAATGAGGTGACAAGGACAGAACTCCTGTGACATTAGAGAATTATTAACTTGTTATATAAAAGGGAGCTGTGTGCAGTCCCACATTTAAACAAGACATCAAGATAAAAAAAAATGGGAGAATCCAGAGCCAGATGGAGGGAGGAAGCAATCAGTTTAAACAGGGAACAGGGTAGAGGAAGACACAGGGTGTTCAAGATGTTACCCCCACTCCTGAATAAATGTTACCAAACATATTTCAACTGAGAAAAAGCAGTTTAATAACGTACACATACATTCATTGGACTCTTAACAAGATGTAGTATAAAAATCTTTTAAAAAGGAAAAGGAAAGAGAAATCTGCATTTACTACCTAGGAGCGGATGGGAAGGCCTGGAGAAAACACACACACACCTACAATGAGTGAGGCCCATCTGGCTACCTTCGAGTGCCAGGTAATCAGCAAGATGTGAGCCCTGTGAGTGCAGTGCTCCACATCCAGCTCCTGGGCCTCACCCTCACTGCCCCAGAGGCAAACCAGGCTGTGATTTCAAAGTTTTTCCAACTAGCTGCATGTTAGTAGTCATTTCTTAAAATTTTTTCTGGTTTTTGGAGACAAGTCTCACTACACAGTCCAGGCTGGCTCTGAACTCACCATATAGTCCAGGTTGACCTAGATCTTTTTGTCTCAGCCTCCTAGATGCTGGAATCACAGATGTATGCCACCATGCCCTGTGCTTCATAAAATCCTAGTTTTTTTTAAATTTAAAGGTTATTCTTGGTTTAAAGACTCCACACATTATTACTGGCCGGTCCCCATCAACTACATCTGTTTTGATAAATATAAACATACAAATAATCTGACTGAGATGGTAACACTTCATTGTCTATCTTTTACATCTGGGGAGATTTTTGTGAAGTCCAAGCAAGCTACTTGTGTTTCAAAACAAAAACAAAATGCCAACCTTCTAAAAGGTGACAAAGGTACCATAAGGAAACAGACAAAAAATATACAGATACTGTTATTTTACTGCGACATGGGTGCATTTTGTATACGACGAGTCTCTTCACTTAATATAACTAACAGAATTTATTTTCAGAGAATAAGGAAAGGTAAGAAAAGGCAAACAGTCACACACAAAAACATAAACACAAGTACCTTAATTTTCTGCTTGCAGAAAGGGTAGCAAGGCTTTGCCCACTTCCAGGTCACTGGGCAGTGATTTCTGGCACAGTGGTGCTGCCCAGCCTGGAGCAGGCTGGCCTTTGCAGTGAACGCCTCTCCCACCCCACCACCCCACTCACAGGCAACAGCAGCAGGAGGGAGACAGGGCCTGGGGACCCGAGAGGGAGAGGAAAAACTTAATTTGGGAGAAAAACCATGGGCTACTTGTGCTACAAGACAAAAGTCATGAAATTTCTATGAGAGCCCAAATGGAAATACTGAGTGGATTCAGACCCAGAGACAGGCCCTTTTAGAGTCATAAATACCAGGCCTGACACAGGTATCTGGCCACTTACTTTTAAGGTCAGATGAAGTACTTTTCTTTAATGGAGAAAGACAATTAAAAATAGAGATTTTTCTTACTAGAACTGCTAAATAAAAATATATCAAAGTGGTTTTAAATTTGATGGGCAGTTATCTGTTGAAACTGCAATATAAAAGCGTCACTTAAAAAAAAAACCTGGATAACCCACTTGCCCTGCCCCATCAATGTACACAATTAGAAAATATTTACACACTGTAATTACAAGCAATATAAGCAGTATTTTATACTTTGAAATTTTGTACACTTTACACAAAGCAAAATGAGAAAAATATGGACACTTATAAAATTACACACAAATAATGTATCCACAAATTATTAAATTACAGAGTGAAAACCCCACTGCTGGGCAGATAGACATGAATTTTAAGCTTCTGTCAAATATAACTCTTTGTATTTCTCTTTTTCTTTTTTTTTGGTGTGGTACTGGGGATAGGGCCTCTGCACTGCGCTACTTCCCCAGCCCCCTTTTTGATGTTTTATTTTGAAACAGGCTCTCACTAAGTTGCCCAGGCTGGGCTCAAACCTGTGATCCTCTTAACTCAGCCTCCCAGAGTACCAGGATTACAGGTGTGTCCCACTACACCTGGCTATATCTATCTCTTTAACCTTAAGTGGCAGTTTTTAAAGTGGCATTTTACAACAATACCTTTGAGAGGTAGTATCAAGATAATATTCTTACCAGTAAACTCAACACAGAATAAAACTTTTGTTGGTCTGCCTCTTCGAGACTCATTCGGCCTGGCTTTTTGGAAACTGATTTTAATTTTGCCTATAAAAACTTACCCAATGCTTGACATGAGCTCGAAAGTTAATTGACATCATAATGATAAATTTATTACATTTTTTTTACTCCTACACCTCAAAGTTGAGGTAGAAAGTTCTCAAAGTTTATTTTGTCCCCTTTCAAACCATGTACGTAACCCCATCCCTGTCATTTTCCTTCCTGCCAACTGGAGACATCACAATGCTCAGGAAAGAGCCAGTCACCTGACCCAACACTGAAGGAACAGCGACAGAAAAGCTGGAGTTCTCCTTCAGGAACCAAACCCTCCTAACAGGAGTACTTAGCCACCAAAAGAATTCTTCAGGCAGTTAGTAAGGGTCTGTCACCAAAGGCTTTAAGGGCCTTTGGGCTAAAACCAGCTTGTTCTACTGAGCCTCTGCCATCTTAAAAGGACGACTTTCCAGTGTTTAAGAACTCAGAGCAGCTCTAGTTTCAAGTGCAATAACCTCATGGTACGGGAACACACAGGTATGCATGCCTGCATGTCAATGCCCTTCAGTGTCCCGAGAACACACACAATCCAGGCCTCTGCAAAGTTACAAACAACATGGAAACAAGCTGTTTGAAAATGTTTCCAGATCCGAAAGCTTTTATAATAGAGACTTCTGTAATACTGTTATTAAGGGCCAGAATTCTAAGATTTTAACCAGTATTTCAAAAAGATGCAAGTACTTAAAAGAAATCTGAAATAAACTACCTATGAATATTCTGGCATTTTAAAAAGAGCCACTATTTTATAGCTCACTCTTTTTCACTTAGGGAGAACTTGAAAATACACCAAACTTGTTTCCTAATTGTTTTAAATGTTTTGTTTATTTATGGTTTGAGACAGGGTCTGCTACACAGTGCAGGTTGGCCTTGAATTCACTATGTAGCCCAGGCCGGCCTCAAACTTGTGGCAATCCTCCTGCCTCAGCTTTCTGAGTGCTGGGATTACTGGTGTGTGCCACCCACGCCTGGCATTTAAGTGTATTTTATTCATTTATTTTTTTGGTGCTGCTAATCAAATGCATGACCTTGCACTTGCCAGGCAGGTGCTATGCCATAGCTATATCCGTGGCCCAAATACATTTTAAAAACCTAACATTTATAACCCTAAATAGTGAAGGAAACTGTAGGACCTGTGGTTTATAGGAGTTACAGAAGAGATCTATACTTTTATTAGTAAATGTGATAAGCTTTTCCTTTGCACCCTAAAATAACCAAGACAAATGAAACCCAGTGGAAACTTAAGTCTTGGTTTCTAATGTCCAACTCAAGCTGGTCCCAACTCTTCTTCTATCCTTCCTATGATCTTCCAGGTGCCACAAATACCATCTGAAAAAGGCAACTGGCTTCCAGTATCACAGTAAGAGGGCAGGCAGCTCATACACGTGACTACTACTGCTTCCATCCCTCTCCTCCTTTCACAGGCTCCACTCTAGTAAAAGGTCAGCTGCTGTAACAGTTAAGCCATTTCTTCACCAGCTCACATTCAGTTTTCAAGCGGTACATCTGCTGCAGTTTCTTAACATCCCCTGGATTCTGCAGAAATACTTCCTACTCATCTTGGAAAGGTTCTTAGTGAATTTCTCTCAGTTAGTATGTTTGCTGTTGTGACTTTTGTTAAGAATCTGGTACCCAGAAGTCATGGAGTTGCCCCTAGAAAAATGAAGGAGAGAAAAATAAAGGTAAATTTAATCAGATTATAAAATTAGTCATTATACAACTACTAATTTACAGACAATGGGGCATTGATAACGAAAGAAAAACTTTTTTGGGGGGTACTAGGGATTGAGTAGTACTAGGTATTAGGGTACTTTGGTACTAGGGAATGTCCCCAGGGGACATTTTACCAGTAAACTAATTCCTATCATTTAACAAGTGATGTTTTGAGACACGGTCTCCCTATGGAGTTCAGGGCGACAACTTACTAGTAACCCAGGCTGGCGTCGAACTTGCAGCCCCTTCTGCCCCAACCTTCCAAGTGCTGGAATTACAGGTATGTACCACCACACCTGGCCCCAGCCCTGGTTATTCTGAAACAGGGCTGCGTAGGCTGGTCTTGAATTTGTAATTCTCCTTCCTTCCGCTTCCAGGTTTGAGATTACAGGTATGCACCACCATGTTTCACTGAAGTTGTTTTTCCCCTTCTACACTCCAAGTTCTTTTTAAAATTTCTGGACAGCATCTTGCTCAGCCTGGCTCAAATTTATAATCCTCTTGGCCTAGACTCCCAGAAAGCAGCTTTAATCTTTATAAATTTCTCTGAAAACTTCTGGCCATCTGATTCAAATTTCATTTTTGTGGTTTAACAGCTTAAAAAAAGTGTAACATATATACAGGATTTTTTTTTTCCTTATCCTCATGTTGGAGACCACTAATGAAGTGGCTCTGAACAGGACTTCTAATTGGCTATGTTTATCTGTGAGTCTTCCTAGGCCTCAGCCCCTTGCCTGGCAACGGGAACTGATTCACAGTAAGTGAACCTCTATGAATCACTGGTCCTGACCGAGGCCTATATCAACCTGTGAGGCCAGAGATACTGCAAAGGGCAAGAAGATAAGGCCACAGCTGCGGACACTTGGCTCAAACATCAATTAAGTAGATAGACTGCAGCTGCAGCAGGAATTATTCCTACAGTCTCACTCCTACCATGTCTTCATAAGACAGTTCTGCTGAACTGACTTGATTCATTACTTGGAGATGTCCTCGAAGTGACTCCCAAGGTCCTGTTCATTGCCTACATTTTCCTCAGTTTCCCCAACCCTTGTTGGACCTAATAAATAAAGTGGGAGGTCCAGACAAGCCTTTGTCATAGCCCTTGGATTCTCGAGCTCATCTAAAGGGTTTTGACCCTCTTGGAGTCCTAAAATCCTACCACTTGTTGCATTTCTTTTAAACCTCCACTGTATACTCGTTTGGGAGATTGAGGATCTAGGTCAGGACCCAATATCCTCACACTCACACAGTGGCACATTTAAAAGATTAATATGTTAAGTTGATTAATATAGTTTTGCTATTAAATTCTTTTCCATTTTAATGCTACATCAGTACAGATGGCCAGCCTGAAAAAGGTCTGTTGATGTCAGAAACTGAAACAATAACAAAGAGAAAATTTAAGACTCCAGAAAACTCTGAAAGGGCATGTGTATCTCATGAAGGACAGCAATAGCAAGAGTCAAAATGTCATCAATGAGCGAGATGCTTTTCCAAGCTCATACTTGGTGTAACTGTTATTTATTTATTTGGTACCAGGGAACAAACTCATGATCTGGTCCTTGCCAAGAAGGCACTTGCACCATTGAGTTAAACCCCTGGGCCCTGTTACTTTGATACAAAACACAAGCAACTTCTAGACCCTGGCTACTCTGAAGTTTAACTCTGGACCAACAACACTGGCATCAATCTGAGAACTTGTTTGAAACTAGAGTATGTCAGTTCCCAGCCCAGACGTAGTGACCTAGAGTATCATTTCAGCAAGTTCCTGGTTGGTTCCTATGTACATTAACATTTGAGAAGTACAATTTTAGACAATCTGTATCAGTTACCTTATAAACAAATAGGATGGCAAACTTATTATTATGTGTTAGAAAAAAAATGTCCTCTTAGTCAAAGCTTCTCCTTAACTTTGATGTCAACAGCATAAGTGAGAAAAAAAATTAAAATTAAGAATACTGTGCTAAAAGTCATACTATGAAATGTCAGACATGGTGGCACATAGCTGTAATCCCAGAACTTGCTAGGCTGAGGCAGGAGGATCATTCCGAGTTTGAGGCCCCTGTGGACCACATTGTGGGTTCAAGGTCAGCCTTTAATGACATGTGAGATCCTGTCTTAAAAAAAAAAAAAGAAATCATACTACGGAGACAATGAAAAGTCAACATACAAGAGAAAATATTTATAAACTATATATATAAAGGACTTATCTCCAGATTACATGGGGAATTCTTAGTGCTGAATGATAAAAAGAACCTAATTAAAAGTGGGCAAAGGACCTACACAGAAATTTTTCCAAAGAAGCTATACAAAGAGCCCAGAAGTAATCTTCTGGACAGCCAGTATTGGTTCCTGGCAGAATACGAAGTGAAACCATGAAGTCTCACTTCTCACCATCTAATATGGCTTTTGTCAGTGAAGACTAACAAGTGCCGGAGAGATCACAATCCTCACCCCTACTAATGCAATATAAAACGGCCCAGCCACTACTGAGAACAGTTCGGCAGCTCCAGAAAACACCATGCACAGGTACTGTGAAGCCCAGCAGTTCTAGCCCCAGGAATATATGCTTGAAATGCTTTCATCTGGAGATACATTCACACAAGACTCGCATGCACATGTTCACGGGGACACCAAGGGAAAACCCCTCAAATGTCCATCTTACACTGTAAAGGAAGATGGCTCTCCAGCCAGTACACTTCAGTTTCCCAATTGACAAGCTATCCTGCCTCTGCACTTCCCGTTAGCTTGCTTATCTCATATAAATCCTAGACCACCAGAGATCTGGGACTGATATTCTGGGAATAATCCTGATCAGTGCTCCTCGATGTGAATAAAACTGTCTCCAAATCCTAGGGGTTGTCTGGGTGTTCCTGCTTTCTATAGCAGTATGTCAATAAATAAAATGTGATGCATCCAGACAATCTGGTATTGTTGAGGACAGAAAAGACATACATACGACAACATAAATCCACTTATCATTATTTTAGGGGTAAGAAGATAGTCACAAAAGACCACAAAGTCTATCTCATATGGGAGAAATGTCCAGAATAGGCAAATCTATAGATAGAAAATAAATAATACAAAAAATAAAGTAAATTAGAGGCTAGAAATAGGGTTCAGTGGTAAAGGGACTGCCTGGCATGTTTGAGGCCCTGGGTTTGATCTCCAACAATACCACCAAAAAAAAAAAAAAGAGCGAGACAGAGACAGAGAGACAGAGAGAGAGAGAGCATAAAGAGAGACAGAGAGACAGTCTTAAAGGAGTGAGGAGAGAAGGCAGGCAGCGGGGAATGAAGAATGACTGCTAGTGGTAGAGGATTTCTTTTTAGCATGACAGAAACATTCTAAAGTTAGGCTGGTGATGGTGTGTACTACTCTGTGGATACATATGAAAAAGTATCATGTATGTTAACTGAGTGAAACGTATTTTATATGGATGAAAGTTTTTTTGGGGGGGCGGTAGCCGGGATTGAACTCACGGCTGCACACTTGCAAGGCAGGCGCTTATGCCATTGCACTAAATCCCCAGTCCTACATGGATGAAATTTTAATAGACCTGTTAAGAAAGATGTTTCTCATGAAATAACCTCCATTTGGTGCCACATAAAATTCTAAAATGGGCCATACCACATCTTTTTGTGTTTGTCTGAGACAAGGTCTCACTGTGGAATACATTCTAGGCTGGCCTTGACTTCACTATATAGGCCAGGATGGCCTTGAATCTGTGATAATCCTGCCTCAACCTCCTAAGTGCTAGGAGTATAGGTTATGTGTCACTGAGCCCAACTTGGCTATACAATAAAAATAAATTAATAAATATAAAGCAAATTGAAGCCAGGCATGGTGGCTCACGCCTGTAATTCCAGCATTTGGGAGGCTGAGGCAGGTGCTTGCAAGTTCAAGACCAGCCTGGGCTACAAAGTGAGTTCAAGGCCAGCCTGAACTGCATAGAGACCCTGTCTCAATAAAAAAAAAAAATAAAAAAAAAATTAAAAAAAGGCAAATAAAAATATAGAGAAACCATATATATATATTTTTTAATTTTTTTTTTGTCTTTTTCGTTTTTATCGGTACCAGGGATCGAACTCACGACTGCCTGCTTGCAAGGCAGGTGCTTATGCCGCTGAGCTAAATCCCCAGCCCCGAGAAACCATATATTATATTGGTATTTTCAGTTTATCTTCACATTATTTAGGCCAAGTACTCTATTATTCTTTGTTCCCAATAATATGAAGAATATAATTTACTTAGTAAAACTATTACAAATAAATAAAACTGTTTAACAAAATGACACCTGAGTAGGCCGACAGTTCTGGATTATTTCCTGCCATTTTCCATGTATCCTGGCAACCAGGTCTTTCACCTTAAAATCAAAAAGAAAAAGAATCAGTTCAAAAAATCTTCAGCTACAATCAATTTAACATGTAACATAAAAAAATCTTAAAGTTATCAAAGGGTCATATCCATTATGATTAAGGAGATTCCATGACACCATTTTTTTTTGTACTAACAATCAAACTCATAGCCTTGTGCTTGCCAGGCAGGCACTGTGCCACTAAGCTAAATCCCCATCCATGAGTGGCATCTCTCTCTCTCTTTTTTTGGTACCAAGGATTAAACTCACAACCTCACACTTGCCAGTAGGCGCTGTGCCACTGGCCTACATCCCCAGCCCCAAAGGACCGTATGTCAATAACGGAAACAGGCTACTCACCTCATGGAGGAACTTTAAAATTGTAGTAATTAATAAATCTACCCCTCTAATCTAAAATACTGACAGTGTGGAACCACTTTCCCACTACATTAGTTATTAAAGGTCACTTCCAAAACATAATTCCTGTTTCTGAAGCTTATGTTTTTGACTGGCTGGCTTTTGAATACTCAGAGAAGTTTTAGGGTGTTCTGTGCGACAGGATTCAATGTTCTGGCTGTTCCTTGCTTTGTCAATTTTTATTGACAGCTCACAACCCTATGCTTGCCAAACAGGCACTTGTGCTGCTGAGCTAAATCCTTGGCCCTGTGCTCTGTCAAGTTAAAAGACTCAAGACCACAAAAAATACTTGTCATTTGCTCCTTCCACATTATCAGAAGACCCAAAATTCAGTTAGTTCTCTCCATATTTTTTGTGAAGTACTATGAAGGCCCTTTAATTTAATTAAAAAGTTTTTGTCTTTTTGAGAAAATGTTTCATTTTATAGTTCAGGCTGGCCTTGAACTCACTTTATAGGCCAGCCTGGCCTTAAACTTACAGCAATACTCCTGCCTCAGCCTTATGAGTGCTGGGTTTAAAGGATGCGCTACCACAGCTGGCTGTTACTTTAATTTGAGAGACAGGGTCTTGTTATGTATGCCAAACTAGTCTTGGATTTGCTACTGGGCCAGATTGGTCTCAAACTGTGATCTTCCTGCCTCAGCCTTCTGAGTACTGGGATACGTGGCCACCATTCCTGGCCTGAATTTCTTCCAAATACTTGATATATTCTAATGTAAGGTTCAGTCAGGTCTCTGCAAAACTCAACACTCTTGAACACAAGGCTGAGTGTGGTGGTGCATACCTGTAACCCTAGCACTGAGGCAGGAAAACTGCCAGTTCAAGGCCAGGTTGTGGCTACATAGTGAGATCAAGCCTGAACCACATAGTAAGACCCTAATAAAACAGAACAAAACAAAACAGTTTCCACATTACATTCAAAAAGGCATTGTTTAAATTACCAGTCTTAGCAGCTAATCAATGTAAGATAAGAAATCACAAAACTGAGACCCAACATTTAATAATTATTCAAAATAAGGCACATTATTAAAGTTAAAAGACTGAGATTTTTAAAAAATCTGTTATTTAATTTTGTTTCAGGAAAACTTGAATCATTCTATTAATACATAAGTTGTTTTCCCAGCACATACTCATACATTTGGTTTTTTGACTGTCTTTACATAAATAAAACCTTGAAGAAATAAAAGACATAGCAAGGTTATTGAGAACATTCCATCCTAGAGCTCAGACAGGGTGATGCAGGACTTGGGAGATTTCCTGAAGAGCCTGTCCTTAACACATTCTTCAGTGGAACAGTCAAAGAATGACAGCTAATTTATTTCTTCTTTTTTATTGCTTTTGTTTTTGCGTGTTTCACTATGTAGTTCAGGCTGGCCTCAAATGCATGGTAATCCTACCTCAGCCTTTTGAGTGCTGGAATTACAGGTGTGTGCCACCATGTGGGGCTCTATTTTTTCTTTATGAGTAAAACAAGTTTTCAACTATCATAAAATTTCATAGTGCTTCAATTCTTGAAACTATCTTAAGCGCAGGAGTTTAATCTTTACAATGGGGAAAAAAAACTAAGAAATCACAAACAGTAACTAGAAAGAGTTTTTCTTCTTAGTATTAAGAGTTTCACAATAATTTTCCCTTTCACTTCCAATCTTGCTAAACAAGTACAGTATTTAGCAGAAACACAGTCTGCTATAAAAGAAAGAAGTCCTCTCCTTTAATTGTGTGTGTGTGCGCGCGCGCGCGTGTTTTAAGAGATAAACACCAGGACCTGGCAAGCCCTCTAATGCCAAGCTGCACCCCAACTCCTTGTACACAAATTTCCTTTAAAAGAGGGCTTCTATGATTCTTTCCCTTTAGTATCAATATGACCAGAATTGAACAAAGAAAGTGTTAAAAACATGCTTACTTTAGTTCTGTAGAAAAGTCTTGCATCTTCCCTAATGTCGCACTTAACATGCTTTTCCAGAGCCCCACAGAGCAGCACAAAGTGTTTCTGTACACAACAAAATAAATGCAAGGAACAAAACAATTCTGAAACATTATAGATTAGCAAAGAGATTGCACAGTAGAAACTAAATCATTTAAAAATCTATCATCTCCCAATTGGCAATTTCTGATGATAATAGCAGTCCTATCAGAGAAATTTATTTATATACTACCTTAGTATGTACAAGGTTCTGATTCAATCTCCACCACTGGAAAACAAATGAAACAAATCCACAAAAATGATACTTTGCTATGCTGTAAATTATACTAATGAAGATAAAACCTCAGAGATCAAACTGGTAATGTTGTACTGATAATTTGAAGTCTTTCTTTTAACATGCTCTTAAATATTCAAATAGAAACTAATCAGCTTTTGTATTTATTTACTGAGCTATGTCCCCATGCCTTGCAGTCCTCCTGCCTCAGCCTCCTAGTGCTAGAATACAGACCTGTGCAACCATGTCCAGTGATTTTATTTTTTTAAACAAGAGGGGCACAGAGTCCTGAGGAGTATAGCTGCAGGTTCTCCTCTACTCTGACTAAGGAATGGATTGGGAATGCTGCAGTGGCCACAGTTCAAGTATGAGCAGATGATTGGAAACAATCTAAGGCCTGGAGATTAAGGCACAGAACTGCTCTGGGCCTCCTGACCACCAAGCCGGAATGTGGTTGTTCCACGGAGCACAGGTTCAAGCTTTTAAGGCCACTAAAGTGGGCAGCGCTTGTGAATTTCCCTGCAGGGATGAGATCCAGATTAGCTCCGCCACCTCCCACCAGGTCGTCACCCTGTCACTTTAGAGTGGGCTGCCTTGTGTACCTGGCTGCTGGAGCTAAAATGTCTATAAAAACGAAAGGGTTTAGGTCAGTGTTACTAGACACACACACAAACACAGCAGTGGGGTAGGGGACATCTAAGGCTCTATAAAGTGTAACTACTAACCTGTGTTTCTACTCTCTGTAGCTTAATAGGAAGATACCACGGATGATTTCCTGGGTCTCAGATGATGCAAAGTATTTTGTACAAAAGCTGCAATGAAACTGTAGGCTATGATTTCAAGTCTTTGCTTATGTGTAGATACTTGACAGGGGCTTATAAAATAGCAGTTAGTCTACTTTCTGTCAAGTTATTGCCTAAACCTAAATGGAAGTATAAGATTTTCTAGTTAAACTCATTTTTAGATAAACAGCATTTTTAGATAGGCAGGATGATATATGCCTATAACCCCAGAACTCTGGGAGGCTGAGGCAGGAGGATTCAAGTTCAAACCTAGCCTGAGAAACTTAACAAGACCCTATTTCAGAAGGGCTAGAAATGTAGCTCAGTATGAAAGCTGTGGGTTCAATCTTGAGAACCACAAAAGCAACAACAAAAAACCAAGCAAACAGCATTTTCTGTTTGGATTTATCTATTACAAGTGGACATTTAAGTGAAATATGCATCAAAACTGTTAAAAATTAATTAAAAAATACACACTTTATGATTTTTAACATATTGTTCTGAGATGTGACCTTATTATATATGTGCCACTGAACCCAGATTAAGCTACTCCTAATAGAGAGTCAGTCACTTTGAAAAATTAAATGTCTTAAGTTTTAAAGCATCCAAAAGTTTCTTATATAGTTGGTGAACCTAAAAGGACACTTTGTAAGAAGGAAATGTGAGAATAGCTATTTTTATGTAATTAAAATCTGAAATATTTTAACTTCTGATCTAAGAATTCTAGAAATTTATTGTGCAGACTGCTTGCACAAGTAGACAGATAGAAATGAACAAACACATTACATTACTGTATTTAAATCACAAAAAAATGTTACTCATAATGGGTCCAAAGTGCTATATGTATTACAAGTTATTAGAAATACTATAGTTATTAGTTCAGTGGCATAAGCACCTGCCTGGCAAGTATAAGATCCTGAGTTCAATTTCTGGTACCAAAACCAAAATGAAACAAAATAAAATAACAACAAACCTCACGCTAAAAAGACAAATTGCAAATAATGTGAATAGTATGATCCCATTTTAAAACAATAATTGTTAGTATATGCATAAACTAGGGAAAAGATAATGTAAAGGCCATGTGAGAATATTATAAATAAATGATGATTATGTTCTAATTAGGAAAGTAAGTATAGTTCTATGTATAATACCGCTTAGCCTGATTGTAGCTTAACTTTGAAGGCAAATGTTTCTTCTAAAGACCAAAAAAAAAAAAAAAAAAAAAAAAAAACCACAAAAAAACAAAACAGCTGAATGGGAGAGAAGATGAGAAGAAACAGGCAACTACTGGCTCACTTGGTATCTAGGAATTGTGCTATCTTATGAATACAGTGTACTGTTGCCAAGTTAGGATGGGTATGCTATACTCCAACAAACAGAACATTTAGTATAAATAACCTTTGTCCATACAGTATGTTTGCAGGTTATGATTACTCCTCCCTTGCCAGTTAATTTCTATTAAGTTCTCTCCTAACTGAAGCACGTACATTCACTCCATCAAGAGCGACACCTGTTTAAAATAACATTACATATTACCTACCCGTTGTCCAGAAGAAAAAGAATGGGAACAACTAACTTCACCAACGAGATGAAGAAGAATGTAGGTCAGGTAATATGCCTATTAGAGAAATAAATAAAATTAATATCCACGAAAATTAGTTGGAACAGATGTAATTTCAATTTATTCAGCAGGAAAGTACTATAGGAAAGATAAAGGATTTAATTTAACCCAGCTAGTAAAGAAAGAGAAGCCAGGCCTTTAAGCCAGGCTTTCTGATTTTACATCAAGAGGATTCATTTTATCACATGACTGCCCTAGTACAGGGCTACAAAAAATATTCTCAGTATTAAAATTACCAGCAACCACCCTTTTACCTAAATTACCAACTCTCACATTTAATGAATTACTTTACAACAGTAATAAGTAAAGATACCTGCTTTTCAAGTTCCAAGTGAAGACTATCATCAATAGTGCCATCTGGTTGCTCAGCCCTTTTCTTCAAGACCATTTTCTTTAACAAATCAGACGGTTTCATTTGCACGAGATAGTGATGGAGGACTGATATCTACCAAAGACAGAGGAAGCACTGAGCGACCCTTGGCAGCACAACCAGCTTTCCTCAGGCTACTTTTCACCTCTGGGTGCACTGTTCGCTTTGCCTTCTCTAATTATGCCCCTGTGGCCTTCTTTAAGAGTCCAGTGATAGTCATTTCTTCTTGATAAGTCTTCAATTGCTTAAGAAGGGGCTTGAGTTAAAGATTTAGTGCTTGAACCTTGGGATATCAGCAGTTAAGATACCAAATACAGTCCATAAGGAATGGTTTCTCTGTGAAATTACTTGAAAGTTGGCAAAGCTGAATTTCCCCAAGGATAGAAGTCACTGAATTCTGAAAAACAGCACTTAACAAGAAGCTATGTGAAAAACACAAAACACACCAAACCAAAAAACACATCTAGGGTGAGTAATCTGAGGGCTAATTATTCATGCAGTTCTATTTTACATGGGTGCAAATAGAAAAATACTAAATAGAAGTCACCAGGCACATGGTATAAATCCTATCCTGGGTCCCTTTTGGAGGTAGGGAAAGGAGTGGGAGCTACTTGTTAACCCTGGTTGCTCAGAAGTGATACTTATATTTGGAATCAAATCTACTTCAACCTAACTAAGGTTTGGGAACTGGCTGTCTCCATCACTCTGGCCCCCATGGCACCTTGCGCACATCTCTACTGCTCCTTTCACAACGCTAACCTATGATGGTTGGTTTACTGTTCCAACCACTACCTTCTGTCTTCTGTGAGACTCTAATTCACTTGTATACCTCAGGACCTGGCAGAGTTCCTTGTACTGAAACGTAGCTCAAACAAGGACAACACAGAAGCACCCACACTGGGCTCTATGGTGAGTTTTCTAAAGGAGCTCCACTAGTGCTGTCAATGTAAAACACCTTGAGATTCAGAACTGGGTCTCCACGAGGCATGTTCATACACAGCTGTGTATCCCTGATGTACACTCAACTGAACACGTGCTGGAGGGAAATCATGTGTAAGCTCTGTCATCTAAAAAAATCACTTAATACTAAAACAGGCACGAGGTGCAATGAGTGTGTAATGGTTTTGCAATTTTTTTGGGTGGTACTGTGGATTAAACCTATGGGCACACCTAACACTGAGCTACAAACCTAGCCCTTTTTATTTTTTCTTTGGAGACAAGGCCTTTCTAGGTCAGCCTGCTGGGACCGAAACTTGCAATCTTGCCTCTGCCTTCTAAATGTATTAATTCCACAATTTCTAATCTTTGCTAGTTTTGGTAAGTTGAGCAAATTCAATAAATAATGTCACAGCATATCATAGTACATTATGATTTTCCCAATGGTTTATTTATACATTAACTCAGTTGGTCCACAACAACTGTACATGGTAGAGTCTATAACATCATCTCTACTATATTTTACAAATGAGGAAACAGGATCTTGTTAGGAAGTGCTATACTAAAGATTTTTTTTTTTTGTCTTCTTGAGACGGAGTCTCACTATGCAGTTTAGGCTGGTCTTTAGCTCACTTTGTAGCCCAAGCTGGTCTTGAACTCACAGCAATCCCCCTGCCTCAGCCTCCTGAGTGCTGGGATTACAGGCATGTACCACCACACCTAGCTGCCATGCTAAAGATTACATGAGTAGTAATTCTTGAGAGTTGAGATCTAACTCTTGAATTTGTGATTTAAAATCCATCGATCTCCCCCATACCTCACTACCTCTCTTGTTTATCTATTGAAAAGTACTTATACCTGAAGATTACTTGTATTAGGGACATCTCCATGTTTCTCATCCAGAAGCTTTGAAATAATCACTAGACTGAGGCACTGTCTCAATTGCCTGGAATTAGAATTTAAAAGTATTAAGAAAAAATTTTCATCAATACCACTTGAGAAGCAAACGTAAGATCCCAAAGCAGCTCCAGGTCTAACTGGAAATACAGGCAACAGTAGAGGATGCTGTACAAGAATACATAAACTGTTAAGGAAGAGTAAAATCTTCCCTTCTTCTTTTGCCGTGTGTTGGGGATCAGACCCAGAGATTCATACATGCTAAGCAAGCGCTCTGCCATAAAGCTCATTCTCAGCCATTTTACAAATAAATTGCAAGAGCAATGGATGGTCATCCCAGGATTCAAGAAGCAGGAGGACCACAAGTCAAAGGCTAACCTGGGCTACCAAGCAAGTTCAAGGATAGCCTGGACTATATGTGGAGAACTTGCCCTTTTTTTTGAGAAACAGTCACTAATTTGCCCAGCCTAGACTTAGAAGTTGTAGTGGCTGGGGATTTAGCCCAGCAGCATAAGGGCCTACCTGGCAAGTTCGAGGCTGTGAGTACCCCCCACCCCAAAAAAGCTCTAATACTACCTCAGTCTTCCGAGTAGCTTGGAATTATAAGCAGGTACCAAAAAGGGAGTTTAGAATAGTAAATCTCTGAAAATTTCAATTCATTTATTTTTTAAAATCTATTTAAGAGAGGGTTTGACTATGCAGTCCAGGCTGGCCTTAAATTCATTTTGTAGCCCAGACTGGCCTCCAACTCACAACAATCCTCCTGCCTCAGCCTCCTGGAGTCCCCAGCTAATGCATTCACGGGGTGGGGGTGGGATAATACCAGCAATCAAACTCAGTATCTCACACTTGCCAGGCAGGCATTGTACCACTGAGCTAAATCCCCAGCTAAATCCATTAATTTTTATGGTTAGTGTCATCTATATTGTTCTCAAATAAATTAAAGATAGAAATCAAGAATACTGCAGAGTGATCTGAATTAAGAAATAGAATCAGGCTATCAATGTCCTTTACCCTCAACTCAATATAAAAGGCTCTGACCTAAGATTCAAAGAGTGAAGAATGGAAATTAAAAAAAAAAAAAAAACAACTTAACAGCAGTTCTTAAAAAGATTTTAAGCTTAAAAACTTAAAAACACCTAAAACTGCTTAATGCTTAATTCCCATTTTTAAATACCTTCCGCGTGCTGTCCAGTTAGGGACGAGCTGCACCAACCACAAAAGATTGTGAGGGTGACTGGAGAGGTTGTTTATGCCCAAACAGAGTTCAGGCATCTGAAAGAAAAGACAAAGAACACTCAGGACTCCTTCCCAAACAGGCCAGCAAAATCAAGTCTGTAATCTTTCTTGCATTATTAGGGACATTTGCATTCATTTACTGAACAGCATGGAGTCTAAAATATGTAAAATATACAACGAGATTCTGTTCTATCTAAAATTACCTTGTACCAAATTTATATGCTCATTAGAATGCCACAAACACTACTGGCAAATGTGTGCAATGAGAGCTTCTCAAGATCATCTCCATTCCTAATGTGGGATTTCTTGTACTTACTTTTTTTTTGGTATTGGTATCCGAGCTCATCACCTCACTCATGCCAGGCAGGTACTTGTTTCACTGAGCTAAATCCCCAGCCCCTCTTGCACTTATTTTATTTATTTTTGGCTTTTTGAGACAAACCTCAAACTTGTGGTACTCCTCCGCCTCAGCCAGTATGTGCCAACCATGCTCAGCACAGCTGGCCTCTAGCACTTATAGCAGACCTGCAATGCACAAGGCATTGTGGCATGAAGAGCCACCGTTTTAGGAAAGAGCACCACTAATTTAACAGTTCCAGCAGTCCTTTTCTCACTCCCTTCTTCACCAATCAAAGGTTGTAACTGAGATCAGAGTGACTTTAATTCTGTATGCAAGTAGGAGATGGAATTGTGGTGTACAGAAAAAACAGCACTGAGAGTGTGAGTAGTATTTATTACCTTTGCGTTCCAGTCTCGGATATTTTTCATCAGGTTTATCAGAAGGCTCTGGAAGTCTACGAGAGGGATCTGCTTCAGCTGTTTCTCTAAACTCATTTTAAACAACATGAAGATCAGCAGCATTGTCTCACGGTCTTGGTACCCTTCTGGGTGTATGGACGTACACAAGCCCAGGAACTTTTGACAGAAAGGCACAAAGAATGTTAAGAAAATATGTTTCACTTCAAGAATTTTAAAGTTATTTTTGACAAAAGATACCAGTATCAGATGCCTGGAAAAGACCAGAAATACTCATGCTAGTAGATGAATTAAGCAGTACTTTTGTTGGTTTTCTACTTTTAAGACTAATGATTCACTATCATTGATTTGATACAGCCACTAAAACAGTTTTTCACTTTTTTTTTTTTTTTTTTGAGGCAAGGTCTTGCTATGCAGTTCAAGTCTTGAACTTGCTATATAACCCAGGCTGCTTCTACTTGAAATGGTGACCATCTGCCTCAGCTTCCTAAATGCTGGGATTACACATGTGCACCACCACACCTGGCATTGTTCCTGATTCCTGATTATAAAAATTATACTGTAAGTAATATTTTTATCCTTCATAAATGATACTTCTTTTTTTTTGTACTGAGGATCGAACTCACGACTTCACACTTGCCAGGCAGGCACTTATGCCACTGAGCTAAATCGCTCGCAATCCATGATAATTCTGAAACATTATTGGTTTCAAAAGTACTTTAATGATAAAACTCTGACCTAAAGTTCCCCTTTCACTCCTCATGAAAAATAAAAACAGCAAGCTATCCTGACTTTCCTTATAATAGCCCACCTATGTCCTCCAGGGCATTCTTTTATCCTGTGGTTTCCTCTTCTACTCAGTCCAAGCTCACTGCAGAGCCAGTTTCTCTCTCACTCTTCACTTTTAGTTTTTCAAATAAACTTTATCACACAAAACAAAGCAGTAAAAGCCTTAAAGGATTATTGCTAAGAACTTCACTTAGTAAAAAACTAGTAAATCCATCTGGTAGAAAACTAGTTTTTAAATACCATTAACAAAAAAACTAAAATTATTCTGTACCAAAGATAAATGAAGTTTTAACCTACCTTAACTACATTTAATATATTAGTTTCGGGAAGAGCTGAAAAAATTGGTTTGGAAGATGAGTCTTCACTTTCTGTTCCTCCTAGTGTCATCTGTGTTCCAGAACTATTGAGAAGTGAATAAAGCAAATGAAATTAGGCATAAAATAATCACTTAAGAAATAACGAACAACTAACTTTGGGGGCTCTGTGCAGGCAGTGAGGAGCCATGGAGGATGGAATCCTGTGCTGGAAAGCACTGGGCTCTTCTACTGAGCTGCAGCATTAGCCCTGGCCTTATTTATGTTTTTTTTTTTTTTTTTTTTTTTTTTAAACAAAGTCTGTGTTGTTCAGGCTGGCCTTGAAATTTAAATGTTCCTGCCTCAGCTTCTTGAGTAGCGGATTATGGGACTGTGCCTTATTTATGTTTTTTTTTTTTTTTTAAACAAAGTCTGTGTTGTTCAGGCTGGCCTTGAAATTTAAATGTTCCTGCCTCAGCTTCTTGAGTAGCAGATTATAGGACTGTATCACCATGCCAAGCTTTACAAATATTTTTTAATAACTGCTTTATTAAAGAGTAACATATATAATAAAAGGAACATACCGATTTTAAATACTGGTAAGCATGTATACTAATGTATTAATTACTCAAATCAAGAAATGACATTTCCAACACATTCCAAAATTCTTCCAAGTCCATTTGCTACTCCCCTACAAGGCAGACACTCCTCTGTCCTCTGCCCCTGTGAACTCCTTTTCCGATACAGCAGCTCCTTGTAAGACACTGTTCTCAGTGTTCTTGGGTTTAGAAAGCTGCATACAAGGTGGCTGACGACAACTACTCACAGTTAAGTGGCCAAAAGAAACTACCATAGCAGCATAAACAATTCTAAGTAACCCAACTGTAGCTCAGGATATCAATAAACCTTCATGGAGGAAGAGATGCATGGACTTGGCTTTCAAAAATCAAGAGCTTTTAAATTTAAAAAGGAAATTTACAGGGACGAAGGAAACCAAAACATAACTAGGTGCACTGTGAAGAGCTGCCTTCCCAGACTGGTGAGCTTCCAGGGGCCCCCATGTCTCCATGGTAACTACAGTGCACGCACTGCACCCTTATTTTCATACCTGCCTGTCTAGTGACTGGCTGGGTTTATGACCAAGGAGCAATGTTTAGATTTAGAACCCATATATACGTTTTTTTTTGGTTCAGTTCTGTCTACCTTCTGTTGTTTATAGATCCTAAATGTTTTTTTTTTTTTTTTGCACAGTACATCTTGTTTATATAGTACCGCAGTTTTATGTTGTTATACATTACAGTACTGTACGTAAGAGTAATGCAAATAGGGGCTGGGGATTTAGCTCAGTGGCATAAGCGCCTGCCTTGCAAGCAGGCAGTCGTGAGTTCGATCCCCGGTACCGATAAAAAGGAAAAAGACAAAAAAAAAAAAAGAGTAATGCAAATAAAAGCAAAGCAATCAAGTTAGAGTTGCTTTGATCATTTCTTTGTTCTGAATATTGTAACATGCATCCTATGCATATATAATTCCTCATTTAGCGACCAATTATTGACTAGTGGTAGGAACACACCTTATTTGATAAATGAGGAACCTCTGCATAAGAAACACATTTGGTTCTACACACACACACACACACACACACACACACACACACCTGCCTCAATTTCTGATCAACAAAGGTGTTATTCACAGTAACATCCCTCCAGCCTTACTGGGTCTGTGCTAACTGGTTAAGTAACCAACTTGCAATTAGAGGGCAGTCCCACCTGGAGGGACCAGAGATTAAGTTAATGCTTTCATCAGTCATCTTTGTGTAATGGAGCCTTCTTCATAAAAGCCCAAGCATCTGGACAGCTGCTGGACCAAGGAAGGACCACATGAGTTGATGGAGAGTGGGATACCTGGAGAAGGAACCAATGTTGTTGGCACACCCGTCTCCAAATCCTGCCCTAAGGTCTTTTCCATTTGGCTATTCCTTATGCTATATCCTTTACAGTGAACTGGTAACTGTAAATAATTTGCTTTTTCCAAGTTCTGTGAATCATTCTAAGAAATCATCAAACCTTAGTCAGGGATGGTGGGTTTCCTAATTGACACTTGTGGTCACAAGTAAAGAAGATGTCTGTGTTTGTAACTGGCACGGGAAGTGGGGTACTCTGGGGAAATGCAGCCCTTCACCTGTGGAGTCTGTGCTAACTCTGTAGTCTTGGACTTTAATCAAGTCATAGGACATCTAGTTGGGGTCTACAAAGAGAACTAGAGATCTATAATATGTGCAAGCTCACGTATTTGGTAACAGAAATGTGAATGTAGAGAAAAAAAAATTTTTTTTGGTACCAAGGATCGAACTCACAATGTAGTGCTTGCCAGGCAGCCGCTTACACCACTGAGCTAACTCCCCGGCCCTGAGAAAGTAGCTTTTAAAAAATCATTTACCATGCCCTCCCTCTCTGGTCCTGTTTTGTTTTTTTTTTTTTTTTTCTTTTTTCTTTTTCTTGCTATGTAGCCTCGGTTGGCTTTGAACTCAAAGCAATCCTCCTGCCTCAGCCTTCTGAGTGCTGAGACTACAGGTATGTACTACCATGCTTGGCCTTCAGGTCTACTTTTAACAAATGGTAGGATACTATTCTTGTCTTACTTTGTTCACTTAGCAATGTACCTTGAAGAAATTTCCATAACTCTACATGAGTTAACTTTCTTATTTGAGACCCACCTGGGCTACACAGTGAGTTCCAGACCAGCCTGAATTGCACATTGAGACCCTGTCTCAAAAAAATTAAAAAATAAAAATACCTGCTTAGCTGGACACAACAGCATATGCCTATAATCCCAGCACTTGAGAGGCTGAGGCAGGAGGATTGCCACAAGTTCAAGGCAGCCTAAACTAGATAGCAAGTTCAAGGCCAGCCTGAACTGCAAACTGAAGCCCTGTCTTAAAAAAAAAGAAAACAAAAATGCTGCTTAGTAGGCCTGAGGTAGGACAGAATAAATAAGAGACAGGTTCAGAGGAAACAAGAACACTGTAACTAAAAAGAAAAACTTTTTTTTTTTTTTTTGGTACCAGGAATTGTGCTTACCACTGAGCTAAATCCCAGGCCTCTATAATTAGAAACCATCAAGGTCATGAGTTCGATCTCTGGTACCAAAAAAAAAGAAAAGAAAAACTAAACTAAAAACTGTACTTGAAAAACCACAACTTCTAGGACTTTGTTAAAGTCACCCAAGACAGTTCTATGCCAACATTTCTTAACTAGATTTATACTCACTCCTTGTGAGACCTATCACTAAAAGGCCATAAATTGACTCAATTTAGAAAATAAACAAAAGGCTGAGTGAATCCAGAGAATGTTTAAATTAATTATCAAAAATCAAACAAAAAGCACACCCATGCTTTGGAAGGTGCTGGTGTCCTTCTGAAGGAGGAGGATAAGTGGCCTCTCCTCAAGAAAAGTACCATTGATTCTAGTTCCAAACTGCAATGCATCTCAGTTTTTCTCAGTGCCCACACTCCTTTCAAGAGTCCTATAATATCTATTTCAGCTTGACAAGTTCTGACTGTGTCTCTTTCTGATTGAGTCTTGAAAACTTTCCATGACAGACACTAGCAAAACTGCTTGGAGGGGTGGGTTAAGTTTCGGAAACTCAAAGTCCAGTGACAGTCCTTTGTGCCCCTTCCGGGCTGCCTAACTCTGTGCAAGTTACTTAACCTTTCTATTAAGGGATTGGCTTATTTAAAAATGAGAGATACCACAAAAACATGTAGTTATCATGCAGTGAGGTACTGTGCCAAGCCTTAGAAGAGTGTCTCACAAATAGGAAGCACTACATAAAGGTGAGAAGTCATGATGTGTAGGAGCCGCCTGCAGACCAACGTGGTTACAACAGAAGGCTGAGAACAAAATAGAAAACAGCTCAGAATGAAACTGTAAATCCTAAACTATAGGAGTGCAAAGGGGCAAGAAGTTATTCCTACAACATTGTGAAGGTGAAGAGATTTGCTAGGCTAAGAACGAAAGGATCTGAATTAGATGATACTGGGAATGAAAAGGAAGGAAAAATTACATGACAGAAGGATACACAAAAATCATCAGTATTCTTATAGACCAACAACTAACAATGAGCCCATAAGAAAGACATTAGGAAACCAAACTCAACATAGTAGCTTAAAAAATATTAAATACTTAGGAATCGACCTAATCAAGAAAGTAGATCTTTTTTTCGAGACAGGGTCTTACTATGTAGGCTGCCACTGAACTCACTGTGTAGCCCTAGCTGCCACTGAACTCATGGCAATCTTCCTGCCTTAGTTTCCCCAGTGCTGGGATTACAGGCATGTGCCATTGCATTTAGCTAACCTATGCTTATGCCTGAAAGTGCTTGGGATTGTTTCTGCATCCTGTACTCCCCCTCCCCCCAAGAGAGGGTCTCAATACGTAATCCAGGCTGGTTTTAAACTAACTGTGGAGCCCAGGCTGCCCTTGCACTTGTGGCAATCTACCTGTCTCAGCCTCCCTAGTGCTAGAATTACAAATGTGCACACCACACCAGATCTCTGTATCCTCTTTTCTGTTCCACCGATCTGCTTGTCTGTCTTTATGGCAGCACCACGCTGTTTTTGTCCTTGCAGCTTTGTAACAGAACTTGAAATCAAGGATTTGTGATGCTGAGTTTGAGGCCAGCCCAAGCTATATGAGTTCAAAGCCAGTCTGCACTGTGCCTAATGAGACCCTGTGTCAAAAAACCTAAGCCAAACAAACAAAAGCAAAGGCTAGAGAAAAGACAAGTCTCTTCAACAAAAGATACAGGGAAAACTGTTGTCTACATGCAGAATACATCTATATTCATCTCTCTCACCCTCTACTAAAATAGATCAAAGACCCAGATATTAAAACAGAACACTAAATCTGCTGGAAGGCAAAACAGGTCAAAATCTTTGAAGACACAGGTACAGGCAAGCATTTCCCAAACAGAATTAAAAAAAAAAAAAAACCCACTAAAAATCAAGAAATGGGTTCATATCCCATTAAAATGCTTCCATACAACCAGCAGAGTGAAGAGACAACCTACAGAATGGGGAAACCACCTAGCTATTCCTGGGCTAGAAGACTTAAACACAGCGGCACCTCGGTTCATAAACTTAATCTGTTCTACAATTCTGGAACAGACAGGCACAACTATGTGGGAAACACAGCTGTGGTCATGTCTCCCACTCAATGCACACTCTGCAAAACAAACTTCTGCCAAACACTTGTTAGTGAACCAAACTATTTGCCAAAAAAAGTGCTCCTAAACTGAGGTACACTGTATCTAGAATATATAAAGAACTCAAAAGAAAAAGAGATTCCTCCAAATAAAAGACCCAATTTTAAAACGCAAGCCACTGAAATGAGCAGACAGTTCTCAGAAGAAATACAAATGACTAACAAGTACATGAAAAAATGCTCAGTATCTTTCACCATTAGAGAAATGCAAATCAAAAAAACACTGAGATTCCATCTTACTTCAGTAAGAATGGTTATCATCACAAACTCAGTAACAAATGTTGGCAATGCTACAGGGAAAGAAAGGAACCCCTGACAGTGCCAAGCCTTAGAAGAGGCTAGTGGAGTCCAAAGCCTTAGAAGAGTTCTGGTAGGAGTCCAAAGGAAATTGGTATGAAGATTCCTCAAAAGATTAAAAATAGAAATTTCATTTATTCTAGCTATATCTCTTTTGGGTATCTTCACAAAAGAGCAAGACATCATACTACAGTGACATATGCATACTCACGCTTATAGCAGTGCAATTCACAACAGATAAATTCTGTAAATGGTCCATATGTCCATCAGCAGATGAGTAGATAAAGTGTTATAGATATATACACAATGGAGTATTAGGTCATAAAGGATAAACCTGAGGTCTTTGCAGGAAAATAGATGTATCTTGAGATTATAATGCTAAGTGAAATAAATTTGATACAGAAGGCTAAATACTATATTGTAAAGTTTCTCTTACCTGAGAAACCCAAAGTATAAATAACTTAAGGAACAAAATAATAGGTAACAGGAAACAGAGGCAGATCTTTTACAGACAGGAAGTGGTCTAGGGATGGAGGAAAAGAGGTGAAGAAGAGGAAATAAAGTGAATTACGATGCCATACGTATCATGTACTACAAACATACTAGTTAAAAATGCTATGAGTGGGGCTGGGGATTTAGCTCAGTGGCATAAGCGCCTGCCTTGCAAGCAGGCAGTCGTGAGCTCAAGCCCCGGTACCGATAAAAAAAAAAAAAGACAAAAAAAAAAAAAAAAGCTATGAGTTATGCTATGCTATGGGGTACGAACACAGGATTTGAGAACTGATGAAATAATAGAACCGAAACACATTAGGGCGTATTTTAGGACTCAAATTTAAAGTCTGTGTCATCTAACAGACTAATGGTCAAGAAAAGAACTGTACCACTACCCCTTAGTATTCCTATGTGAATACTTAATAATCCATAAATGTCTTCACTTCAAATCTACATGATATGCAGTTTGCTGTAATGAATACAAATATACATCCCAGCGAAATAAATGTGTTACACGCCAGTCTTGGTCACGAGTGAGCTGTGAGGTCTCAACAGTCCCCAGGTGCATGCCTGCATTGTCTAGATAGGAACTGCATCACACTGCAACTGCTCCTTCACCATCCACTCCTGTCACTCAGGCAAGTCTCACTCACCACTACCCGGCCAGAGTGACTGCAGCTACAACCACCTGTTTAGCTCTTACACCTGACCAAGGGACTCCTCAACTGGCTAAGTAACCAATACAAACTATTTTATTCTGCTAAATATTATTTGCATTTATTAGGTATTAACATAATCATTATATGCTTTTACCATTTATGTCTACTGCTGTACATGCCCACTAGTGAAAATGAATTCAAAATATGCTTCCTACAACACATAAAATCACCATTAGTGAATTCATTAAAGTAGGTGGTATTTTATGGGCTAACTTTAATAATTCACAGGTATTTTAAGAGTGTCCTCACAATATGCAGGGAAAATGCATGGGGCTTTTGGATGGGCTGTGAAGGCACTTTTTTCTATTTAGAGTTTATGGACCACAGGCTCTAACAATCTGCTATTCAATAAAATTTCAGGGGGCAATTTACATCTGAGTAACAAGTGGTCTACCAGTCACAAGTTATGCCTTATAACTGGATGTCCTCCCCCAAACCCTCCTGCGATCAAAGGCACAGATTTTGAAAGGTAAGTGGATTATGCAGCAGCAGTCATGGGGTCACTGGAGGTGATGCTAAGAGGCAGGGCCTCTGCCAAGGTGAAGGTGGGTTGGTGGCATATGCCTGGAAGGCCGCATTGCCTTCTTCCCTCCTTCTGCTCCCTGTCTGCAGGAAGCAGCTTTCCTCTGCCCAGGCTCTTTCACCACTGATCATGCAAAGACCGAAACTTTTAAAATAGACCAACACAAACCTCTCCTCAAGTTGTGGGTATGAAGTATTGTGCCCCAGTGATGGGGAAAGTGACTATGACAGAGCGCTACACAGAGTGAAAACAGGAGGAGAAACGAAGAGTTTTGGACATATCAAGTTAGTAAAACTTGCCTCTTTCTCATAGGTGAAGATAAATATATTCTAATCGTCAAGAATTTACCTACTTTTCTGTGATCAATTTGCTCCCTTCCTTTGGCCATTTTTCTACTAGGTCACCGATCTTTGTCTTACTGACTTGACATTAAGCCTTTGTCTATTACCCCCTTTCACACATTTGTTTCTTGCCTTCTGTGTTTTTTCCCCCTCGTTGTTTACAATGATTATGGTCATACTGATTTTTTAAAATGTGGCCAACTAAGTTAATATTCCCTTTAATGGAAGCTGTTAGTAAGTAGACAAAATCATCTTCTAGGATCATATACAAAACCATGCCAGTTTCTTCTATTACTTTTGTTTTACTCTATACATTTAAATCTTTGATCTATAATTTAAAAGTATAAATCAAAAAAATTTTCTCATATAGCTACTTGTTTTTTGTTTCTTTTTTTTTTTAATCGGTACTGGGGATCGAACTCATGACTGCCTGCTTGCAAGGCAGGTGCTTATGTCACTGAGCTAAATCCCCACCCCCTACTTGGTTTTCTTAATGCTGGATAACACCAGACACCAAGTAGCTCACTCTTTCCTCACTTCTGATGTACTATTATTAAATTCTTGCACATATGTGGGTCTACTTTGGACTTCTGTGCTTTGCTCCATTGATGAACTTTGCATTCTCCCACTCGAAGCATTCTATTTATCTATGAGGTGAGTCCTGCCTCATAGATTTCCTGGACATTGTTTTTTTTGTATCACTTCAGAATCATTAGCATGGCCCCAATTCCCTTCCAACTCCCCCAAATCCTGCTGGCATTTATATTATTAGGATTTTGTCATATAAAGCTGCATTTTCCTAGCTGAAAGCATGGTAGGCATCCCATTTAATAAGGTTGTTTCTGTTCCTTCATACACACACATTTGTAATTAAAGTTATAGACCTGGTAGGTATCTGTAGTTACTGGCTTCTCTTAGGATTTTATAGCCTGGCACATGTACCAAATTCCCTCCCTTCTCAGTTTTCAATTGATTCTTATGCTTCTGTGTATAGGTTAAATATATTAGATAAACAATCTTTCACCAAATTCTAATTTTTCTGTCTTCTTTTCATCTTGTCTAATTACCTTGGGTGACACCAGAAAAACAATGTTAAATAACAATGACCTTACTTTTTTTTTTAACCTTGGTACTGGGGAGTAAACCCAGGGCCTTTGCACTAAGCTACAACCCCAGTCCTTTAAAAATTTCTAAGTTCTGAGACAGAGTGTTCACATTCCCTAGGATAGGATTAAACGTTTGATTCTCCTGCCTCAACTTCCTAGGGTGCTGGGATTACAGATTTACCTACCATGCTATTAAGCAAAACAAAACAAAAAAACTCTTGATGGCAATGTTTCTGTACTTCCCTGTTAAACATGATGGTGGCTTTTAGATTTAAGACAGATGTTAAGAATGTATCTATTAGGGGCTAGGGATTTAGCTCAGCGGCATGAGCACCTGCCTTGCAAGCAGGCAGTCGTGAGTTCGATCCCAAGTACCGATAAAAAGGAAAAAGACAAAAAACAAAAACAAAAACAAAAAAAAGAATGTATCTATTTCAAGACTGATCTCAACTCTGAGAGACTTTTTAAAAAATCAAGAATCAACAATGTAAGCCGAGGATTTAGCTCAGAGGCATAAGCGGCGCCTGCCTGGCAAGTGTGAGGTCGTGAATTCGATCCCCAATACAAAAAAAAAAAAAAGAATGAACAATGAACTTATTAATTTACAATGACTTTGTGTAAGTTGTCTTCAACGATGTTTTTGGTTTTATTTATTTATTTTTTTGGTATCAGGGATCGAACTCACGATTGTGTGTTTGCACAAGGCAGGCACTTATGCCACTGAGCTAAAATCCCCAGCGCCTTCAATGATGTTTTTGGATTCCACTAAGAAAAGAAAACTTACACTAGATAGTCTTCATTAAAGTCTGGCTGAAAATTCTCCAAAGGAAACAAAGATCTAAAGTCGACTCCCATATTGAAGAACACAGCTGCTATGTCCAACAGTGATGGGATCCAGGGCCACACGGGTGAGTCGCTGAAAGTATCTGGTTAATAGAAAAACTGTTATTCCACATCATCAGCCCACACCCCCACATTGGCAAGATGATAATCCACATGTGAAGCATACAGTATTGCAATTATTTATAGAAATCACATGCTAATGATATGTTAACGACACAATCATACTCAGCTCAGGAACTTAATTCTTCCCATGACTCTGGTCACAAACTGAGTTAGAAAGGAGCCAAATCAAATTTCCCCAAAAGGCCAACACTGACCCTCACCAGTGAATGTGCGGTACCACTGCATAGTTGAATTACAAATGAAAAGTAAGTGAATGAAACATTTGTGAATATCTGAGTGATGGCATGTAACTCAGAAAGCAGCAGCACACTTGGAAATAAATGAAGATAGCAAGGGTTAAATGTCAATGACTTTTAACATAGGAAAAATAATATGAGGAATCTTTAGTTGTAACTTCCCAAAAAAATCATCAGGTCACCATAATGTTTCTTTTTTTTGTCTTTTTTGAGACAGGGTCTTACAATGAAGTTCAGGCTGACCTTGGGCTCACTTGGTAGCCCAGGCTGGTCTCGAACTTGCAATGATCCACCTGCCTCAGGCTTCCCAAGTGCTGGGATTACAGGAGTGCGCCACCACGCCCGGCCACCATAATGTTTCTTTTTTTTTTTTTTTTTTGTCTTTTTCCTTTTTATCGGTACCAGGGATCGAACTCACGACTGCCTGCTTGCAAGGCAGGCACTTATGCCACTGAGCTAAATCCCCAGCCCCTCACCATAATGTTTCTATCACTACATTACTATTCTTTTCTACTAGGGACTAAACACAGCATCTTCACACTGAACAACACCTCCTGTCCTCTGAAAACTTTTTGTTACCAAGTCCCTAAGTCCCCAGGCTGGGCTCGAAGCTGCCATCTTCCTGCCTCAGTCTCTCATAATGCTGGATTACAGGTGTGCGCCACCATGCCTGGTTTCTTCTTTTATTATGAGAAACTGTTAGACTGTGTAGCATCAATACAATATTGCTGGCTCTTGTGGCTTTCCTTACAATAGCCTGCTCTGCAACCTCTGGGGCATATTGCTTTTCCCCATTTTACTCAGCCCAAGCTCACTCTGCAGCGCCAGTTTCTCCCTCACACTTCATTTTTACTTTTTCAAATCTACTTTGCTTCCGTTAAATATATAGATAGGTAGCTACTTGCCAACTAGCCAAATAAAACTGCTAAATAAGAACATTAGTAAATTTGCAACTATTTTCACTTACATTGATAAACATCAGGCACTGGTTGCCACTTGTGAGATCTTTTATATCCCTTTTTTCATGACTAGAAAAATGCAGACACTCATTTTGTACTAGAATTTCATTTCATTATTAAAGATGTTTCCCTACGAGAATAGATTCTATATTTCTAAATATATCAATGTTTGTCAGTATGAAAGGTATCATGAGATAGTAATAATACAGGCTATAAATCAGTAAATTTATATACTTACCATTTCTAATTGTTATTTCCATCAATGTACTTAAAATCTGCACCGACACAATACAGTCTGTGTGAACTGACATCATCTGTTCAAAGTACACAAGTGACAGTGTTAGAAAGGGAAATGAGCATACATCATCTGCTAGGCACATATGAAGGTGTTGTTTTATGTGCATCCCATGATCTTATGAGTGTTCCTCATTACATATGTAAGCAAGCACACTCAGGGAAACCAAATACTGTGTCCAACATGACAGATGATACATGAAGAGTCAGAATTTAAATCCAGACCTGCTTCCAAAGTCAGGACTTTCCTACTCTAACATGTTGCTTGCCTTTTAAAACTTTCCTTTATGTGTCAAAACATGCCTTTCTAGGATATATCATAACAAGATAAGATACCAAAAAAATGGTTTTTGGACTTCCGGGAGAACATGGCGGACAGATATCAGCAACTACCGGAGGCTCTCTGAAAGACTCGGCTCAGAAGCCAGGAATGGTGCGGACTAAGGAGACATAAGTCGGTGGAGATATGCTCTGCTGACTCAGGAACGAACTGGGCTGAGAGAAGCCAACTTGGAATGCAGTCCTGGTGCTAAAACAGGAACAGAAAAGACTCGGGGTGGAGGCTGGAACTGCGCCATTGTAAGCCGCGATTTGGGTTTCCCGCCGCGCTGGCTGCCTCTACAGCAGCTCGGCAAGGAGAGAGACGCACGCAAGCTCTGAGAACGGCAATCTGCGAACGGCAGGGAGGTGTGCACTGACTTGAGGTGAGGTGAGTGAGAGAAACTGACACTCTACCACAGTTTGACTCCAGCAGAGGACTTTCTGGGCCCGAGCAGTCCTGCGGGAGCAGGGCGCGGTGGCGACTCCAGTCACACATCCCCCTCTCGGGCGGGATTGGTGAAAAGTGCCTGGCCTGCGTGACGCTGCCGGCGGACCTGGTAGACTGTCCCAACCCAGATCCCGGAGCCTGAAGGTGGCCGGGAGGGGAGACGCGTAGGCTGCCTGGTCCGTAACTCCCTGGTGCGCAGCGGTGAGCGGGAACAACTAACTGACGCAATTCGATCAGGCTGTGGCTGACTGGGAGAGAAGCTGGGCCTCTTATATAAGCTTGCATATATAAGGAACAGAGAAGAAGAGGCAGCATGGGAAGAGGCAGCAACAAGAAAGGCTCCTTGGCCCCCAATTCTGAGAAACAGGCAATAGCAGACACCACACCAATACACATAAGGCACCATATAGAGAGCCTCATAGACCAATTCAGGAATGAAGTTATCAATGACCTGAAACTAGAAGTATGCAGAATAGTTAGAGAAATGCTAAGTACCACCCAAGAAAAAACAGGTGGTGGAATGGAAGAACAGAAAAAAAGGGGAGAATTGTTTGATGGAGAAAACAGAGAAAGCATAGAATACGTGAAGCAGGTTCAAAGGGACTACCAAGATACTAAGAAGTCTATAGAAGACTGGCATAACAGCTTGAAAGAAACTAAGGACAGACTATCTGAACTGGAGGGCAGACTTGTAATATGGGAGAATGAAATGAAAAACTTCTTAAAAATAACAAAGAAACAAACAGCAATAATACAAAGATAAGAAGATGATAAGAGGATCCATAACTTAAGGATTAAGAACATAAAAGAAGAAGTAGGGACACAAACAAGTGAACTACAAAAGCTACTCACAGAAATAATCCAGGAGAATTTTCCTAATTTAGCAAAAGGTAAAGATACTCAGATGTATGAGGCATACAGGACCCCAGCTACCTACAACCCAAACAGAGCAACACCCAGGCATATAATAATAAAAATTCCAGAAATTCAATACAAGAACAGAACATTAAAAGCTGTCAGAGACAAGAAACAGACCACTTACAAGGGAACACCCATCAGAATTACAGCAGATTTCTCTGCACAAACCATCAAATCACGAAGAGCGTGGGGGGAAATAATTCAAGCATTGAAAGATAATAATCTCCAGCCAAAATTGAGATATCCTGCACAACTGTCCCTGGAAATTGATGGAAAAACAAGGTGCTTCCAGGATAAAGAGGAACTGGGGGAATTTGCAACCACCAATTCAACTCTACAGAGAGTATTGCAGGATATTCTAAAAAAAGAAAAATACAAAGAATCCAGAAATAATGGCAGAGAGGCCACAACGAATGGAGCAGAGAACAAAATGAAGAAGACAAACTGACCGCTATGGACAGAAAAAGAGCTTAACAGAAATGAGGCAGAGAAGATTGGATGATAGGAACAGCTATTTTGGAGAAAATGACATCTTAATAGGTAATACAGATTTAGTATCATCTTGTTTTGAAGTCTCATCTAGCTTTTGTCCTTCTGTCTCCAATGGTCTAAATAGGCTGTATCTTATTGGATTTTATTATGTACGATAGTACAAGCAAAAACCTTTTAAAGACAAGGAGATTATACAGAAACCATTGTTCATTTTGTTAGTCGATTCTAAATACTCTGTAATGCTGTCATTCTCTTGAATGGTTTTACATTGTTTTGATATACTTAATGCTACAGTATACGAAGTTGTACTCAAGGATTTCAAAGAAAGAAACAATATGGTAACTACTTTTAGCTTAGGATTATCTGGTGGTGAAACACTATTCTGCTTAAATGGTTATGTTATGATCTGCGCTGTTTCGTTGTTATGCCCTCTTTTATCTCAATCTCCACTCCATTATTTACTTTTTTATCTTTATCCTTTTAATTAAAGGAAAAAAAAATAGCAGGATATATTATAGTAACCCACTTTGACTTTCCATTACCTTGATTTAAAGCCCTGTATTACTCTCACCATCTGGTTTTTAACTGATGTTCCCCTATTCTGTTTTGCTGGATAGTATCAGGTTCGAAAGTTTAGGCATCAGCTGTGAAGATAATGAGATTCATTATGACGCCCATTCTTGTTGACTTTTATCTACTTTTGAAGACCTACAATGTCTCCAATGTTTTGGTTTTGTTGGTTTTATTCTTTACTGTTTTGTTCAATTGTATTATAACTAATGATATAGGCAATTCTATTAGAGATAGCGGGAGGCATTATGGTAACCATTGTTGATCACCTTGTATTATGTTTTTACATTATCTATTATGTCCACCCTTTTGACTTGACCGATTCTGTTCTGTTATGTCACATTTGGTTTTACTCTCTTCCAAAAAAGTAATAAGAACCGTGGGAGCAATGAAACCCAAAATGTGTAATAGTCATGGTACAAAAGAGAGGAAAAGAAAGTGCTCCAAACTATATAACTGCATGTATATTTAAGTGTATAAGATAGAAAATGATATCACAGAGTTTTATTGGATCAATGAACAGAACTGTTTGCAGTATCATTGATGGAATGTCCACTTTACAAGCTTTAATTTTGTGACTTGAACAATTATTTCTAAGATGACAATATGTAATCCATTAACTAGTGATTTCCTACTGTTCATTTTTTTTCTGTAAATCTGTATAACTTGTACCCTTTCCCTGCTTTTTTTTTCTTTTCTCCTTAAATAAAATTAAAAAAAAAAAGAAAAAAAAAAAAAAAAAGGAGTTACCTATCTAAAGACTAAAAAAAAAAAAAAAAAAAAAAATGGTTTTTAGGTTGATCATGTCATAGACAACAAGGCACACACTCGTAAAATTTTTGAAAAGATAAACACAAATCAACATACCAATGCATTTTTTTAAAAAAATGTTTTTGTTTTGTTTTTTTTTTTGAGATGGGATCTTATCATGTTGCCCAGGCTCAAATTCCTGGACTCAAATGATTGTCCTGCCTCAGCCTCCTCAGTAGGTGGAGTACCACCAGAGTAGTGCCATTATGCTCAGGTTACCAACGCATTAAAAAAATAAAAGCACTTTTGTTTTGAGGCAGGGTCTCACTATGTAGTCCACGCTGCCTTGAATGCATGGTGATCCTCCTGCCTAAGCCTCCCAAGGGCTGGGATTATAGGCATGTTCCATCACACTCAGCAAAAAAAGTACTTTTAAAAAGATATTCAGTATTACTACTAATGAGATGCAATGAAAACCAATGATAAATTACCATTAGCTGACTTCAAAATTGGCAAGTATCACAATAGTGATAATACTGTGTTCAAAAGTAACAGAAAAGAGGCAAGCCATCCATCTTTTAACTAGTGTAATTTAATAAAAATTCTGAGGATTTAGCTCAGCGCGCCTGCCTAGCAAGCACAAGGTTGTGAGTTTGATCCCCAGTACAAAACAACAAAAAATCTAAAGCAATTTTCAGTAATACTCTTGCAAAGCACTATACTTACAACTTTCACCTAGTCAGCTTTTTAATATATGAATTTAGATGCAGAGAAAAACTTTAGGGAACAAAATCTCATCTTATTCATCACAGACAATTTATACCTCTATAGAATATAATTTCGTTTTCTCCCCATCCCCCTACCCTCCCTTTAGTGCCTCTTCCCTTCCCCATTTACAAAACTTTGTTTGTATATTTTTCTTTTGCTCTCTTGCTTTTTTAAAAAAACTTTTTCCTTCTTTCCCTCTTTCTTATTCCCCTTCTCACTTGAACATTTTCCTCCTATTTCAAAATACATTTTGGTCCTTATCTACACTTTTAGTCTCTCACACCAGACAAAGGATGCAATATTCACGTATGTGTCTGATTTATTTCACTTCAGAGTCTCAAGGTGCATCCATTTTCCTAGAAATGTCTCCAGACTACCCTTTATGGCAGTCTTACTCCACTGCATAAAAAAACCATATCTTTATCTATTCACCAATTGGTGGGAACGAACCTGGGTTGTTTCTAAGATTTGGCTATTACAAAATGTGTCACTATAAACATGGGCGTGCATATGTCACTATGGTATGATCTACATATCTATATCTATATATATATATATTTTTGGTCTTTTTTGTTTTTATCAGTACCAGGGATTGAACTCATGACTGCCTGCTTGCAAGGCAGGCGCTTATGCCACTGAGCTAAATCCCCAGCCCCTAGATATATATTTTTAAAAGCTAACCAAGTATCATTAAAATAAATTTGGACAGACTAAAAAAATCCAAGTTTGTAAAACCTCTTCATGAAAATGGATTTAGAATTGACAATGAGAAATGACACAAGGTATCTGGTACACAGAAAATATTTCATGAGCAGGATGTGCTGGCACACGTTTGTTATCCCAGCATTTGGGAGGCTGAGGCAACAGGACTCTTTCAAGGTCCAGGTCAGCCTGAACTACACAGTGAGATCCCACCTCAAAAAACCAAAAAAACCCCCAAAACCCCAAAAGCCTTCACAAATGGTTATTACCTTGGTTTTCGAAAAATGAATAAGAGTATAAACCCCTGCTCAGATGGAGAGTAAACCACGTGCATGCACACACATATAGTTATATATGTGTTCTTTTTGAGCCAGGGTCTCATTGTGTACTTCAACCTGGCCTTGAACTCACTATGTGGCCCAGACTGGCCTCTAACTTGTAGTGATCTTTCTGCCTCAGTCTCCAAAGTGCTGAGATTACAAAGATTTGCCACTACTGATATTTATAAGTTATCACTTAGGCCTGAGCATAGTGGCACGCACCTGTATCCCAGCATTCTGGAAGGCTGAGGCAGAATTGCAATGCCCAGCCAGATAAATGAGATCCTGTCTCAAAAATTTTAAAAAGGGTTGGGGATACTGCTTAGTTTGAAGGCTCTGTGTTCAATTCTTAGTGACACATACAAGCACACGTACACAGTTACCACTGATATAAAACAACACTAAGATAACTTTTTTTTGGTACCAGGAATTGAACTCAGGACCTGTGCTTGCCACGCAGGTGCTTGGGCTGCTGAGCTATATACCTGGTCCTTAAGATAACTTTTTAAGTAGTAAACATGAATGAAGAAAAGAAACAGTTGGAATTACATGAAAATATTAACTAGAACTGAAATCCTGGCAATCTATGCAAGTATTCCAATAAATATGAAAAAAGGAAAGTTACAAAGAAATTATATACTTAAACATTAGACCGTTTCTAAAACTACCTGTAATAGTGAGTTACTAGTGTGATAAGAATGTATGAATGTGTTAAGCATTATTGACTATCGTACAGACGATCTTCCCTACCTCTTCACGAGCTCTTCAGGTTGACTCTTCTTGCCTTACTCTAACCTACCGAGGCCATGAGATTGATATACAAATTTTTTCACTAATAATGCATAAAAAACATAATGTTCAATCTCCCAAGTATTTCTCTTACCCGAAACAACCACTTTAATACAGGTATAGGACACTGGACGTAATGATAAGCAGAGGTAAGGAAACCTTGTGTTGTCAGAAAAATCTGATCTGTTTTTCCTGATCTGAAAAAAAAGTAAAATCAAAATGTTACCTTCATGGCAAAACATTTCCACCACTACTACCACATCTAACATCATCAAGGAATAAGCAAAAACCACTACCTTCCACCTATGGATGTGGATTTTATACTAATACAGATGTGTTATTCCAAAAATGAAGTGAAACTGATGGCTCAATGCTTACTCCATCTGCAAGGTTAGCTCCACACCTATCTGGTGGACAAAGCGATGCTTTTTTTTTTTTTTTTTTGGTCTTTTTCCTTTTTATCGGTACCAGGGATCGAACTCATGACAGCCTGCTTGCAAGGCAGGCGCTTATGCCGCTGAGCTAAATCCTCAGCCCCCAAACCGATGTTTGCTAGCAGTGTTAAAAGAGTATTGTCACATCATCTGCTGTTGCCACCTTTGGGGTGTACACTCAAGTACAGAATTAATGCAATCTCTCTATAGACCTGAGATATTACATCCTGAGAGAAATTATATCAGCTTGTGCACTGGGATAAAAATTACTAGTTGCCCTTCTTAATATCAATTTTTTCCTTTCTTGTTGATAACCGAACCCTAATTTTCAGCTGGACACATTGGCTGCCTGAAATAAGAATTACCTCTCAGCAGCCTTTGTTGCTAAATGTCCCTCTGTTGACTAAATTCTAATGTGGTGTGAGATTTCTGGTTATCTTAACATAAAAGCTGGAGTTCCAGTGACACTGAAGTAGTGAGGTGCTAAAAATGATGAAGAAGACTACATGGTAAAACTATCACAGCAGCCCCAAACTTCCTAGTTCTACACTTCTTCCACATCAGAAAGAAATACACTTATTAAACCATAATCAAAAGGCCCTGCCATTTGAACAGCTGTTCCTGTTGCACGGTTCTTAATCCTAATAAAAGCGAGGGAGGTGCTAAACAACTATGCTCACACCTGTGTTGAAGAAAATGCAAACAGCAAGATCAATAAAAGGATTAGGAAATTAGACAGGCACTCAGGGAAAGTAACTGTTTAGAAGACCATGCTGGACAGAGGTCTTTTTCCTTCTTTTTTTTCCAGGTGGTACTGAGGGTAGAGGACAGAGCCTCACACTTAATCTGCATGAGCTACATCCTGGTTTTTTTTTTTTTTTTTTGTAACAGGAATCCAACTCACGACTTTGTGCTTGCTAGGCAGGTACTGCGCTGCTGAGTTATGTCCCTGGCCACCCAATCATTTAAAAAAAAAAAAATTTTTTTTTAAAAAAAATTTTAAGTGTTGGGCTGGGGATTTTTTTTTTTTTTTTTAATTTTAACAGTGTTGGGCTGGGGATTTAGCTCAGCGGCATAAGCGCCTGCCTTGCAAGCAGGCAGTTGTGAGCTCGATCCCCGGTACCGATAAAAAGGAAAAAGACAAAAAAAAAAAAAAAAAAAAAAAAAATTTAACAGTGTCTTACTAAATCGCCCAGCCTGGCCATGAACTTGTGATCCTCTCATTTCAGTCTCCCAAGCAGCTGGGAGTAGAAATAAGCACTACTATCCCTGGCAGACAAAAGCGTTTTAATTGTTTGGTTGTGTTTTCTGGAACAGAGTCTCATGATGCAGTTCAGGCTGGTCTTGAACTCATTTTGTAGCCTAGATTGACCTCAAACTCACAGTGATTCTCCTGCCTCAGCCTCCCACGCACAGGATTTCAGGGATGTGCCACCACGTCTGGCTAACTCTTAATTTTTAATACAGAATAAAAGCAAGGTGTTTACTTTCCACTTACTTGAGAATAAGCTTTTCTACAGCACTTTTTCCAATAAAACCAGAGTCTCTTAAATCCAATGTATACTGATTGAAAATTTTTCCAGAATTGAGGAAATTAAATATGTCTTCACCTGGATGATGATCAGGAATAGCATCAATTGTAACTGAAAATTTCTTTAGAAATTCTCTGAAATAAAAAAGTTATTGAATACTGAATAGTTACAGTACATGTGGTTGGCACTTAAAAGTTGAGTATAAAAAACGTTACCATCCCAGACTAGACTCATTTTCTAGTAATAGACAAAAGCCACTAAACGTGTCTGCATGAAAAGGAGCAGTAACTAGAGAAAAGCCAATATGCAGAGCTGGCTTAAGCATTTGCCTCCCAGCGTCATCACAGATGGACCTGAAGCTCAGTATACAGGCATCAGTGGCCTGTTGGCTTTAGAAAAACTAAATATAAAAGCAGTAAATTATATGTATAAGTTATGAAAAATATTTTACCTGTGCTCTTCCAAGAGGTTATCCTCATCATCTGTACTGTCTTGATCTCCAATTCTAATTGGAGATTTAATGCCACGACCTTGCCTTATGTCTTCTTGTAGTTGCTTCTGTAGTTCATCTAGCCTGAGAATTAAAAGAATGCTAGGATTAAGAGCTTACTCTAAGAATTAAAAAAACAAAACCCCAAAATGTTAGTTGACATCTAAAAGCAGCACAGAGGGACCCTACCATATGACAAATTGTGTTATACTATAGGTTATATCACATCTCTCATATATGTCATGCTCAAAATAGTAGGCCATCACATAAAAGACTTGAATATAAGACTTAAGAGTTAGAACTTTGGGAATGACCTGTCCAAATCATTCAGAGGATGGGAAGAGAAAAATGGCAAATAATACCATTAATTTTATTACTCTCTTAATCTTTAATACTCATTTGAGATCTAACAGAGTAAAAATCCGCTAATGTTAACTAGGCTTTTTTTTGGTATCAGGAATCAAACTCAGGACCTCATGCTCATCAGATGGGCACTGTTTCGCTAAGCTATATGCCTGGCCTTAACTAGGCTTTCTAGCAGCATCTTTTGCTGTCTCTGTGTTCATCATCATCCTAACATCTAACACTGAGCACTTACACAGGACAACACTGTACTAAGGGCTCTATGTGTTAACCCACTAAATCCTTAACAACCTCTTGGTAGTTTAATATTATCTGTATTATAAATGAGGAAACAAACTACCTCGCAGCAGCTCACAATATGAAGAGCTGGAATTAAAATTCAGGGCCCAAGGGGGCTGGGGATTTAGCTCAGCAGCATAAGTGCCTGCCTGGTAAGTGCGAGGTTGAGTTTGATCCTTGGTACCGTAAAAAAGCAAAAATCAAGGTCCTGCTATCAATTATTAGCCCCCTCCCTTTTTGATAGTACTAGGGATAGGGCAGGGGATTTAGCTCAGCTGTATAAGCACCTGCCTGACAGTACTAGGGATCAAACTCAGAAATACTCTACCACTGAGCCACTAGGGATCAAACCCAGGAATACTCTACCACTGAACCACATCTCTAGTACTTTTTATTTCTTACTTTTGAGACAGGGCATTGCTAGGTTGTCCTGGCTGGTCTTAAACCTGCCATTGCCCTGCCTTAGCTTCCTGAATAGCTAGGATTACAGGTATGTGCCACTACATGTGGTGTGCATTACCTCTGTTTTTACTTTTTTGGTGGTACTGGGGATTGAACCTAGGGCCTCAGCCTTTCCCTCTTTTATTTTGTGATAGGATCTCACTAAGTCCCCAGTCTAGCCTTGAATTCTAGATCCTCTTATCACTGCATTTTTAAAGCAAAGTTATTTTCTGCTCCAATCCTAAACAGAGCATTGCTTTCAGAACAGTACAATTCTATTAAATATATGCTTTATCCTACAGAAAGGTCAATGATCAGATCACACTATCTTCTACTCCTTTGCTCTGAGCAATGTTCAATTTTAAATAGGGAACTTCAGATATCACATCCCTGATCTTCTGAATTCACAAAACATTTAAAGAATTTTATAATAGAGACGATTTCTCTAATTATAAAATCAAAGAGGAAAATACTTTTGATCTACTAATTTCTACAAAATTCCTATATGGAGCTCTTTGGTCATCAAATTTGAGATATGTACATATATATCAACTTCCTGTAATCAAGTCAGGCAAACTTTTAGTGAAGTCCTCTGGGCTAGTTTCATGGATATGCTTTGAATTAATGAGGAACATTATTTTTCCCCCTCTTATTACTCTAAAAGGTCTGTAACAGTGGTGTTAAGCCCATGGCACATATGCCACAGTGGGCTGTGTGTATCAAAAGCTCTTCAAAGGTTTGCCATCAGTGGTCTGTAACTATCAGCCATAAAACTTTCATGAGGGAAATTATGACCCTGAACCTTCTGATTTTTCTGGATATATATGTTTTTGTGGAATGAGGTGAGTGTTCATAATTCTGAAATTTTCACTCAAAAGAGTAACTTGACAGAAATATCATGTCTACATTGTTTTCAATACACTGTTTTCAAAACTTGGATTTAGTGAACTAACGTTTAAAAACATTTTACCTGTGTGAACAACAGCAAAACTAAATAACTTGATTAAAAATAGGTAAAGAATCTGCAAAGACATTCCATTAAAGCAGCTGTGTAAATGGCTAACAGCACATGGATACCCAATATGTTTAGTTAGTAGGGAAATGCAAATTAAAGTCATCATATGATGCCACTTCACATCTACTAGGACAGTTATTAAAAAAAGAGAAAGTAGTAAGTCTTGGAGAATACACAGAGAAAGACAACCCTTGATCATTATTGTTGGGCAACAGTGTGACAGTTCTGCCAAAAATGAAGCACTTATTGTAATACCTCCAAAATTATGAAAAGCAGTGACTTCAAGATATGTACCATTACTCACAATAGCCAAGGGTACATAAAACCTAAGTGGCCATGAAGGAATGAACAAAATATGGTATATACATGATAATACAATGGAACAGTCCACCTTAAAAAGAGATTTTTACACAATCTTGCCATTAATGAACAATTAAGATTATGCTAAGTGAAAAAAGCCAGTTACAAAAGGAGAAACACTGATGAACCCACATATGTGAAGTACAGTAATGTCAATGTACTTAACAAACTATATGCTTAATAAATTCTACCCAAGCTTCTGGTCAAGGATGTAAATTATTACCTACGAGTTGTGATAAACAGAAAGAAACATTAGTTAATGCAATACACTGCCTACTATGCGAACTTTTTGTTTTTTTCTCTTTTTTTGGTGGTGCTGAAGATCAACCCCAGGGCTCTGCACACACTAGGCAAACACTCTACCACTGAGCAAATCGCCAGGCCCCAAACCCAGACCTTTTCATTCAGCCTACAAAAAAGACAACCTGTATTTCTATCACAGCTATCACAAGACAAACAGACCACTATTTTAACAGTATGAACACAAAATGTATGCTAATTTCTATTTTGAAAGTAAATTAAAAACCAACTATACCAACAAGCAAATCTGTCCTGAGGCTAACCAACCTTTGTGTGTCTTCCATTTCCTTCACTAGACGCTCCAAAGTATTTGTGTAAGTACCACTATGAATGTGTTCCTAAAAGAAGAAAATTCAGAATATTTTACATGTTTTAACAGAAGAATTGGGGTGCTTTTAGTCATTTAGAGTACTAAGAACTACTTTCTATTTCATTAACCAAGGTTAGAAAGACACTTTTCTTTAAGAGGAATTTACACCATCATGCTTTAACTCTAGTATTTTGTACTGCAAGCAATTTGATTTTGCTATAGAAAAGGCTCTCCTTCTAGAACTCTGCTAACACTGGGATCTGACAGCAAACACCCAAGGGTTCTGTGGCTACCCTCTCTTTACTTCTGAGTTCTAATCTAGTGGAATCAAATTAGTAATTTGTAGTTGTTACCATGAAATGGTATATCTTCCCCACCAAATTTTACAGATATCTGAAGCTTTAATTCAGCTCACTCCCAAGAAAGAATGAAGCACTCTACAAATAAAATTGCACACCACAATTAACAACATTTCTACACTCTACCTTCATTTACAGCAGTGGTCTCCAAAGCAGGAGGTGTGCAAGGTGATCCAATGGGGTGCAGGAAGAAAATAATAGAACTTCTATTTATGTCGAACTTCTATAGAAACTCCAGTAGAACTTAGGCTATAGTAACTTCTATAGGAAAATATTCACTTTCTTCTTTTCCTTTTTAAATCCTGTTTTTTGTATATGCTTTAGAAAGTACATAGTATTATAGTGGTACATGTATACACATCTACAAATATACATAACTGGGGTACATGCTCAAAATTTTTTAACATGGAATGTGTGTGTGATCAAGAAAGTTTGGAGACCACTGATTACAGTAATAAAACTGAAGATATGGAAAATTAATTTACCCACCAAGAATTATACTACTTTTCATTCCAATTATGGATTGTAAAAAATACCGAATTTTAAAGTAAGTTTTAAAAATTTATCCTTTTTTATTAATCAATTTTTTTTTCCTCTTCAAGTAAAGATAAATGTCATAAAACTACTTACTTTGTAGTCTGGTGACTGAGACTGAAGCTTCTTTGAAACAGCAGGAGGCCTTGCTGAAGTTGCAGGAGTCTGACTGAAGTTCAAGGCCATTATTTCTGCCAGTGATTCTAATGGTTCTTCTTCCTCATCACTGTCTAGGTTGCAAGCTAAACTTTCTTCATCACTATCAAAATCACCCCTTAATTTTCTTTTCAGTGCACTGCTACCCACATTAGAATTGCCTGAACTCTCCTTATCAGAGGGGGCTTTATCTGAAGGTGCTGCAGGGCTTGGATTACATGGCACAACTTCCAAAGCAGCCAGAGGAGACTTGGTAGGAGTGCCATATTCTGCACATAAAGATCCCTCAGAAATTTTCCCTGAAGACAAATTAGAATCAGTCTTATTAGTCTTTGCTTTGTGTTCTTTGTGTTTGGAGGATACTGTAGAATGCCCAGAACATTCTTTAGAGGAGGAACGCTCTTTATCTTTCTTAGGAACCGGAACAGTACAATTTTTAGCACTTAATGGTACCTGGGAGGAACCAGCACTTGGAACATGGGAAAGTAAAGGTAGAGGTTTTGTCTCTTTCGATGTCTCGGAGCTAGCAGTTTTAGTTTTATGAAGCGTGCTAGCTTTTTTAATTACAGATTTTTCCTGAGGTAAATATAGGTGGGGTTTTTGTATCTTAGTCTCTTTGGTACTTGCCACACGGATTTGGTCATTATTCCTAGAAGAATGATGGCCAGCACTAGAAGGTACCAAGCCTGGAGGGGCGCAATCGGCTTCACCTCTTGTTTCCTTGGCTATATCCTCCAAACGCAGCACGTCGCCAGGGGTCTTTAGTGCAATGTGTCTTATAAACTTCTCTTTCTGATGTGATCCATCAGGACGCTTCTCAAGGAAAGACTCTTTTGCTCTTGGTATCACAAATTCTCTTGTGCTTTTCAGATGTGAGTCCACAGAGTTCCTTTTTCTTTTGTCAGGGAATTTATTCTGCTTAGAGCCTGGTAAAATTTAATTTTTTGTCAGATTAGTGAAAAGTACATGGTCTTATCTGAGTAAAGCTTATTCAGTGAGTGTCTATAACACTCTGACAAAACGATCAAATTCTGAAAATTTCAGGCTAAGTAAGATTATTCGTAACATATTGAAAGAGGAAAGAGAACAAATACTGTCATTTACTTCCCAAATTTTAAGTAGTGGTGTTCAAGAAATTCAAAGCTAATGATGAATGCTCATTTTCCATTGTAAATCTGTGGGTTGAGTTGTGTGCCCCCAAAATGATATGCTCAAATTCTAATCCCTGTATCACTGAATGTAAGCTTAAGTAGGAACAACGTCTCTACAGGGATGGCTGAATTAAATTGAAGTCTTTAGAGTCTGGCTATACGCCTGGTGCCTTTATGTGAAGGGGAAATTGGACACAGACTCACGGGGAGGTAACAGTGAAGATAACCAAGGAAAACATCTGATTGAAATGATGTGGCTACAAGTAAAGGAATTCCAAGTACTGCAAGCTAACAATAGAAGCCAAGAGAATTAAGAGAATTTTCCCTTAAGCTGTCAGAGGCAGCAAAGCCCTATGGACACTGAAGCTTCCACAACTGTGAGGCAGTGATTTCTGCTGCAGTGCTGGAACTCTGCAACTATAACGCTACAAACTTATACAGGCCTTTTATAGAGGCTGCAAAGTATAGACTCTGGTAGCTGTGAGCAGCAAACAAGCAATTTTCAAGCAACTCTGTGGTTTGAAGCTAACAGGTTTTCTGACCCTTGCCTTTGTGTAGGTAAGACTGTCCCTCCTAGTGCAGATTGCCTTGCCTACTTAAATTCCCCTACTAGTCCACAAGACCAAAGCCCTAGCAGTAAGTCCAATATCCAATCAATCGTTAACCCTCGGGGTAGAGATGGGACCCCTACCCCATAAAACACTACCACTGCCCCAGACTGGCTGCGTCTCAGCTCTGAGAAACACCACTCCTTCTCTGGAGTGGTTTTATATCCCTTCCTACAATAAAATTACTTTTGCTTTAAACTGATCTTCTCAGACTTGTTTTCTTCTTTCTATGGTGAAGAGAGACAGACCCCTAGATCCCAGCTCCACTGGACATAACACTAGGCCAAGCTCTCTTTTTTTTGGTCTTTTTCATTTTTATCGGTACCAGGGATCGAACTCACAACCGCCTGGTTGCAAGGCAAGTGCTTATGCCGCTGAACTAAATCCCCAGCCCCCAAGCTCTCTTTATTAGTAACTATGTTCAGATACACTTCAGTAAGCACCTATATTTGAGTTAACCAGTTTTTTTTTTTTTTTTTTTTTTTTTTTTTGGTACTGGGGATTGAACTCAGGACCTTGTGCTTGCCAAGCAGGAGCTTGTGCCACGAGCTAAATCCCCAGCCCAGAGTTAACCATTTTTAAAAATTCATAGTGTGGTTAAAAGTATAGTTCATTGATTATTTATTAAAAATTCACTAGCACTATGGATATAGCTCACGGGTACTCAATGGCAGAGCACTTGCCTAGCATGTGTGAGGATGCTGGTTCAATCCGCAGCACTGAGGGAAAACAGCAACAAAGACAATACAACACACAACCCCTGACAAGACACTAAAGGTAAAGATTATTATGTTACAGATGTCCTTGAAAAATAGTTTGTATTTGAAATACTAGGAAAAACTGTTTTGGATCATGGTGAACATTTTCATCCTTAAAGAATCTTCAGCATAACAAGGTATCAAATGAAAGAAAATAACATTATATACTGTTGATGTAGCTGAAGATGCAGAAGTAGAACACTAAATATTAATATAAGAAACACTGTAAGGAACTCCTGAAGGCAGAATAAAGTCAAGACAATCCACAGATTAGGGATACTAATTTCATCTTTAAATTCTTAACAAACTTACTTAATCTTAAATAATTAATGTGTACAAAAGAAGGGTCTATTTTTAAAAAATGTTTTAAAGAGCAGTGCCATTAAGCAAATTTATTTAGAAATTCATATATTTAATTTTGATTCTACCTGAAGTAGGTTCCCATGAATCAGAAGAGGACCTCTTTCTTGAGAGATGTCCATTTTCCTATGAAGGAAGAGAAAAAAAACCCAAGAATTTCAAGCAGTAAGGACATGAATTTTTCTTTAATATGTAATATAGATTTCCATACTAAATTTAAAAAAAATCACCTATGTTTAAAGTCTAAATTCTAAAATAAAAGATATTAGATATCTTTTTTTTTTTGTCTTTTTCTTTTTCTTTTTTTTTATCGGTACCAGGGATCGAACTCACAACTGCCTGCTTGCAAGGCAGGCGCTTATGCCGCTGAGCTAAATCTCCAGCCCCGATATTAGATATCTTAATATTAGAAGATATTAAGTTTTAAAATGAAGGAGGCAGGCATGGTGGCTCATGCTCCTAATCCCAGCTACTCAGGCAGCTGAGGCAAGAAGATCTCAAGTCTGAAGATACCCTGGGCAACTCAGAGAAACTATTCCTTGAAATTTAAAACAAAAAGGGTTTGGGATATAGCTCAGCTCTCTGTATTCAACCTCCAGTACTGTAAATAAAATAAAAGACATGATTGGGGGTGCAGTTCAGTAGCACACCACTAGCCTAACATGCACAAGACCTTGAGTTTAATCCCTAGCAGTGCGTACACATGCACACAGTCAGATATCTGTACCATTAAAAAGTATCATTAAAGTTAAGTCATTTTCATAATGCTAATGTAGGGATTAGTATTAATAACTAAAAGATGATATGAACTCTAGTATTTCTGTTTAAGGGTAAATGCATCAACACTGAAATTAATAAAATAGAGCAAATATTACTAACTTCTATTTCTCACTAGTAAATCTCACTGGTAAAGGCATCCATCTTCTTATAAATACGCCTCAGGAACTATTCTTCCAGTAATACGCAACGCTATAACCTACTCACTCTAGAATGTCGTATTTTAGCTTAATTTTTCAAGCTAGTTTTAAAATTTCATAGTATTTTCTTGACATCTGACATTCCTTTATTTGCTCTGACTTTCCAGGTAGAGGGACAACTTTTTATTTTTTATTTTTTGTCTTTTTCATTTTTATCGGTACCAGGGATCGAACTCACGACTGCCTGCTTGCAAGGCAGGCGCTTATGCCGCTGCACTAAATCCCCAGCCCCTGAGAGACAACTTTTATATGGAATTCAGTCCTTTGTTTTTTTTAAACTGATGTGGTTTAAGGTAACTGGACAGTTTCCAAAGACCCACAGTCAATTACTTAAGATCTCTATATAATCTCACTTAATAATTCTCAAGCTTTCACATATATCAGTATCATTTGGAAGGCTTATCAAGAGCAGATTGCTGGTCTCTACTGTTACTATCTCTGATTCTGTGTATCTGGGATCTGAGATTGCAATTCTGACAAGACACTATTCTGAAACATTTTTGTTCTTTTAAATTTTCTTTTTTTTTTTTTTTTGTCTTTTTCCTTTTTATCGGTACCAGGGATCGAACTCACGACCACCTGCTTGCAAGGCAGGTGCTTATGCCGCTGAGCTAAATCCCCAGCCCCTCTTTTAAATCTTCTATCCTTCAAGTATCTCACTTTGGCAGATCCTAACTTAAAAATGACTATACTTGCCTAAAAAGACAAATACTTTCCTGATTAAACAAGATCTTTATCCTGGTCTGAAAACCAAAAAACACTACTTCACTGACTTTAATGAAAGGAAGTTGGAAGAAATCTAGTAAGATCACCTTCGAATTGTATATTTTCTTAAAATAGATCAATATATAATATGTCATTATATTTTAGATTTGGTATTCTAAATGGTACAAAAAAGACAAAACTAATTTAGTAAACATTGCACATACCAAGTTTGAAAGATTACTTTGTCCAGGTATATCATTCTGTTTATTTTGTTCCTGGCTTGGTTTACATTTTCTTGCTGGACTGGTGGCTTTTAAAGTAAGATTACTTGCTTCTGAGAAAGAATTTTCTGAGTTGATTTTTTGCTTCATTTGCTCCTTTCTCAGTTTCTTTAATTCTCGTTCTTTGCAGTACGAAGCTAGCGACCTCTGGAAACTGGTTGTTCCCAGTGGGCTTTCTCCCAGGTGGTGTCTGGACAGGCTGCTCCTACTGCTAAGACTTGTGGAGCTGCTCTTGACGATGTCAGCTTCTGTCACCATGGCTGGCTTTCTGGAATTTGCACTAGCCTTTCCTCGATCTTTATCATTCTTCTCTCTGCTATTTTCACGAATGAACTGTGACTTCTTTCTTTCTGGAGACTGTTTTTTCTTCAGTGTCTTCATTTCTTTAGACAAATAATATGAATGAGAAACACTGAAATTTGTTCCTTTGGAAAAATATTCAGACACCAATGACATACAAGGCTGGCGGGACTCGTGCGTACCATGGTCTTTATGGTGCTCTTTAACACCTTTCATCAAAGATTCTATGATACGGCTTTTTCCTGATGGCGTTTTTTTGGGTTTCGATGTTTTTGGTGAGGACAGTTTCCTCTGTAACTGCTCTGCACCTGTGATGGACAATCCATTTCCTCCATATCTGATGTCTGATTTTTGTGGAGAATCCAACATATGTCTCTCTAAATAGCCAATTAAAACACAAATTCCATGTTATTTGAAACAAACTGTTTTGCATTATTATTGATCTTCATTATTAAAATACAAAACTACATTAAAGCAATCATTTTTCAAAGCAAAATGTATTTTTAAGACAAAAGATATGGGTAAATAATACACACTATATTGAGAGTAAAAAAAAATTAAGTCTTATATAAAGCTCCCTTTTGCTATAGCATGGAACTTTCCTGTGACTCTTAAGTGACTATTAAGATTACCGAAACATGCATTATGTGCCAGGCTGAGATGGGAGGACTGCCATGAGTTCAAGGCCAGCATAAGTGACACAGTGAGACCCTGTCTCAAGAAACAAACAAACAAACAAAATCCCTCCAAAATACTATGCATTTAAACATTATGGATTGGAGTTTTTAAATGTAAGAACATGTAACAGCAAAAAGACTAGTGTAGGACATGTTTATTAAAAAAAAAACTGCATCTTCATTAAAACTCTGCATTTTTAATTTTTTTTTTGGTCCTTTTGATAGTTTCCATATGTAGTTCAGACTACGCCTGAACACTCTGTAGTTCTGGCTGACCTTGAACTTGTAGCAATCCTGTCTCAGCCTCCCATTTGCTGGGATTATAGGTATGTATCACTACACCCACGCTGCATTTTCAATTAATAATAATCAAAAAAAGTTTATAAGTTGAATCCATCTCTTAGCTCCAATATAGCCCACAAAAATGTAATATATGCATACCTTGTTTTGAAGCTGGTTTGAAGAAATCTATAATTGACTGCTTCCTGAAAATAAAAGCATAACTAATATGGAATCACATAAGAAAATAATGAAACCTCAATTCAGATTAAATGGAGAATGCTAGATTTATAAAATATAGGCTGGAACTCATCTGGTTTAACTAAGTTCCAACAATGGCAATGATTTTGCTATATTGTAAAAATGGAAAGTATAATTCATCACTTTCTGTAGGGTTTATAAAAACAAAAGTAAAATTCATATAATCTATGTACTAAAATAGTAAAACTGGAGTGTAGATTCAGGGAATTGGTGCAGAGTGCTATTTAATACTGAAACACAGCTACATGGTGGAATGAAGGATCTCAGAGATAGATGCTAAATCCTTTTGTTGCTATTTCTGGGAATTGGTATAAAATAGAGACTGTAAAAATGGAGTAGACAGTGATAACAACAGTACTGCAGATGGTGAAATGGCAATAAAAGTGATTTGACTGATCTTGGGAGGCAGCTGAAGAATGTGCTAGCCAAAGACAGCAAAGCGTACTATCCTGTATACATTAAGGAAAGATGTTGATCTAACAAAAATTGGCTTAAGTCTTCACAACTAATATTTCAATTTAGATTTTTTATTTTTGTTGTTTTCTGACAGTCTTGCTGTGATAAGGCTGGCCTTGAACTCAGTAAGTAGCCCAGGCTGCCCTTAAGACCATGGCAATCTTCCTGCCTCAGTCTCCCAAAGGATGACAAGTGTGTACCATCATGCTCAATCTTAAACTTTTAATTTACCTAAGAATTCTTTTTTTTATTTTTTTCTTTTTATCAGTACCAGGGATCGAACTCACGACCACCTGCTTACAAGGCAGGTGCTTATGCAGCTGAGCTAAATCCCCAGCCCCTAATTTACCTAAGAATTCTTAAAGATACAGAAAAATAACATACTGCCTAGGAAAACCGCAAGACAAGGAGATACGGAAGTTACCAAGTTAAAATAAAAAGCTAACTGCTTTTTTTTTTCCTTTTTATTGGTACCAGGGATCGAACTCACGACTGCCTGCTTGCAAGGCAGGCGCTTATGCCGCTGAGCTAAATCCCCAGCCCTAAGCTAACTGCTCTTACTAAGGATTTTAGTTCCCTAAAGTGGGCACAAAATGAAATAGGAACATATGACCAGAATTTGTATTCTTGTATTTTTCATGTATTGTCAGCTACAAAAGGAGGATGTTATATACAGAGGAAAAAAATTAACTTTCTAGCAAATTCTGTGAAAACGTACTTTTGATGAAAGAAATGTTTGGCTTCTCCAAACATTAATCCATGTTTGTTGGAATACTGTGAAAACCTTAACAGTCCAAATCTAAGGTTAAGTCTACCTCATGTACACTTCAGTTACATTACAAGAGCTGTGCAGCTTACTGGCTGCCGACAATGTTTGTCTGAGGTGTTGGTAGATAATCTAAGTGATGATGAGATGAGAATGAATAACAGGTTATGGTAAAATATGTACACCTGCTTATAGAAAATAAATTACATTAGGAAAATGAAGTCTACCACAGCGCAACAGAAGAAATGCCAGACACTCTGGTGCATTGTTACTGTAGGAAATTCAGCTAATTTTAAGCAAGATTACATTGTTAATTACTGATACTCCAGCTCTTCCTTAAAGTATTAGTTCTTAAGCTCTTTTACATTTAATGTATCAGAAGAGAAAAGTGGCTTTGGGTAAAACACACAAACCACAGATTATAACTTTCAAATGTCATTTGTTCACTAAATTCACATGCACAGAAATGTCTATTACCTATTTATAACATTAAGAAAAAATTATAACAGCTTCACAAACCCTTATCTGAAACTTCTGGGGCCAAATGTGCATTAGACTTCTGAAGCCACTATATTTTAGGAAGGGGATAATTTGCTAACTGTATTATGTAAACCCCCAATGAAGGCCTGATGCTGCAACATGTAATCAAACGCGTAACAATTTCTCCAGCAAGACAGGAATATTCACACTTAAAGTACTAAACACTACAAAGAGCCTCACACTACTTCCGGCCAGGTTGGCTGCCAAGACAGACATGGTGCTAAACTCACTGAAAATTCACGTTTGGTTTTCATAGCTTTCTGGATTAAGATACGGGATTGTGTACTTGCACCACAATATTAGAACATCCATTTACTATTAAGTTTCTGTTACAAGCTTTTGAACTTAAAAGTAAAAAAGACAGTACCAAGTTCGTAGGGAATGTAAACATGTTTTATTGTCAAAGGATGTCATTTCATCAAATTCTCCATCTTTACATAGCTCCCACAAAAGCTATACAAAAAACCGCGTTCTTGGAAAGGTATAGATACTGAAAGAGAAAACCATCACATTTTAAAAATGTAATTCCTTGTAAATGATGAATTATCGTGTACACTGGACTATAAATCCGTACGGTTTTCCTCACCGCTTCTTATATAACTTGATTCGCAATACTGAAAACTTACTAACCCACTAGAATCAGACCTTAGAACTGCAGAAAATCACCTAAACATGCGTCAACACTTAGGGACCCGGGTCCAGCTTTCCAGGACAATAATCGCGTCCGCCGGGCGGGCTCTGGCCGCCGCGCAGGCCAGCGGTCCTAGCCCGAGCCCCAGCGCGAGCGCGACCCGACCGCGGGACCGGAAGCCGCGCTCCCGGCAGCCCCCCTACGCGGGGCGGGGCGAGGGCGCGCGGCCCAGAAAGCAGGCCCGCGTTCACGGAGAACGACGGAAGCCCGAGCGCCGTCCCCGGCCTCCCTCAGCCCTGCCCCCGCGGCCCGGCCCCTTCTCAGCCCTCTGCACGGTACCTGTCCCCAGGACTCTTTGCTCTCTTTCCCGCTGCGGCAGGGGCGGTACTATCGGGTCTCAGATGGCAGCGCGGGGGCGATGACCCCGGGGCTGGGGACGAGGGGAAACCTGGCCTAGCGGGCATGCAGCGCCTTGTCATGTCGGCGCCGCTGGCGACGGCGGCATGAGCTGTGGCTGGAGAGCTTGGGTGCGTGGTTGCCGTCGTGCCGCTGGTACCCGGGAACGCTGTGGGAGCAGAGGTGGGCGGCACCCGCTTCTCTCTTCATGGCGGTTCTCACTCTTCGGAAGTGACTCCAGAGTGAGCGGGAAGGACCGAGGGGACCGGCGGAGGCGGGACTTAATGGGAGAGCCGCATCCTGATTGGCTGTCACCACAGTCATCCTGGTGGTAGGGCAATAGCCGCAGCCTCTCCGGAGGAGGTGGGCTTCAGGAGGGGGAGGGAAGGGGCGGGAGAAAGCCGCCCATCCGCCCCGCCCCGCCCCGTCACGTGTGCGGAGGTCGCGAGGATGCGGTGGGGGCGGTGGGGGTGGTGGGGGCGGTGGGGGCGGTGGGGGCGAGCTGGCCGCGGCAGCGGCCTTGGGCTTGGGCGTCTGGCGCTTGGGCTCCTGTTCCTTCAGCTGTGCCGCAGACAGCCCAGTTGCTGGTTACATTGTCACTAACCTGTGCTATCACCGGGTCCGTGGGAGGTTGTGTAGCCAATCTGAAACCTGGCCGTGAGGGTTTGTTAATCGCAGCTATTTTCCTTTTTTAATTTTTATTACGTATTTGTACTATATACAGAGTGGCCACCTTCCCTGTGGGAAGTGAGAAGCTGTATGTAAACATCTCAGTTCTTTTTCTTTCCCCTTCTCTACCTCCCTCTCCGTTTTGCAAGTGATCTTGTTCCCTATTCACTGTATTTTCAATTTTCAGCCTGATTTATATTTAGGTTCATATAAGAGAAACGCAATATTTACGCGTGTGTGTCTGAGCTTTATACGAAGGGGGGAAAAAAAAACCCGACATTGAAATACAGTTGTTAAACCACAAAAGCATTTTGTTTCTTGCATTATCAGTGATGTCCCCACCGAAGGCTTCCATGGGGATTTTTTGAAAGGACGTGGAATCAGCTTACAAGTATGCATAGTGACTAGTATAGTACCTAGTATAGTACCGGCAGTCCGCAGGCTTGTGCTTGGAGGCTGCTAACCCGGTTTCCCTATAAATTGAGAGACTGTATCCGAGCCTCAATTTCCAGGTCTGTATAAGGGGTATATTACTTTCCAGGCAATTATAAGCCGTAAATGAAGAAAGCAGTGTGAACTGGATAGTTCAGTTTCCCTCGTGTAATTGGTACTGATTATTGCACCCTTTCCTTTATTCTCCAGACACTGGCAGTGAACTTAACTTCCCCAAAAAGTCTTCCAGGGACAGGGCAGATACTGTTAAACAACTGTTAATAACCAAAATATCAATTTCCAGAATGTCCAATCTTAAATGAACAGGGGTGTTCATTTAGTTGGATGGAGCAAAAATCTTAAATGGCACAAAAGAATTCGGGTAGATCTGTTAAGTGTACTGTATTGAGATTGAACTGCTTCTGTCACTAAGCATGCTGGACTGCCCTGAAATTCATCTCCTTTTTCTCCCCTGGTAGCCATCCAGGAAGAATTCATGAGGAATAAAGTGGCCAACAGGCTGGCAAAATAGAGGGTAAAAGAAACTGTGAACATAGAGAGCTGTCATTCATCCAAGTTTGTAGGCACAGCTATAGGCAGTGGTAGTACAAGAAAGGATTAACTGAAATGGCATGTTTCTCCTTGCAACTGAGAATTTATTATGCTGCTTTTATATGAGTGTTATTCCCTACATAAAAAGGAATATGATAGTTGCTAGAAATGTGTTGAAATGAATAATGGCTTATACATTGGTTTGCTAAGAGCTTTTTGATTGTATTGTTTTCCTATTTTTTGACTTAGTGCTTTCTGTTGGCTGTTTCTATGTAAGAAAATACCTGCTTCTGTAACAGAGCACATCTACAAAACATTTAATCAGATTCATTTCATTCCATGCTCAGTCCATAAAAAGAATAATGCATAAAACATGTTCTGTGTGATCAATTAGTTGCTTTTCTTGGATTATAGTATTTGAATCATCCTACCTCTAAGGTATCACTTTAAAGTCTGTATTCATGCTATCAAACAATAGTATTCACATTTTCTTAATCTGAGCAACAGATTATAGAGTTAAGTGAGGCAAGAAATCCTTTGATCAATAAATGGAGATACAATCATAATGAAAACACAATTTAAAAAAATCTCTTCTTAACAAGGAAGTAGTTATCTAAATCCTCACTAAGTAGCCAGGCTCTTCTTTGTTTAAACTGTAGAAGAATGATACAGATTTGGTTGGCAGAGTGAGATGCGTTTTTCATGCTAACAAGGATGGCTGGTGGCATCTCATGCTCTTCTCTCACAAAGTTGACCTTTATTTTGTATTTATGCACCTTCTCCCACTTTTAAGTGTGCATATTATACCACAGAAGCACAACATAATTGTAAGACCTTTTTTACCCCCTTTCTTTTTGTGTGCTTGGGATTGCACTCAAGGGCCTGAAGCATGGTAGGCATGCGCTCTACTACAGAACTATCTCTCAACCTTGTGTTAGGGTGTTTTATGCTTTAATTTATGGTGGGTTGGCAATAAATGACAGGAAAGTACATAGGTAAAGAATGTCAAAGAGTTGTGTGCATTCACATGGAGAAAGGTGAGCCTGGGGGAAAGGGATCTAAGCAAGACTGACTTAGAAACTGGAAATCAACCCTTAGCAAGAATTGGAAAAATGGGCTGGGGATTTAGCTCAGTGGTGTAAGTGCCTGCTTAGCAAGTGCAAGGTCATGAGGTCAGTCCCTGATACCAAAAAAAAAAAAAAAAGAAGAATTGGAAAAACGAAGTCTGGGTGATCATAAAGTCAAGTCTGGGAAGGTTTTTGGGCAAGGGGATGAGGGAGCAAAGACCAAAGGATTAAAGTGGCTTCATTAAGCTTTTATGGGGAATAGCTCAGCACCCTTTACCAACTTGAGTTGTGGAAGACAACAGGACAGGTTTCTGGCCCTGATGGGAAGGGGTGGACTACTGTGGAAACAATGTTAAAAAGTACTGGAGGAGATGCCCTGGGAGAGCCAAGCTCAAGGCTGTGTGTGGAGAGGAGTGATGGCACAGCAGCTGCCAGAGTGCCAGCAGTCACAAAGATGAAAGTGTCTTGGGCAGATGGGTTCATCCTGTACCTTAGGATGCAGGAAGTGGGACCTAACAGATCAGTAAGTTACAAAGAATGTTACTAAAACACAGAATCTGAAAAGTAACTTCAGATTCGCTCTGAGATGAGTACACTGTGGTTCAAGCCCAAGGCTCTTAAAGGGAAAGCCAAAGGACAGAGCTGTCTGCTGCAGGGCTGAAATAGGGGCAGGCACAGGAGTGTGTGTATTGTAGGTGACAGTAATAGAGAGTGGCCGAGAGGGGACAAGGATAGATGCAAGAAACTAAAGAATTAGCTTAAAAGCCTAATGGGGAAAAGGGCCATGTAATTTTTGGAGAAGGGAAGGTGTGCTCACAGCAAATGCTGCTGAACTCAAAATTGCCCAACAAATGATTAGAAAAAGCCTGGATCGGTTTCAGGGGCTGCTGGAGAAGTGTCAAAAGTAATATAATATCAGGCAGTCCAGACTTTCTGGGAGTAATTAGTAAAACTGGAAAAGCAGATCTGATGTTAACAAAAATCAGCTCTTGTTATTCCATTATGGAATGGTATAGGACAGTTTCCCACACATGTGTAAGAAACATTTCTGATTTTTGACATACCTAAAGATCTCCTATACTGTTAATGTTTTTCTTTAAGCTACTTTATTTTTATTTTATTTATTTATATTGTAATCCCATACTGTGTGCAGTTGTCCAAGTATTGTAATCCTCTTTCTAGTTTCCCCACAATCCAGAAAGTTATATTTGTAATCCCATTGAGATGTTAATGGAATCCCAGCAAATTAATTCCAATCTACCACCAACAATGCAACCCACAGGGAGAGTAAAGACACCAAGACATATTCCAAGTTAAGGGCTGCCAAGGGGTCCTAAGTCTAATCCCCATGAAGATGTGCAGGCAAAGGCCTTGATCCTAGGCCTCTCCCAGCATTTATTATCTTGTGAAGAAGGGGGGTGGCTCAGGGATAAGTGACAGTGAGGATGCTGGGAATTAGGTGAGTAACTTGAGCTGGCTGGTCAGGTGGGAGAAAGGCACCTCTGTAAATTACAGAGATAAAGATATGCAGAACGATCAATTCACATAATCTAATTAAGGTGGCAACTGAATTGTTTTGGGAGGCTGTCGCTTTGGTTTCTGATATGCAAACTCTTGTGCCTTGGAGAGTCATAGCCTCTTTGCTTTGAGGCTCCCACCCAGTTGACATTCCTGGAGCTATTAGCTCTAATATCCCACCGTGTTCATATCCTTATACAGAGAACACTATGCCAGGAGAGGAGGAGGAGACAGGACTGTCTGTTGGCTTTAGAGATTACATACCAGGTAGCCTTATTTGCAATGCTTAAAGCCAAATGAAGAGAGAAGGAAACACCATAGCCAGCTCTCTACATATCAGTATAAAGAAATAAGTATCCAAACAATCAGAGGTGCAGTAATTGTTTTGCATTCAAGGGGAGTCACTGGAGTTATCTCCCACAATTTATTTTGGTCTTTTTAAGGCAGATCTCCTATGCAGTTCAGGCTGGTCTTGGGCTCACTTTGTAGCACAGGCCGGTGTTGAACTTGCAGCAATCTTCCTGTCTCCTGAGTGCTGGTATTACAGGCATGTGCCACCATGCCCACCTTTTTCTCTTTAAACTATTTTTAAAATTAGGTATTTTTGTTTTAGAAGAAAACTTTTAAGATGTACATACATGGAAAATCAATGTCACCTTTTTAAAATTGAAAATAATTATAAGAACAAATAAATAATAAATGGTAAAAATGTTATCCCTCTCTAACTATCCAAATTTCGAGTCATCTTGTTAGCCACTGGTAGTAGGCATAAACAGATTATTTGTACATCTAAAATATGAGTTGGGTATGGTGGTATACTCCTGTAGTCCCATCATTCAGGAGGTTGATACAGAAAGATCACTTTAAGTTCAAGGTCAGCCTAAGCTACATAATGAGTTCAAGGCCAACCTGAACTATGTAGTGAGACTGTGGTTTTTTTTTTTTTTTTGTCTTTTTCATTTTTATCGGTACCAGGGATCGAACTCACGACTGCCTGCTTGCAAG